CTGTTGCGGTGTGTGAATATCAGCACTCGGCAGGTAAAGGAGGCTAGGCTTGGGTGCTGACCATTGCCATCCTCTCATGCGCCGTGCCAGTCTTAATAAGTGCTCGATAACAATGCCTGTCCCAACAGCCTGCTTATGCCATATGGGGGAATCTCGTTATATTTGCGCTCGTGTGTGCGTCTGTATGCGTGTGTTTTCTGTGTGTGATGTATGCTGATGATCTGGTGGTTGCTGCTCACTCTGAGGAGTTGTAGGTTCTGCTGCTGAACTTGGAGCATGCCACCAAAACGAAGCACCTGCCTGGGTATTTTGTATCATCCAAACTCCACGCCCCTCAACTCCCCATGAGTGATGGGACATTCATGAAGAGAAGGGAGAAGTTTCCGTACGTGGTTAGTGTGCTTGTGACCAGCGCTCCGAATCAGCCGAGCGGCATTATCTTTTCGTCAGCTACGTAACTCTGCGTGGAAGCTACCTGGTGTCTGCTGCTCCACACGAAGCTCCGGATTTTGTCTGCCACAATCGATGCCCTCTCTTCTCTTTGCAAAACGTGGACCCTTCTCATGAAACATCTGCACCGGTTTGAATCTTTCAGTTTGGCCTGCCTCCGATCCATCCTGTGTTTAAACAGGTTGGATTGTGCGAGGAGCTCGCAGATCCTTGGAACATCTGGACACATTCCCATCGGTGAGCTCCTCCGGCGGGCAAGGCTGCGCTGGCTGGGTCATGTAGCCGCATGCCCAGCCACCGAATGCCCAAGCAGCTTCTGTTTGCCCGGAGGGAGCTAAATGGGCACGGCACGGGCTGGAGAAGAGATGGAATGATATGGGAGGATGTGGAGCTGAATGGACTTGCCGAAGACTGATACCAGCGGTGTCAAGATTGGCTTCTATGGAGGAGGCTCGTGAAGGATGCTACTGGGCAGTTTGAGCCAGTCGCCCTCCAACAATAGTGGACGACGGAGGAGCGATGCTCACAACAACGAGCGGATTGCCGGGCGGCTAAAATACAGCAAGACGGCACAGTGGGGAGCACGGGTGGCGCATCTGCCATTCATCTAAATCGGTCAACCCATGGCACCTGGATCGGTCCCGTGATCTCCTGCCAGCAGCAGCAGTGAGCCATCGGACACTTCACGTGGGCAGCCTCAAGTGCAACCTAGCCTGGCACAGGTGCCGTGGTGACGTCACCGCCACTTAGTGGCAAATGGGTGGCTGCTGTTGGCAGTAGCCGTAAACCCGAGTTGCGTTCCCGCTCCGTAACTGATTACAGTGGCGAATATTTGAACCGGTCCTGGGGCCTCCCCTAGATTGACTCGGCCTGAAAAATGTGTAACTCGTGCGGTGTGCAAACATCAGCACTGGGGAGACAAAGGCGGCCGGGCGTGGTGCTGGCCACCCACCCCCTCGTGTGCCGTGCCAGTCGGCTAACAGCACTTGTCCCAGCAGTCTGTAAAAGCTATACGGGGATGTGTTTGTAGTGATGGTGTATCACAGTCAGGGTTGCGATTTCCGCATGGAAAATGCGGAAGGAGGGTTCAAATTTTCCCGCATTTTTGCTAAAGTCAACCGCAAACGGTGGAAAGACTACTCCTATGACCGCGCGCTTTTAACAACACGTTAATGCGTTCTATTGGAAAGGATACATCATGTACATGTGCTCGTAATCACGGCTCCGCATTTGAATAAAGTATGTGGTTCTTGTGCGGAAATGCGGAAATCATATATTCATTCCAATCAGTAACTCAAAGCCCTACGTGATGCTGGGCCTTGCATGTATCCTTTCCAATAGAACGCATTAACGTGTTGTTAAAAGCGCGCGGTCATAGGAGTAGTCTTTCCACCGTTTGCGGTTGACTTTAGCAAAAATGCGGGAAAATTTGAACCCTCCTTCCGCATTTTCCATGCGGAAATCGCAACCCTGGTGTATCTGTACCTTGATTGTGATTGTACTCATCTTCTTGGTTCTTTCGGTAAAGTCACGTAGAATGGAAATAATAAAATAATAAAAATAAAACATAGTAAAATAATTCTCACGACGTTTCGGCCACAACGTAAGCAGCCGTCCTCAGGTGAAGAACAGGTCTGTCGGAAAGACAGCGTCTGTCTGACACGCCCCAGGCTTGGAGCGTCTATTTAAGCTGAGATGGAGGAGGGAAGAGCGCCTTGACAAACTAATTTGCATATCAAGAGCAATTTAGCATATTTATGGGAGTGGAGGGGAGGGGGGCACGTGCCCCCCCCCCAATGGTCCGATCGAAATCCCTAATTTCGATCCGATCATTGGGGTTTATTAGTAATAAATCGGCATTTTGCGACCCCCACTGCCACTGTAGCATTTTATTATTACGTGGCCAGGGACTCTATGAGATGATAGGTCCATAATCGGCAATAAGTAACGGCAAAGCAGTTATAAGTGGCTCACAGAATTGTGCGCAGTTGCTTTTTCAGTCCACACGACTTCCCTGAAGGCATTCACCTTCAGCGAGCGCGATGCCGATCACACAACGCAGTTCGAATTCGACCCTCGATCGATGGCTGCGCCATCGTCGCACACGCGTCGAATACAAAGCAAGGGACAGGTCCTTACTTACTAACAACTCCTCTATCATGTTTCATAGCTGGTGATTGCTCAACCCGGTCTTGGCCCCCCCCATCCACCCCATGACGGACACGGGATACGCAAATGGATTGACAAAAGGGCTGTTCGTTTCTCTATATTTTTTTTATTGAAATGTACTGCGGTTATGCACCTCCTGTAGCCACAGGCGTCCACTACTTTCACCTCGGAAAGTTAAAAGAGAATAAAACATGTTTTTTTAAATATAGAAACAGTGACCCCTAATTTGCGATGAAGTCGTTTATTGGATTGCCGCAGGGAAGTTGGGAGAGAAAATGGACGGATGGTTAAGACAGTCTATTCTTAGGTTTTTTTCGGTAAAGTCACGTAGGTAAAAAAATTTAAATGAATAAAAGTAAAATAAAATAAAAATCACGACGTTTCGGAGGCAACACAAGCTTCCGTCGTGATTTTTATTTTACTTTTATTAATTAAATTTTTTTTACCTACGTGACTTTACCGAAAAAACCTAAGAATATGAATCCTTGCAGTCACGAAAGCTTCAAATCTAGAATTAGACAGTCTAGTTTTAATGTCACATACGAGCAATTCCCTCGCCAAACGCCGGGGTTCGGTTGCTGGAAAACGCCGCGGTAGGAAAATCCTTGTATGGGAAATAGCGGGTTAGGGGAACCACGGTCTGACTCGTCATGCCATAAGGGACCGTCCATAAATGACGTCACGCGAGTTTGGACGATTTTTGACCCCCCCCCCTCCTCCTCAAATGTGACGTCACAAAGCTCTGCCCCGCCCCCGCCAAAAAATAAAACCTGCTTCAAATCGCTTTAAACTATTGTCATTGTAGCGCGTATTTAATGCGGCGCTGCACTCTGATGTTGTAGGAGAAAACATTTATAAAAAGTCTATTTAATTAAGCAGAAAGTGTTGTCTTATGTATTGAAAGTTGCGCATTTTTACGTGACGTCACCCCCCTCGCCCCCCCCCCTAGGTGCATGACGTCATTTATGGACGGCCCCCTAAGTTGCCTGTTGATGACCTATAAACCCCGAATGAAAAAACAAACAACCCAGTACATTACGCAATAACGTAACAAACAAATACAAACATCACATCAACTTTCGGCTCACCATGTCCCTCTTCCTGCGGGGCCACAGACCCAATGCTCTCTCACCTTCACCACTCACCGCACGCTTCGGAGTGACATGACTGAAGGCAGAATGAACGCGACTGTGGTTGAGATGCGACAATGGCAGTACAGCAAGACGGGCGGCAGAGGTCGCAACCGGGTACCAGATACCCGTACCTTACCCGATACCCGGCTACCCGTACCCGGCCGGGTACGGGTAGCTGTTTGCGACCCTGGTGCGGCCGGGTACGGGTAGGCCGTGAGTCACTGGTGAGTCACCGTTTGTCACTCATTTCCCAACGTCTTGTCTCTTCTCACAATTCAAGTTCCTAGAATCAACCCACCCGCGCCTGCAACATGGCTTCATCCCAGAGGTTGCAATCAGGTACCCGATACCCGTACCCTACCCGATACCCGGCTACCCGTACCCGGGCGGGTATGGGTATAGGTAGCCGTTTGCGACCCTGGTGCGGCTGGGTACGGGTACGGGTAGGCCGTGAGTCACTGGTGAGTAGCCGTTTGTCACTCATTTCGGGTAGGGTACGGGTAGGGAACGGCTACCCGTACCCGGCCGGGTACGGGTACACATTTGCGACCCTGGTGCGGCCGGGTACGGGTGCGGGTAAGGAATCAAAACCCGTTTGCGACCTCTGACGGGCGGGCGGGCGGGCGATCGACTACGCAGCCCAGGGGTGACCCTGTGGCGCTGAGAACCACCGCCCTGGTGAAATTTGTACCAATGACTTAATATCTGCGTCATGCGACTTCCTTAACGCTTCTTCTCGGTTCTTTCGGTAAAGTCACGTAGAATGGAAATAATAAAATAATAAAAATAAAACATAAAATAATTCTCACGACGTTTCGGCCACAACGCAAGCAGCCGTCCCCTCAGGTGGAGAACAGGTCTGTTTTGGCCGAAACGTCGTGAGAATTATTTTATTATGTTTTATTTTTATTATTTTATTATTTCCATTCTACGTGACTTTACCGAAAGAACCAAGAAGATGAATCCCTGCAGTCACGAAAGCTTTAAATCGAAATTCCTTAACGCTGCTTGCGCAAATTTCCAGGCCGCGATTGGGTAGACGAAACAATATACCGTGCACACGTGAAACGGCGGTTGGCGAGGAATTCCTGTATTCATATTCTTGGCTCTTTCGTGTAAAGTCACGTAGAAGGGAAATAATCAAACAAAACAATAAAATGCTCGCGACGTTAACGACTGCAACAACACAAGCAATCGTCATCAGGTGTGAAAACCACAGCAATAAATTCGTTGAAAAATAAAAGATTCCTGTATTGTATGACTCTGTAATGGCCTGAAATAAATCGTTGGATGCAGCGATAAAATATTTTTGTATTCGGTGCTGTTTTGTTATCCTTGTCCGCAACAAGTTGGGTTAAACAATCTTTTTTATCTGCGAGCCGACACACGCGTAACTATGCATCGATTCAAATCGATTCTTAACCTTGTCCCCGTTCCCACGACATGCACACGTACGTCACCAGTTCTCCCGATGACGTTCCGTTTAAGTCATCGGAACGAAATCGATTCCGCAGGGAATCGACGGTAACAGGTCTTGCCGTGGGAAGGCGTGTGGCACAGTTTGGCGCCGGCCATCGTAGCAACTCTGCCTCCAAACAAAATGAACGCCGGACCGTTTGCGTGGTTCAGCGGCGAATGCGATCCCACCCCGCAACTTGTGTCCGACGACGCATCGGTGAAAATATATTTTCGAATCTTAGCAGGCTGTGCGTGTTAGAACTTTTAAAGTAAGATATATAAAGCAGCTATCAGCCATGATCAATCCACTGCCTGCTGGACGCCTGCCCAAGCCATCGCCACGTCTACCCATTTCAACCGCCGCGCCGAGAGATTCTAATTGTAACCGATGCCCTCCGGATACGCAGCTCGTGTGCAAACCATTACACGGCATCCCCTGAGCATTTTGCATTTTGCGGTTTCCCCAATAAACAAACCGGCGACCATGACGACATCACCGCAGAGTCGATCGTCAAGGTAACATGACGGCAATCGCAACGTGCCGTTGGGCGCCAACTTTTCAAGCAGAGCAAGCTTCCGTCTTCAGGTGAATTGTATCAAGTGATACAGATATTTTGCTGTGACAGTTTCACCTGAAGACGGAAGCTTGCGTTGCCTCCGAAAACGTCGTGATTTTATCGTTTCATTTCTATTAATTTCAATTTAATTTTTTACCCACGCGACTTTACCGAAAGCACCAAGAGCACGAATCCTTGCAGTCACGAAAGCTTCAAATCTAGAATTTCAAGCAGAGCCCTCCCCGAGTTCTCACGGCGACTTCTCACGCGAGGAGCCCTGCCGCCACGCTCCGTGGAGGTCACAGGGGGGGTCGCCGAGGTCACAGGAGGGTCGCCGAGGTCACAGGAGGGTCGCCGAGGTCACAGGAGGGTCGTCGCCGCGGCCTCCGCCGCCGCCACCGCCGCCGCCGCCGCCGCCTTTCGTGCGTGCGCCTGCTGGTGTCGCCTGAAGTCTGCCTGGTCCTCGAACACCAGGCCGCACACCTTGCAGCAAGAGGGCCGGCCGCGCGTGTGTGTGTTCTGGTGGATCTTGAGGCTGGAGTACCACGAGAAGGAGCGCTCGCACACCGCGCAGCGGTACGGCTTCTCGCCCGTGTGGATGCGCTGGTGGTTCTTGAGGTCGCCGGGCAGCGCGAACGCCCGCCCGCACACGGCGCATCGGTGCGGACGCTCGCCCGTGTGCGTGCGCTGGTGCCGCTTGAGGCTGCAGTTCTGGGAGAAGGCGCGCCCGCACACGGCGCATCGGTGCGGCTTCTCGCCAGTGTGCCTCAGGCGGTGCACGTCCAGGACGCGGCGCTGCGCGAACCCCTGCCCGCAGATGTCGCACGACAGCACCGGCTGCAGCTGCTGCGCCAGCTGCTGATCGGCGGTGCCGCCGCCGCCGCGCTGGAGTAACCCCGGGTGCAGCCCGCTCGCCGTGGCGGAGGGAGCCTGTTGGTACTGGGAATCGGCGGGCGGTTGGGTGGCGAACTCGGAAATGCTGTTTTCGACCGGCGTCCCTTTGGTCATCTGCTGCTGCTGCTGCTGCCACTGCCAAGGGGGTTGGTGGCCGTCCACATTCTCCCCGGTGACCTCGCCGTCATCGCCAGCCCGCCGTTTGGCGCGCAAGCGGGCTTTGCCGGTCGCAAGCAGCGAGGTCACGTCCTGGATGATGAATTCCGAGTGGCCCTTACCGACGCAACTGCCTGCAAGAGTAATGAGACATCGGAGGGAAAGGCCGAGTTTGAGCCTTGTTAGTTACCCGGATGGTAGATTGCCTGTCAGGCGCTGTAGGGGTCGGGATGTTTAGCCGCGTCCTTATTATGACGAGCGCGTGAGGAGCTGCACGGACAGGACCTGCCGCCTCTTTGACGATCCACGTTCCCTTGGGACCTCCTTTGCCAGTACCAAAATATACTAATAGGGGTTTTTCCCTTTTTTTCCGGCAACAAAACTGACACCTTTTGCAAGGAATCATGCTTAATGCTTACATTAACCACAATACTTGCAGTCAAATGCAAACAAAAAACAAAGGCACTGCATAAATTATCAGAGTATTGTTTTTTGTTTGCATTTGACTGCAAGTATTGTGGTTAATGTAAGCATGATTCCTTTCAAAAGGTGTCAGTTTTGTTGCCGGAAAAAAGGGGAAAAACCCTATTAGTATATTTTGGTACTGGCAAAGGAGGTCCCATGATGTAGCTGCTCACCCGAGCTCTCGTTACTCTGGTAGTGCGTTGTCTTTGAACTGTGCGCCTTTTGGCGTCATCTGGTCGAACACCATATGAGACTCGGCTCCAAAGAAAGCTGTCTCTGGTGTGGACCAATCAGTTTCAAGGACAACGCATAAATTATCAGAGTATTGTTTTTTGTTTGCATTTGACTGCAAGTATTGTGGTTAATGTAAGCATGATTCCTTGCAAAAGGTGTCAGTTTTGTTGCCAGAAAAAAGGGGAAAACCCCCTATTAGTACTACGTTCCCTTCTTGACATCTCTTCGTGGCCGCGCTCACGGGCCTTGCAAGGGCGGCCACCAATCCCAAACACCAGCTGCTGCCTCCGCTCCTTCAAGGGAGGAATGGGCGAGATCCACTCTCTGCTTCGGAGCAATCGAGTGGCTAACAAATTAAAAAAAATGACACCTTTAATCTGATTTCGATTTAAAGCTTTCGTGACTGCAGGGATTCATCTTCTTGGTTCTTTCGGTAAAGTCACGTAGAAGGGAAATAATAAAATAATAAAAATAAAACGTTTTATTAAAATAAAACGTTTTATTAAAAGAAAAGTTTTATTTTTATTATTTTATTATTTCCATTGGTTCTTTGGGTAAAGTCACGTAGAATGGAAATAATAAAATAATACAATTTAAACATAATAAAATAATTCTCACAACGCAAGCAGCCATCCTCAGGTGGAGAACAGGTCTGTCGAGAAGACAGACACTCTGTCTTGTAATTTGTATTATTTAATTATGTTGTAATTTTATTATTTTATTATTTCCATTCTACGTGACTTTACCGAAAGAACCAAGGAGACCTTTAATCTGCTGTTGTGAAGCCGTACGAAAGAAGAAGTCAACCCACTCCTGGAAAGTTCACCATCTCCCGCCTCAACCTCCCCCTGTCTTACCTGCACGTTGTGCCGTCCCGACGGGCGCCGCCCCTCCCACGATGATCTCCTCCCAGGCTGCCCCGTGGTTGCTCAAATTGTTGTCTCCTGGCACCGTCCACGGGATTTCTGCGGCTGGAATCGACACGAGAGGGCGGCACTTGAATTGGCAGACCGCGCGCGGCAACGCGGTTTCACCCAACGCATGTTTTCGGCCGGACCGCGGATTTTACTTAACGGAGGTAGGCCTTACCAGGTAAGGCCCAGCGAGCTCTGCGGCTCTTTGTCAGACGCGACCCGGCCACAAACGGTAGAGTGGCTTATCACGTGGAAATGTATAGCAGCCAAATACCTCCAAACGGATGTTTCTAAAATGTGTAGCGGAAAAAAGCGGAGGATCCGGAGAAAGATTCCACGCAGCCACAGGGAGAACATGCAAACTCCAAATATACAGCGACAGGCGTCAGGGTCGGTATCAGATCCACGACCTCCTGCACACCAGGCGAGGTAGTTAACATCTCGCCACCGTGGCGAATTAGGACATGTTTCCAAGTACACGCACAGTTTCAGCGAGATCTGTAATTCACTGAGGACGTGTGGTTTTTCTGATTCTCGTCGCACCATGCGACCAGTCTGCAACGGTGGGGCATGTGCCTTTCACGATAGATTGGTGCGATAACCAACATAAGGGGATTCATCTTCTTGGTTCTTTCGGTAAAGTCACGTAGAAGGGAAGTAATAAAATAATAAAAATAAAACATAATAAAATTTCGATTCAAAGCTTTCGTGACAGCAGGGATTCATCTTCTTGGTTCTTTCGGTAAAGTCACGTAAAAGGGAAGTAATAAAATAACAAAAGAAAAATGTCTTCACCTGAGGACGGCTGCTTGCGTTGTGGCCGAAACGTCGTGAGAATTATTTTATGATGTTTTATTTTTATTATTTTATTACTTCCCTTCTACGTGACTTTACCGAAAGAACCAAGAAAATGAATCCCTGCAGTCACGAAAGCTTTAAATCGAAACATAAGGGGAATGTTTGTCATTGCTAATCATCCGATCCGATGTCGTCGGTTTGTGCTCATGTTTAGAATTCTCAACAGGGTGAATCTCGCGAAAAGTGAAGTACCCTGGACGTATATTCGTAAGTCGACGTCCACCTGGCCATACACAGGAAGCAGGTTCTTTAAGCCAGAGCTTATACTGGTAGGAACCATGTGGTTCCACCAGCCCACAGGGGATTATTGTGTCCGTCCGTCCGTCGTGCATCCAAAAATGGGAGGGGTGGGGCTGGGTGAGGAGGGGCTGGTCACCCCGTGGTGCCCTTATAAAACTCAACGTTTAACCTACTCACGCCGGCTTGTGCCCGCCCTCACAGTCGGCCATATTTGCGTAATACACCACGCCCTGGCCGTTGGCCCTGCAGACCATTGACCGAGCAACCCGACGTTCCTACCAGCTCCCTCCGCAGGACAATGTGTTTCCCACACTAAGTTTGGCCCCTGTGCAGCCGAGGGAAAAAGGGCTCCAGAGAAAGGAACGGAGGCGTGGAGAAAGAGGACGAGAGACACATTGAGTACCCAGTGGGGGGCGTACAGAGATGCAGGGGGAGGGGGGGAAAGAAATGTCAAGACGTGGATAGAGACGCACAGCGGGAAGAACGGGACACGGAAACGCTCGGGAGGCGAACGGAGGCACGGTGAGCAAAGTGCTTGACTCACCGTCGCAGGTCTCCATCTTCACCCCGTGCCACGTGTGGGTGTCTCCTCCCCCCTCGTCTGCGGGCAGCGCAGCGGCGAGAAGTTAACTACCTCTCAGGGTAGGAGGAAGTCGCGTTCTGTCTCCCCGGAGGTCGCGTGGTTTTTAAATCCTTTATATTAAGTTCGCTTGCTTGCTTGCTTGCTTACGACGGTGCAAATCTTTCGGTCGTTTTTTAACCCGCTTTCCCGTGATCCAATCGAGCTGACATTTTGCACACAGACAATTAATGTTCGTGAAATTTTTTTTCCAAAATTTTACACTTTTTAGGACAAAAATATTATATTTAATTACCAATTGCTTAATGGTGCAATTTCAATCATCTGACCCATAGGTAGCAGCCATCTCAAGCCAGAGGACGAGAGGACTCTAGCCGCCACGCATATAAAGGATTTATAGTGAAAAACTTTGTTTTTACGTGTTATACTTGTTACACGCTTTGATTTAACTCACGCCAGCCGTTGTTGTTGTCGTCGTATCCTCAAATTTTGTAACTTGATTTTAACCGACTTCCCAATGTGGTATCGACAGCAAACTTTGTATACTTATGTCATACGGATGACAAACACATTCCTGCGGAGGGAGCTGGTCGGAACGTTGGGTTGCTCGGTCAATGGCCAGGGTCAACGGCGGCATGGTGTATTCCGCAAATATGCCCGACTGTGAGGGCGGGCACAAGCCGGCGTGAGTAGGTTAAACGTTGAGTTTTATAAGGGCACCACGGGGTGACCAGCCCCTCCCCACCCAGCCCCACCCTCCCCACCCTCCCCACCCAGCCCCTCCCCACCCTCCCCACCCAACCCTGCCCACCCTCCCCACCCAGCCCCTCCCCACCCAGCCCCACCCTCTTTCGGTAAAGTCACGTAGAAGGGAAATAATAAAATTACAATTCTCACGACGTTTCGATTGCAACACAAGCAATCGTCATCATAATCAGGTGTGAAAACCGCAGCAAAATTTGTTAGCTAGAATTTTTATTATTATTTTATTATTTCCCTTCTACGTGACTTTACCGAAAGAACCAAGAATGTGAATCCCTGCAGTCGCGAAAGCTTTAAAAATCCACAGTTACATCGCAGCATTCAAGGCAACCGTGGCCAAGGACCCTTACCGCAAGGCTCCCTTGAATCCAGCGTCGCTTCTTTATCCGGCTCCTGGTACATGTCGGTACGTTTGACAGCGCGATCTACCAGGGCAGAGGCAAACCGCAGGGCTGAATGTTGTGCACAGGAGACAAATTCGCCACGAACACCACCCCATCTCGTCAGATTTTGGAAGCCGAGTTGAGTCTGGTCAGCGCTGGGATGGGAGACTGCGTACGAATGCAACGTGTCCTTGAGCACAGGGCACAAGGTTGCCTGCTGAGCAGAGGTCGCAAACGGGTTTTGATTCCTTACCCGTACCCGGCCGCACCAGGGTCGCAAATGGCTACCCGTACCCGGCCGGGTAACGGGTAGGGTACGGGTATCGGGTACCCGATTGCGACCTCTGGGATGAAGCCACGTTGCAGGCGCGGGTGGGTTGATTCTAGGAACTTGAATTGTGAGAAGAGACAAGACGTTGGGAAATGAGTGACAAACGGTGACTCACCAGTGACTCACGGTGTACCCGTACCCGGCCGCACCAGGGTCGCAAATGGGTACCCGTACCCGGCCGGGTACGGGTAGCCGGGTATCGGGTAGGGTACGGGTATCGGGTACCCGGTTGCGACCTCTGCTGCTGAGGGCAGGACAGCATTAGATCATTAGTAGCCTCTCTGTGCAGAGTAAGAGACGGACAATTGACTAAGGGATGGTGCTCAGTCTCTGTTGGTTTGCCATGAGCCAGGAGGCGAGATGTTAACTACCTCGCCTGGCATACAGGAGGTCGTGGGTTCAATCCCGAACGTGACGCCTGCTGCTGTATATTTGGAGTTTGCGTAGCTTCCCCGTGGTCTCCGTGGTTTTTTCTCCGGGTCCTCCGGTTTTTCACCTCCACATTTAGAAACATGCATTTAGGGTATTTGGCTGCTAGACATTTCCACTGTGTTGAGCTATCATTTGTGGCCAGGTTGCTTCTGAAAAAGAGCTATGTAGCTCAGTGGGCCTTACCTGGTAAAATAAAAAAACATTTTGTTTAATTTACATTCCACATTATGGCAGGGGCCAAACTATCACAAAGCCCACTAGAAGACTGCTGCAATCAAAATTCCAATAAATCTTTTTGTTACCATCCCCTGCGGCAAGCTTTTCTTCATCAGCGATCAGGTCATCATGTTCCATCTCTGCACCGAGTGGGCTCGAACCACCATCGCCGCTCCCTTGACCGTCCATGGCTCCCAGCCTCCGCGCGGACAGCAGCAGCTCCCGGCTCAGGCCGCTGAACAGAGCGAGCAGCACGTCCACCAGCCCTCCCAGCGTCACGTCGCCAGGGTAGGCGGCGGCCGCGTCATCGTGGTGCCCGTCGCCCCGCAGGGCCTTCACCACCTGCCGCAGCACGGCGTAGAAGCCGAAGGGCAGGCGGTCGCGCGCCGCGGCCAGCAGCTCGGCACGCACGAGGCCGTCCCCGACGCAGGCGCGCAGGACCCCGTAGTCCCGGATGCCCAGCTCCGAGTCCATGGCCCGGGCCACCTCCTCGTTCACGCCCTGCGCCTCCAGCCACGCCGGGAAGTCGTCCGTCGGCTCCGGCAGCACCGGGGCGGCCACCGCACACGCCATGCTGGTGGTGGTGATGGGTAGAGCGAGAGAGAGCATGTAGAGTCATTAAATATCTACATGGGTTGGATTCACGTCACATATCTTCAGACAAAGTCGCACTGAAGTGTGACCAAATACTAATCCCAATCCTGAACACTAAATACATTTCACCGAAGCAAAAATCGCTGCACGGCGATCAAAAGGCTTAAACACTCGACTGTGAAATGAGAATTCAAAACACGACGTTAAACTGTTAAGTCGCTGCGAATGTGGCCAAATGTGGGCGACAGGCGCACGCGGCGAAGAAAGCGAGCGGCGCGCGATTGAATCCTCCTCATCCAGCACGGACAGTTCAAGTTCATTGATTAGGTGTAGCCCTGTGAGCCATTCGGCTCTTCAATCGGGTGCAACCGCAACAAACAAAAAACTAAAACATGAACAAGAAAACATCTTAAAGTGAATATGTGACTGAGTGCAAACAGAAAATCCAAGAAAAGACAGTAAAATATTGCAGAAACATCACCGTACACCAACGCTGTGCAAATATCCCAGTGGGATGCAAGTCAAACAACCAACAACAACCACAAGACAACTTAGATTAAGGCCATCGGTCTAACTCTATACAATACAGTACATACAGTACACGCTACACACTACAATTCACAACACTGTACACACTACGCACCAGTTTACAATACAGTGCATACAGTACACACATTGCACTGTACACACTACGCACCAGTCTACAATACAGTGCATACAGTACACGCTACACATTACACTTCACAACACTGTACACACTACGCACCAGTCTACAATACAGTGCATACAGTACACACACTACACTGTACACACTACGCACCAGTCTACAATACAGTGCACACAGTACACGCATACTCTACACCCGAGTCTACATTAAGTGTGCACACTAATCTACCTATTTTCACGCATATAGCCCGCATACGCATATAGCCCGCATACGCATATAGCCCGCATACGCATATAGCCCGTAGAAGCATATACCCCGAAAAAAAACAGCGTTTTGTGTAAAACAAATTTCAGATAGCCCGCACCTCCATGTATCCCGCACGCATTCGTATATTTAACGTCGTTAACGCAGCTTAATTCCATCGCATTAATACGAAGTCTACACTTGTAGTACATCACACTATCGATTGTTAAGGTTAAAACCATCACGTGCACAAAGAAAAGAAACAGTAGATAAAAACGACGACTACGACGACGAGAGAGTCAAGGAGGTTGTGGGCTTCCAGGCTCACGTGGGATTGGTGGCCAGCTCGCTTCTGGTAAGCAGCAGAAGGAGGAAGGAAGGACGGATGGAAGGAAGAAAAAGAATGAAGGAAAAGGGAAGGAAGGATGGAAGGAAGAAAGAATAGAAGGAATGAAGAAGGAAGAAAAATGGAAGGAAGGGGGGGGGGGGGGGGAAGGAAGAAAAAGGAAGGAAAGGAAGGAGAGAAATAAGGAAAAAAGAAGGAAGAAAAAAGGAAGGAAGAAAAAAGGAAGGAAGAAAAAATAATGAAGGAAGAAAAAAGGAAGGAAAGGAAGAAAGAATGGAAGGAATGAAGAAGAAAAAAATGGAAGGAAAGAGAGGAAGAAAAAAGGAAGAAAAAAGGAAGGAAAGGAAGGAGAGAAATAAGGAAAAAAGAAGGAAGAAAAAAGGAAGGAAGAAAAAAGGAAGGAAGAAAAAATAATGAAGGAAGAAAAAAGGAAGGAAAGGAAGAAAGAATGGAAGGAATGAAGAAGAAAAAAATGGAAGGAAAGGAAGGAAGAAAAAAGGAAGAAAAAAGGAAGGAGAGGTAGGAGAGAAATAAGGAAAAAACGAGGAAGAAAAAAGGAAGGAAGAAAAAAAGGAAGAAAAAAGAATGAAGGAAGAAAAAAGGAAGCAAAGGAAGGAAGAAAGAATGGAAGGAATGAAGAAGAAGAAAACATGGAAGGAAAGGAAGGAAGAAGAAAAAAGGAAGGAAAGGAAGGAGAGAAATAAGGAAAAAAGGAAGGAAGAAAAAGGAAGGAAGAAGGAAGAAAGAATAAAAAAAAGGAAGGAAAAATGAAGGAAGAAAAAAGGAAGGAAAAGTAGGAAGCAAGGAAGAAAAAATTGAGTAAAAAAGTTGGAAGAAAGGAAGGAAGAAAGAAGGAAGAAAGGAATGTATGAAGAAGAAAAAGGGAAGGAAAAAAGGAAGGAAGCTCAGTGGGGGTCACCGCGTGGTCAAAAAATAAAACAACAAAATTTGAACTAAAACACCACGAATAAGTTCAAGAGGTCAACTTTGCTCGCAGCGCTGCGGGTGTCACCACGACCCCCCTGACCTCTGAAGAGATGAAACGACCGAGACGGTGGCAAGCGGCTGTGACAACTCTCCAGCCCCCCAGCCCCCCAGCCCCCCAGCCCCCCAGCATTCTCACGGCTAACATCAGTGGCCAGTGCCACGCAGCAGTGACTGGCGTGGTGAAGTATGGTCAAAAACAACCCCCCAGTATTTTTCGATGTAAATCTTTCGTGACTGCAGGGATTCATCTTCTTGGTTCTTTCGGTAAAGTCACGTAGAAGGGAAGTAATAAAATAATAAAAATAAAACATAATAAAACAATTCTCACGACGTTTCGGCCACAACGCAAGCAGCCGTCCTCAGGTGAAGAACAGGGCTGTCGGAAAGACAGTCTGAATGACGTCGTGAGAATTATTTTATTATGTTTTATTTTTATTATTTTATTATTGTGACTTTACCGAGGGAACCAAGAAGATGAACCCCCCAGTAGCAAGTCATCCAGCAATTGTGTGGACAAAGAAGGGCCCCCCATTCCTCTGTGTGTTTGTGTGTGTCTGTACATTACTAATTTTATATTTCGACTTAAAGCTTTCGTGACTGCAGGGATTCATCTTCTTGGTTCTTTCGGTAAAGTCACGATAATAAAATAATAAAAATAAAACATTATTTTATTATGTTTTATTTTTATTATTTTATTATTATAATAAAATAATAATAAAATAAAAAAAATCAAACATTGTTTTATTATTTTTATTTTTATTATTTTATTATTTCCATTCTACGTGACTTTACCGAAAGAACCAAGACGATAATTTAATATTCTTTGGGTCTTTAGGTAAAGCCACTTAGGAAAAAAATCATCAAAAATCGTCTTTTCTCCACCCGAATACGATCGCTTGTGTCGCGATCGATACGTCGTGATATTATTGATCTTATTTTGATTATTATTTTGTTTTTAACCACGTGGCTTTATATCGAAAGACCCCCAAAATAACACGAATTCTCGCAGTCGCGAAAGCCTTTAAAGTCATCAACATTTTAGCCACACACAAAGACAAAGATCCCCCGTGTAGCCTCAACAGACTGTAGGGGCAAGTGCTGTTAGCGAGCACCTATGAAGGCCTGAACGGTACACGAGTGGGTGGGTGGCCAGCACCACGCCCGACCGCCTTTGTCTCCCCAGTGGCAATGTTTACACACCGCACCAGGTCACTCATTTCAGGCTGAGTCGACCTAGCGGTGGCCCAGGACCGGTTCAGATAATCGTCACTGGTGGTGTTGTCCGTGAGCGGGAATCGAACTCGGGTAGCTGGCTTCGATGAGCGCTAACCGCTGCACCACCGCTCCCCCACCATCCACACACACAGACATAGTCATTCCTACTACACACCCCCGAATAGTTTCAAAGGGAAACTTTTAAACAACAACAACAACAACGACAACGACGACCCGAGGCAGATATCCAGACACCCATCGAGCAGTGGAGAGAGCAAAGAATAAGAGGGGAGGGGAAGATTTCAACACGACACGAACCTCGGTGACAAAAAAGTCGTCGCAGCAGCATGCGGCGTGGGGACGGCTGCTGCAGATTCGGAGGCTTAGGGTCCGCGGTCACGCCTGAATGGGGTGGCTCTGAACGATTGATTGATCGATTTGAAATCGATTACTCGCAATTTGAGACGAACGCGACTGGCGCATCGCAAAGGCTGCGATTTTTTGCGATTTTAGAAGTCGCTATTGATTTCTTATTGGGATTGTTTTAGTTTGTGTGGTTATTAGAACTTTAGATTTGAAGCTTTCGTGACTGCAAGGATTCATATTCTTATGTTTTTTCGGTAAAGTCACGTAGGTAAAACATCAAAATTAATAAAAAATAAAAATAAAAAATAAATAAAACAAATTTTTTTGTTTTATTTTAAAGAAATAAAAATAAATAAAATAAAACAATTTTTTTTGTTTTATTTTATTTATTTTTATTTGTATTAATTTTGATGTTTTACCTACGTGACTTTACCGAAAAAACCTAAGAATATGAATCCTTGCAAAATTAATAAAAATAAATAAAAATAAATAAAATAAAATAAAACAAATTTTTTGGTTTTATTTTATTTATTTTTATTTATTTGTATTAATTTTGATGTTTTACCTACGTGACTTTACCGAAAAAACCTAAGAATATGAATATTAGAACTTTATTTATTTAACTTAATTGTTATATTTTGATTTGAAAGCTTTCGTGACTGCAGGGATTACTCTTTTGTTCTTTCGGTAAAGTCACGTAGGTGGAAAGAAAATAAATTTAATAATGATAATAGGTTTTCCTCTTTTTTTCTGGCAACAAAATAGTTGTGTTAAGATGTTGAAACAGAAAACTGAAACCTTTTTACAAGGAATCATGTCTGTATTAATCACAATACTTGTGGTCAGAATGCAAACAAAAAACTGGGCTCAAAATAAAGCTGTCTCTGGTGTGGACCCATCAGTTTCAAGGACAATTAATTTATTATCAGATTACGTTTTTTTTGTTTGGATTCTGACCACAAATATTGTGGTTAATGCAGACATGATTCATTGTAAAAATGTTTCAGTTTGGTGTTTTAACATCTTAAAACAGCTGTTTTGTTGCCAGAAAAAAGGGGAAAACCTTTAATAATATTTTGGCACTGGCAAAGGAGGTCCCGTGATGTAGATTGTTTAGATTTGTTTTCTTTAGATTTTTTAAAATTTATTTTTAATTGTTTTCTTTAGATTTTAGTAATTTCTTTAAAATTGTTTTCTTTAGATTTTTTTTATTTCTTTTGGTTTGTTTTCTTTAAATGAATTTTGATTTGTTTTGATTTGTTTCTTTCGATTTTTTAAAATGTATTTTTATTAGTTTTCTCTTAGATTTTTTACATTTATTTGTAATTGTTTTCTTTAGATTTTTTTTATTTCTTTTGGTTTGTTTTCTTTAAATTAATTTTGATTTGTTTTGATTAGTTTTCTTTAAATTTTTAAAAATTTATTTTTCATTGTTTTCTTTAGATTATTTATTTATTTATTTTGATTTGTTTTCTTTAGATTTGTATTTATGTATTTTGATTTGTTTTCTTTAGATTTTTAAAATGTATTTAGATTTGTTTTGCGGTTTTTTTATTTTGTTTTGCTTTGATTTTTTTTCTCTTTATTTGATTTTCGTTTGTTTTGCTTTGTTGTCTAAGAACGTTTTTGGTAAAACCGAACCAAATCTAAAATTTCGATATAAAGCTTTCGTGACTGCAGGGATTCATATTCTTGGTTATTTCCGGTAAAGTCACGTAGAAGGAAAATAACAAAATAATAAACCCATACAATTCTCACGACCTTTCGATTGCAACACAAGCAATCATCATCAGGTGTGAAACCCACAGCAAGAATTTTTTTTAAAAAGTGGCAATTTTCATCACATTTTCTAGACGACAATTACTCGTCTTGCAATCAAAACGTCGTGAGAATTTAATCCTTTCATTTCTATATTTTTACTCCCCACTTCTACGCTACTTTACCGAAAGAACCAAGAATATGAACAAATCTTAATGAGCGTTAACATCAAACAAAACTCGTATAAAATTCACCGCTGTCCCTCAAGTCTCGAATCGGCAGCAGGTGGCGACATGGACCGGCTGGTGGTGGTGGCGGTGGTGGCGGTGTCTACATCTCTCTTAACAATTCTCCTCCTCTCGCTCTTACAAACAAAACAACACAAAAACATCTCCGCCTCGCCGCGCACATCAGTTTCTATCACCGCCACACACCCACCCCGCGCTCCTGAACTCGTCACCGGCTGCGAAACGTCGAACTCCGCGTCAATGACGTCCGCCTGAGCCGGTTCAGCGCCTCGCCCAGCAGCAGCAGCAGCCGCTGCCCAAAGACAAAGGTCCCCCGTGTAGCCTGTAGCTACAGTAGGGGCAAGTGCTGTCTGCGCTTTGTTTGAAGGTCGGCATCGTCGCATTCGAGGGGGTTTGGGTGGTTGGCAGTAGCATCACCACCACGCCCGGCCGCCTTTGTCTCTCCAATGTTCACCAGGAGTGTCTGTGGGTTAATGGGAACTTGATGCCTTGCGAAATGTTTGTGTGTTTGGCGTTTGAACATCTTAACACTTGTTTTTTATTGCCAGAAAACCTATTCTTATACTTTTAAACTCAGATTTTAGTTTTGCCTAAAAATGCTCAGGTAATTGTCTACAAATTTCAATCATGAAAAATATAAATTAAGAAAATGTTATCTGAAAATGTTCACGTAATTGTCAAAAAAATGCAAGCGTGAAAAAATAATATATGTAAAAAAAATGTTATCTGAAAATGTTCACGTAATTGTCTACAAAAATTTCAATGCATGACATTTTTTTTATATATAACATTTTGTACCTGAAAATGCTCAGGTAATTGTCTCAAAAATGTTCATATGTAGACAAGAAAACTGTATTTTTTTTACCTAAAAATGCTCAAGTAATTGTCTCAAAATGTTCAGGCCTCAAACATCTTCAGTCTTTTCCCCTCCTACATTTTAAGCTGTCCACCAATGAATTTGCCTGAATCACACGTGTAATTGTGAATGGAGATAATGGTGACCGTGGATTGGACCCATGAACTCACGTGACTGCCCTATCAGTTCAGGGTGGACACAGATTTGGAACCTCCCTTGTCAGTATCAAGATATAAGAATAGGTTTTACCCTTTCTGGCAATTAAACAGTTGTGTTCAGACGTTAAACCGCTAAACAGAAACCTTTTGCAAGGAACCACGCCTGCATCAACATGCAAACCAAAAAACGTGCTCTGGTGGTATATGATGATGTATTGTCTTTGAAACTGATTGGTCCACACCAGAGACAGCTTTCTTTAGAGCCTAGTCTCAAACAGTGTTAAGTAATGTTAATGAGCTGTCCATTAAATTTGGATTTAAAGCTTTCGTGACTGCAGGGATTCATCTTCTTGGTTCTTTCGGTAAAGTCACGTAGAAGGGAAATAATAAAATAATAAAAATAAAACATTTAATAATTCTCACGACGTTTTGGCCACAACGCAAGCAGCCGTCCTCAGGTGAAGAACAGGTCTGTTGGGAAGGCAGAGTCAGACTCTCCACCTGTTTCAAAGACAATGCATAAATTTTCAGAGTATTGTTTTTTGTTTGCATTTGACTGCAAGTATTGTGGTTAATGATTCCTGGCAAAAGGTGTCAGTTTTTGTTGCCAGAAAAAAGGGGAAAAACCCCTATTAGTATATTTTGGTACTGGCAAAGGAGGTCCCATGATGTAGCTGCTCACCCCGAGCTCTCATTACTCTGGTAGTGCGTTGTCTTTGAACTGTGCGCCTTTTGGCGTCATCTGGTCGAACACCATATGAGACTAGGCTCTAAAGAAAGCTGTCTCTGGTGTGGACCAATCAGTTTCAAGGACAATGCATAAATGATCAGAGTATTGTTTTTTTTGCATTTGACTGCAAGTATTGTGGTTAATGTAAGCATGATTCCTTGCAAAAGGTGTCAGTTTTGTTGCCAGAAAAAATGGGGAAAACCCTACTAGTATATTTTGGTACTGGCAAAGGAGGTCCCATGATGTCGTCTATTGTTGATAATTGTTTTTTACCCTTTTATCTGGCAACAAAACTGACACCTTTTTTTACAAGGAGTCATGTTTGCATTGACCACAATACCCGCGGTCGGAATGCAAACAAAAAAACAATACTCTGATAATTTATGCATTGTCCTTGAAACTGATTGGTCCACACCAGAGACAGCTTTCTTTAGAGCCTAGTCTCATATGGTGTTCGATCAGAGTATTGTTTTTTGTTTGTATTTGACTGCAAGTATTGTGGTTAATGTAAACATGACTCCTTGCAAAAGGTGTCAGTTTTGTTGCCAGATAAAAGGGGAAAAACCCTAATAGAACAACCACTGTTGACTTTATGCAAAGTGGTACCTATTTTGTTGACCCCCATATCTGATAATGATATGCACTGTCCTTGAAGTTGATTGGTCCACACCCGAGACAGCTTTCTTTAGAGCCTAGTCTCACATGGTGTTGGACCAGATGACGCCAAAAGGCGCACAACTCAAGGACAATGCACCATCAGAGTATGAGAGCTCGGGGTAAGCATTTACACCATTGGAACCTCATTTGCCAGTAACAAAATATGATAATTGTTTTTTTACCCATTTATCTGGCAACAAAACTGACTCCTTGTAAAAAAGGTGGCAACAAAACTGACTCCTTGTAAAAAAGTTGTCAGCTTTGTTGCCAGATTAAAGGGTAAAAAAACAATTATCATATTTTGTTACTGGCAAATGAGGTTCCAATGGTCGTCTATTGTTGTCGTCTTTATTAGCCAGCCTGTCCCCTCGTTACGATCGCGGAGGAGAGGCATACAGGGCGAGCTGGTTACATGAGCCTAACAATTTGTTTTACTCGATAAGTTGTGACGCATCTACTCTCTCTCCATGACCCACCAGCACCACCAGCATGGCGTGTGCGGTGGCCACCCCATTGCCGGAGCCGATGGACGACTTCCCGGCGTGGCTGGAGGCGCAGGGCGTGAACGAGGAGGTGGCCCGGGCCATGGACTCGGAGCTGGGCATCCGGGACTACGGGGTCCTGCGCGCCTGCGTCGGGGACGGCCTCGTGCGTGCCGAGCTGCTGGCCGCGGCGCGCGACCGCCTGCCCTTCGGCTTCTACGCCGTGCTGCGGCAGGTGGTGAAGGCCCTGCGGGGCGCCGAGCCCCACCACGACGGCGCCGGGACTCCGCTCTGGGACGACGACGACGCCGCGGCCGCCTCCTCCCCGGGCGACGTGACGCTGGGAGGGCTGGTGGACGTGCTGCTCGCTCTGTTCAGCGGCCTGAGCCGGGAGCTGCTGCTGTCTGCGCGGAGGCTGGGAGCCATGGACGGTCAAGTGGCCAGTGCTGGGGGCTCCACTCCGCCTGGAACGGAGGTTGAGATCGAGGACTTGCTAAAGGCCAACGGAAATCAGCCCTCAGGGAATGGTAATAAAATATGTTGATGTCATGATACCTGTTGCAATAGACACCAAATAAATATGGCCACTGTGGAAGCGTAGAAAGAAATAGCCCTTTGTTAGTCCGCTGATGAATGAAGGCATCTCCATAACGTGTCGGGCTGTGGGATGCGTCGACCGAACTTTACCACGCCGGTCAGTGTGTGTTGGTACAGGGGGTTGTAAATCAAACTGAGGTCACCAGGTTCATAGTGCAAGGGCGCCAACACACAGCGCTACCGTTATGTCCACGTATAACAATCGCGCACCTTTATTTGTGCAGGTGTGGTGTCGACGGGGCAGGAGGCAGGATACTTGAGGAGGCACCTTCTTGATAATTGTTTTTTTACCCTTCTATCTGGCAACAAAACTGACACCTTTTTTCTACAAGGAGTCGTGTTTGCATAGACCACAATACCTGCAGTCATAATGCAAACAAAAAACATAACTCTGATAATGTATGCACTGTCCTTGAAGTTGATTGGTCCACACCCGAGACAGCTTTCCTTAGAGCCTAGTCTCACATGGTGTTGGACCAGATGACGCCAAAAGGTACCTTCTTTATTGACACTCTTCGGTTCACAGGTTCACGACTCGTTCCTTCCAAGTCGTATAGCCTAGCCTAGACACAAACCCTGACCGTGTTACGCCGACGGCATCGACGGAGACAGCCAACAACTCTCCGGCCGCGCAATTACACTGGTCAAAAAAAAAAAAACATTTGTTTCACGTTCTGCAGATGTTGATGCCACTGGTTCTTCACGTTCTGCAGATGTAGATGCCACTGGGTGTTCACGTTCTGTAGATGTAGATGCCACTGGTTCTTCACGTTCTGCAGATGTAGATGCCACTGGTTCTTCACGTTCTGCAGATGTAGATGCCACTGGGTGTTCACGTTCTGTAGATGTAGATGCCACTGGTTCTTCACGTTCTGCAGATGTAGATGCCACTGGTTCTTCACGTTCTGCAGATGTTGATGCCACTGGTTCTTCACGTTCTGCAGATGTAGATGCCACTGGTTCTTCACGTTCTGCAGATGTAGATGCCACTGGTTCTTCACGTTCTGCAGATGTAGATGCCACTGGGTGTTCACGTTCTGTAGATGTAGATGCCACTGGTTCTTCACGTTCTGCAGATGTAGATGTCACTGGTTCTTCATGTTCTACAGATGTAGATGTCACTGGTTCTTCACGTTCTGCAGATGTAGATGCCACTGGTTCTTCACGTTCTGTAGATGTAGATGCCACTGGTTCTTCACGTTCTGCAGATGTAGATGTCACTGGTTCTTCATGTTCTACAGATGTAGATGTCACTGGTTCTTCACGTTCTGCAGATGTAGATGCCACTGGTTCTTCATGTTCTACAGATGTAGATGCCACTGGTTCTTCACGTTCTGCAGATGTAGATGCCACTGGTTCTTCACGTTCTGCAGATGTAGATGTCACTGGCTCTTCACGTTCTGCAGATGTAGATGGCACTGGCTCTTCACGTTCTGCAGATGTAGATGCCACTGGTTCTTCACGTTCTGTAGATGTTGATGCCACTGGTTCTTCACGTTCTGCAGATGTAGATGCCACTGGTTCTTCACGTTCTGCAGATGTAGATGCCACTGGTTCTTCACGTTCTGCAGATGTAGATGCCACTGGTTCTTCATGTTCTACAGATGTATTTGCCACTGGTTCTTCACGTTCTGCAGATGTTGATGCCACTGGTTATTCCATGGTCTGCAGATGTAGATGCCACTGGTTCTTCATGTTCTGCAGATGTAGATGCCACTGGTTCTTCACGTTCTGCAGATGCCACTGGTTCTTCACGTTCTGCAGATGTTGATGCCACTGGTTCTTCATGTTCTGCAGATGTAGATGCCACTGGTTCTTCACGTTCTGCAGATGCCACTGATTCTTCACGTTCTGCAGATGTAGATGCCACTGGTTCTTCACGTTCTGCAGATGTAGATGCCACTGGTTCTTCACGTTCTGCAGATGTAGATGCCACTGGTTCTTCACGTTCTGCAGATGTTGATGCCACTGGTTCTTCACGTTCTGCAGATGTTGATGCCACTGGTTCTTTCATGTTCTGCAGATGCTAATTACCTTTGGTGCTTGTGTTTCCTCGACTCTCTTGAAAAACTTATCAAGAGATGTCTGCACAGTTTGCCCTCTTCTCTTCACGAATCAACTTGTCACAGACAGATGGGGCCTCAAGCGATGAACACCTTTTAGAGAAGCTGGCTTGCTTGCACTGTACCTGTAACTCTTGCGTGATTATTGAGAAGCCACGCTGTTCACGAGTGCTTGTGTCTCTCTACACTACTCGGAGCACAACAACGAAGTCACTAAGCCAGCAACGTGGTTCACCAATTAAACGATTCTCACAAAGCACATTGATAACACTGGTCAACAAAAAAATAAAAAAAATTCTGGCCTGGACTTTTGCAGCTGATTTAGACTAATTTCACAGGGTGCTGATTCCAAATCTGTTCTCAGATTTGCTCTATCACATCTCATTTTTATACTATCGTTATACCCCACTTTCATTGATTTTACCCAAAATTAACTCTGTCACTTATGATTGCAAGTTGTTGCGAGTCAGTGACTGCTTTAGTATTAAAATATGGTGCTGTATTTTTAGGATAGTGTGTTTATAATATTATTTTTTGTAGATATCCACATTTATTTAATATTTTTCTTCTGCAGCTTTTATTGAAAATTGAATATTTGATATCTCAAAAACCTGATGTGATCGACAAAAACTGATGCCAGATTTGGAATCAGCACCCCAAAATTACCTTACACCCGTTGGAATACCTTATGCCAGAAAAAGTGTGTTGACCAGTGTAATAATACTGATGTTAAAACACATTATTCCCATCCATATTATTAGGGGCACAATTACCGATAGCCCCAAGTGAAGCCCTCGTATATTGCTCGTACGAAAGAAACCACGCTGTCGACCATGGTATAATGACCCCTTTTAGCGCCCATGTTGAGCACTCAGCGAGATCTGCCTGTATTTGACCATAATTGACTTGAGCATTCTCTGTAAAAACTCATTAAAGTCCGCACACCAACATTCTTAAACCCGGGGTACCAAATAATACAAAATGCCCGAGTAAATTAAATGTTTTATTTCTGGGACACTATTTTTTCCAGGGGTGTTCCTTAACTCCGCGACTGCGGTACCAACCAATCCGAAATCGGTGGTACCACACGATGTCGAAACGCAGCGAGGACGATTGCGCTGAAACCCTGAACGCTCGCGGTACGCACCGTGGTGGTGCATCGTGCACAGCTCGTCGAGATGAGTCGATTGCCGCATCGCCGACCATCGACAGACTAAAAATGACTGCATCACGGACATTATGCAAGAGCCGGGGTACTGCCATAAGGTTCATATTTTCCACGGCGTGCGCGCTTACTGTCCACCGCAGTTGCCGCTGCTGGACAGCAGTCGGCGCTGTGTCACTACACAGGTAGCGGCGGTGATTGTTATCGTACGTGAAGCATTCGGTGACGTCAAAAGCTCGAAACAAAATGCAGGTTTCACCGCCCGATTTTTTTTTCGGCGTTGGCTTCTGTTTTAGAAAAAGCGAGCTGCCCATTCAGTCGATGCCGCTTTTGCCCCCTCTCTCTCTCTGCAGATGCGGCGGAGGTGTCTCCTCCGGTCGGGGGCTTCAGTCCCTCGCAGGCGACTCGTGTCATTAAAATGGAGCTCCGCGATGGTAACGACGCAGCCTGCACCTCCGTTTCATCACGAGTTTCTTTCCCGGCTATGTTCCGATTTGTGCTAGCGGTAATGGGGCTTTGAGACAGAACAGATTTAGCTCTAGGGCTGAATGTTTAATAATAATAATGCAATTCATAACGCGCGCAAATTTGCGGACGTAACGGCCGCAACTCAGAGGCGCGGAGCCAAGCTCGGAGTCGCTCGAAAGCGCGTGGTTGTAGAGGTGAGTTCTTAAGTGTCTCTTGAAGGAGGCGATTGAGGCGATGCTGCGAATGTGCAGAGGGGTGATGGCGTTCCAGACTGTTGGGGCTGCCACCAAGAAGCGGCGCATAGACACGATGACCATCCTGGATCTTGGTATCGAGAGGAGGTCGTGAGTCGCGCTGCGCAGGCAATCTGCTGAGCTGCAAGTCGTCGGTAATGAAGGCAGGCACATGTGAAGGCATCGTGGCAGAGGCAGGCGATCTTGCATATGACCCTGCTGGCGATGGGTAGCCAGTTGAGGGCACGGAGACAGGCAAGTGAGTGGCTTACTAAAATGTAGTCGGCGGGTTACGGACAGTTGCTTCCCCGTAGCTCCTTTATTGCCGCCACTCTTCCCATTAATTATCTCCATGCCTTGACACCAGAGGTCGCAACCGGGTACCCGATACCCGTACCCTACCCGATACCCGGCTACCCGTACCCGGCCGGGTACGGGTAGCCGTTTGCGACCCTGGTGCGGCCGGGTACGGGTACGGGTAGGCCATGAGTCAATGGTGAGTAACCGTTTGTCACTCATTTCCCAACGTCTTGTCTCTTCTCACAATTCAAGTTCCTAGAATCAACCCACCCGCGCCTGCAACATGGCTTCATCCCAGAGGTCGCAATCGGGTACCCGTTTGCGACCCTGGTGCGGCCGGGTACGGGTAAGGAATCAAAACCCGTTTGCGACCTCTGCTTGACACCTCTGCCAGTATCGTCGACGACCAGGGGGCTTACTAACTATTCAAACTGTTTATTTGTTTACTAGGTAAGGCCCCACTGAGGAGCCACCTGGCCACAAATGATAGCTCAACGAAGTGGCTTGTCACGTGGAAATTTCTAGCAGTCAAATACTCTTAAATGCACGGTTCTAAATGTGGAGGGAAAAACGGGAGGACCCAGAGAAAAATGCAACCGCGGGGAGAGAGACACCGCAAACTCTTAATATATTAATATACAGCAGCAGGCGTCAGGGTCGGAATCGAACCCACGACCTCCTGTATACCAGCCGAGGTAGTTAACATCTCCCAACTGTGATGATGATGATGATGAGAGAGACACCGCAAACTACAAATATTCATCAGCAGACATCGTCAGGGTCGCGATCGAACCCACGACCTCCTGTATACCAGCCGAGGTAGTTAACATCTCCTAGCCACCGTGATGATGATGAGAGAGAGACACACAAACTCTAAATATACAGCAGCAGCAGGCGTCAGGGTCGGAATCGAACCCACGACCTCCTGTATACCAGCCGAGGTAGTTAACATCTCCTAGCCACCGTGATGATGATGAGAGAGAGACACGCAAACTACAAATATTCATCAGCAGACATCGTCAGGGTCGCGATCGAACCCACGACCTCCTCCTGTATACCAGCCGAGGTAGTTAACATCTAGCCACCGTGATGATGATGAGAGAGAGACACGCAAATTCTAAATATACAGCAGCAGCAGGCGTCAGGCTCGGAATCGAACCCACGACCTCCTGTATACCAGCCGAGGTAGTTAACATCTCCTAGCCACCGTGATGATGATGAGAGAGAGAGACACACAAACTACAAATATTCATCAGCAGACATTGTCAGGGTCGCGATCGAACCCACGACCTCCTGTATACCAGCCGAGGTAGTTAACATCTCCTAGCCACCGTGATGATGAGAGAGAGACACACAAACTACAAATATTCATCAGCAGACATCGTCAGGGTCGCGATCGAACCCACGACCTCCTCCTGTATACCAGCCGAGGTAGTTAACATCTCCTAGCCACCGTGATGATGATGAGAGAGAGACACGCAAACTACAAATATTCATCAGCAGACATCGTCAGGGTCGCGATCGAACCCACGACCTCCTGTATACCAGCCGAGGTAGTTAACATCTCCTAGCCACCGTGATGATGATGAGAGAGAGACACGCAAACTACAAATATTCATCAGCAGACATCGTCAGGGTCGCGATCGAACCCACGACCTCCTGTATACCAGCCGAGGTAGTTAACATCTCCTAGCCACCGTGATGATGATGAGAGAGAGACACACAAACTACAAATATTCATCAGCAGACATCGTCAGGGTCGCGATCGAACCCACGACCTCCTGTATACCAGCCGAGGTAGTTAACATCTCCTAGCCAGCGCGGCACCCCTTGTGATGCTGGCGTTGTCGTCGTCGATTTGAGTGCCTGCCCTCCGTTAACCCGGTTGCAGATGACATCTCGTGGCCAGCGCCTGGGGGCGATGGCAACCTCCACCAGGTCTCTTGGGAGGATCTGGACCCGCGAAGAATGGGCTTCATAAGCTCAACAGAACTAGCAGGTGACGGGCAAGAGGGGGGAGCGGTGCTGAAGGGTTTCGAGATTTCACTGTGAAGTGTGACGCGTGTTAACGTTTTGCATCCCACGTGGTATACGTATCACGTATGTTGACATTTTTCAAGCATGATTTTTTTATCCGATTTTTTTTTTACTGAAAAATACGCAGGTAATTGTGTCAACGTTTTCAGACCTGAAAATACATTTTTTATGTTTTTTATTTTACGTAGAAATGCTCAGATAACATAACGTTTTGCGTCACACGTGGTGTACGTAGCACGTATGTTGACATTTTTCAAGCATGAATTTTTTTTTAATCTGATTTTTTTTTTACCGAAAAATACGCAGGTAATTCTCTCAACATTTTCAGAGCTGAAAATACATTTTTTTTTAATTTTACGTAAAAATGCTCAGATAATTGTCTCAATTTTTCAAGCATGAACATGTGTTTCTTAAAATATATATTTAACGTTTTTTTTTTACCTGCAAATACTCTGGTAGTTGTCTCAAAATTTTCAGACCTGAAAATACATTTTTTATTTTTTATTTTACGTAAAAATGCTCAGATAATTGTCTCAATTTTTCAAGCATGAACATGTGTTTTTAATATATATATTTTATGTAGTTTTTTACCTGCAAATACTCTGGTAGTTGTCTTAACATTTTCAGACCTGAAAATAAATTTTTTATTTTTTTATTTTACGTAAAAATGCTCAAATAATTGTCTAAAATTTTCAAGCATGAACATGTGTTTTTTTTAAAATATTTATTTCAATTTTTTACCTGCAAATACTCTGGTAGTTGTCTCAAAAAATGTTCAGGCCTGACAACATTTGGAGTCTCTTCCCCTCCATTTCAATTTGTCCTCCAATGAATTTGAGCCTGGGGCGTTTCAGGCAGCCTGCCCCGGGATGTTGTCTCTTGCTTGTCATGTGCAGGGCATGCTAACGATGTGAATGTTACGTCTGTTCATTTTTATAATTATTGGCACGTGTTTGCTATTCTGCAAACGTGTAATTAACGTGTGTGGAGTGGTGCTGAAAATATAAAAATTTGAATATAATTTATTACCACCGCATATTTCAACCTTGTATGTATATGTATGTTGAACTAGTTTTTCACCGTACGTAGCCAACCGTGCCAATCGGAGGGGAAGGACAACAAACTTAACACAAAAACGCAGTTCTAAAGATTTATATAACAATTAAAACGTGACATATATTAAAACAATACATCAAAAAACATCGTGTTAAAAAACACATTCTAAGGAGCACAAACAATGATTAAAAACCGAACAGATTATAAAAACGTGTTTTTTAATAGATTAATAATTTTTTACAAAATGTAACAATAACAACACGAAAGCATCCCAAGCCTTAAAACGTGATCTAATAATCATCTCCATATGCATAAAAGGCAAAGTTGTGATTATGCGTGTCTGTTCAAAATGTTTAGCGTACTTCCCGACATGCAACAAACTTGAAATTTGCCAGTCTCACAGGCTACTCTGGGGATATTTGTCTTTATCCTGTGTGTGTGTGGTGGGGGCCAGCGATTGCGTAGCTATTCGCGCGCCGCGCTACAAACCCGGCGACCCGAGTTCGATTCCCGCTCACGGCCACCACCGGTGGCGATTATTTGAACCGGTCCTGGGCCTCCTCTAGGTCGACTCAGCCTCAAACGAGTAACTGGTGTTGGTGTGTGAACATCGCCACTGGGGATACAAAGGCGGCCGGGCGTGCTGAATCCAAGTCCCGGGCGAAGCCGGGCAGTCAAGCTAGTAATGATATAGTTTTCATCGCAACATTATGTGACAGAAATATTTCCAGTACAGTATAAGTTACTGCAGAAGGATTGCAGTGCAGTATGTATGTTGAACTTCTTTCGCGCCTTACGTAGCTAACCGTGGTGATCGGAGGTTGCGGGGGGAAGACAACAAACTAAACACAAACAGCAGTTTGAAAGACGCGACTTTTCAATTCAGATATGGCTCACGGATTCACATCGTGGCAGTGGCTTTGCCTCTGTGCGTGTGTGCACGTGCGCATCACGCGCGATAACCCCGATGCAATTCCTAACACGAGTTTCCGTCTCCCGTAGGCAAGCACATCGGTGACCAATCCGGCTTCGTCATTCAGAAAGTGACCTCGCTGCAGGCCGCCGGGGACGATTTCAGCATCGACTCTTCACCGCGTCTGCTGCACCCCCCGGCCGAAGCAAAGTACAGCGGCGGCGGTGGCGGCACAAGATCAAAAGCTGCCATCGCCGCCGCCGCCGCCGAACACGCAAACCAGCTGTTCGGTGACGGAAGCTTCCGCTGGCCGGGAGGCCCGAACCATAACAAGATCGTGACCGCCGGCGACGGCGATCGCCCGGCAACGGAGCGCGTTCCGCCCGAGTCAAACCGGCGCGACGGCTACGCCGGTCGGCCCGGAGTCGCGCCCGCCGGCCAGGCCACCGGGCACCCCTCCGACGGCCCCCACCGGTGCGAGGTCTGCGGCCGGTGCTTCGCTCAGCGCCGCGCCCTCCAAAGCCACCGACTGGCGCACACGGCCGGCGCCAAGCAGCCGGACCGGCGCGGCGCTTGCGGCCGCGCCCTCCCCCAGGGCCGCGGGCCGAACCTCGACGAGTGCGCCGCCGCGGCCGACGCCGCCGCCGCAGCCGCGGCGAGGCCGCACCGATGCCCGGTGTGCGGCCGCGCTTTCGCCCTCGCCGGCGAGCTCAAGTCGCACGCGCGCACGCACACGGGCGAGAAGCCGTACCCGTGCAGCGTGTGCGGACGCGCCTTCTCGTGGCTGTCCAGCCTCAAGATCCACCGGAGCTCGCACACGCGCGAGCGTCCCTTCCGCTGCGCCGCGTGCGGCCAGAGCTTCCCGCACCGCTGCGGCCTCAAGCGTCACGAGCGCACGCACACGGGCGACAAGCCGCACGGCTGCGACGAGTGCGGGCGGACCTTCGTGCTGCCGAGCGAGCTCAGGAACCACCGGCGCACGCACACGGGAGAGAGGCCGTTCAGCTGCGGCGTGTGCGGACGCGCGTTTACGTGGAGCAAGAGCCTCAAGATGCACGAGCGGACGCACGCGCGGGAAGCTGGCGCCGCCGAGGGAACGCCAGGCCCATCCGGCCTGGCCTTGCCTGCGGGCGCGGGAGATATGGGAGCTCGCGTTCCTTGAGCTTCGTCCGCGTATCGAAAGTTTGCATGTTGAGCGACTTCTAGCGTTGGTACCGCGCACGGCGTGAGGACGCGTTCCCGGCCTAAGTAGCTTCCCCTTTCACGCTACCGAACACTTGTTGACTTATCGTTCACATCGTACACGGAGACAATTTACGTTGAAAATAATGTGTTTTATACTGTGCAGTATTCAAATTAAAAAACGACTGTCAAATATCTTCGCGCTCACCTTTGCAGTCTTGGGTGCAGTCGTAAGGCTGCATTGCCGATTGCCCGAGACGAATTAACAAAAAAATTAACCCGTAAAAACAAAGTTTTTCACTATAAATCCTTTATATGCGTGGCATCGGTTTTATTTTATTATTCATTTCTGTTTTTCTTGAGTAAGAGTTTCATTTTTATCACATTGTATTTTAAATTAAATATGAAATTTATTTTATTATTCATTTCTGTTTTTCTTGAGTAAGAGTTTCATTTTTATCACATTGGTATTTTAAATTAAATATGAAATTAACTTTTTCCTAAAAAGTTGAAAATTTTGGAAAAAAATTTTCACGAAAATAAATTGTCACGCACAACGAGTCTGTGTGCAAAATGTCAGCTCGATTGGATCACGGGAAGTGGGTTAAAAAACGACCGAAAGATTTGCACGGTCGTAAGCGCGCAAGCAAGCAAGCAAGTGAACTTAATATAAAGGATTTAAAAAAACATTCTGACCCATCGCGATGCACAATTCTCAAGAATCCGTATCTTATAATTGTATTTTTATTTCTATACTGTCGATGGATAATTGTATTATTTATAAATGTCAGTGTATTTAGTTATTATTTTACTTTGTATTCACATTAAGATAATGTAGGTGAATACAAAGTTATGCTGAGACTTCGCGCGCGGCGAATATTCGCGTATCGAGGAATTGCCGTTGCTTTTATTCTTTTCCTTGGACCCATTTGGGATCGTGTTTCTACAGCCTCGTGTTTGTGCAGTTGTTGATGCAGAGAGCCCTACAGAGAGCCCTACAGCGTGGCTAGCGTCACGCATTTTGCCATGGGCAAGCGTGGCATCATACTATGGTACGAAGCATAACTTTCCGCTACGACGATGCAAATCATTTCTTTGACGGCTGCCAGAATGTTCCAGATGTTATTTTGAAAACTCCGCCATTATTGCCTGGGACTTTATGGCAGTGTTTTATTCATTTTGCGATGGACTATGGGACACTTTTAAAGATGTATTGCTCCTGACAACATTCTGTTCTAATGCTTTAAAAGTACGAGCAGTCTTCGACTTACGAAAGGGTTCCGTTCCCGTGACCCGTTCGCAAGTCGGAACACAATAATGTTACCGTATTTAAATGCGCGTACTTGTGAAATGTGTTCCGTTTCAACAACAAAAAAAGAGAAGCTTTTATAAACGCGTAAATAAAAAGAAATGGTGTGCATTTGCAAGTAATGCTGTAATAAGTACTGTAGAGTGAACAAACACACAAAATAAAGTAACGTGAATAGAAAACTAAAGTCAGTTTTGTTTTCATCTGTCCTGTGTAATGAGTCCTCACAAACGCACTCACAACAAAGACAAAGATCCCCCGTATAGCCTGTAACGGACTGTTGGGGCAAGTGGTGTTAGCGAGCGCCTATGAAGGTCAGTACCGTGGCACGCGAGGGGGGTGGGTGGCCAGCACCACGCCCGGCCGCCTTTGTCTCCCCAGTGATGATGTTCACTACACAGCACCAGGTACCGTATTTTCACGCATATAGCCCGCATATGCATCTAAACCGCAGATGCATATACTCTGCAAAAATAGCGTTTTGTGTTAAACAAATTTAAATTAGCCCGCGCCTCCATGTACCCCGCATGCATTCATATCGTTAACGTTACCGCAGCTTAATTCCATCGTATTAATACGAAGTTTACATTTGTAAACAGGGCCCTGCGGGGTGGGCTGGTAGGAACGAATAACCAAAGAATATAAACATAATGTATTATTACACTTGTTTAGCCAGGAAAGCCCCACTGAGTCTAAAGGTTTTTGTAGGGTCCTGCCAAGTGTTTGCAGTAGGGGGCGATGTTGCTACACCTAATCGGACATCGGACGGACGGACGGACGATATAATCTATTGTAGGCTGGTTCACTTCGTTCCTACCAGTATAAATCACACTATCAATTGTTCACATTAAAATAATAACGTACACAAATACAGTAAAACCTTGGATTGCGAGTATTTTGCAAGACGAGCAAATTTTTTAAATGAATATTAATTTGATAAACGAGCGAGGTCTTGCAATACGAGTAGTACCTATACGCTTTGTCTGCCGAGCGTCACGTGATCACAACTGATATACGAGTGCTTTGGATTACAAACACGTTTCCAGAACGAATTGTGCTCGCAATCCCAAGTTTTACTGTATTAAAACACAAAAGTTTAACTTGCAAGGTAAAGTAATTGTATTTTTTTCCATTTGCTATACAGCCAGTTAACACGACAAATAGCTAACCCTAAAACACCCAGTCGTTCCTAAAAGTCGAAGGCGGTATAGTACTATAGCAATAGAGCAAGTGCAAAATCACTGAACCGGAATTGATAGCTTGAAAGCGTTTAGCGCCGAGAGTAGGGGGGGGAGCTTTTTTTAAATCCTTTATATTAAGTTTGCTTGCTTGATTGCTTGCGTGCTTGCTTGCTTGCGTGCTTGCTTGCTTGCTTACGACCGTGCAAATCTTTCGGTCGTTTTTTTAACCCACTTCCCGTGATCCAATCGAGCTGACATTTTGCACACAGACTCGTTGTGCGTGACAATGCATTTTCGTGAAAAAAAATTCCAAAATTTTACACTGTTTATGGAATTTTTTAAAATATTTAATTACCAATTGTTTAATGCTGCCAGACAATCATCTGACCCATAGGTGGCAGCCATCTCAAGCCAGAGGACGAGAGGACTCTAGCCGCCCCGATGCCACGCGTATAAAGGATTTATAGTGAAAAACTTTGTTTTTACGGGTTAATTTTTTATGTAGCTACTTTTGTGCTACTGGGATCATCCGGCACTGATTATTTTATATTCTTTAGAGTTTAGAAGATAGGGGCCATCCATAAATGACGTCACGCACCTAGGGGGGGGGGGGGTGAGAAATGTGACGTCACATCAAAATGCGCAACTTTAAATAAATATAGACAACACGTTCTACTTAATTCAATAGACTTTTTAATAAATGTTTTCTTCCTACAACATCAGAGTGCAGCGCCACATTAAATACACGCTACAATGACAAAAGTTTAAAGCGATTTGAAGCATGTTTTATTTTTAAAATGGAAATATGTTTTTTGGGAGGGGGGGGCAGAGCTTTGTGACGTCATATTTGAGGGGGGGTCAAAAATCGTCAAATCGCGTGACGTCATTTATGGACGGCCCCTTTAGTGTTGGTAAAACAATTATATATTTATTTAAAGTTGCGCATTTTGATGTGACGTCACATTGCTCAAACCCCCCCCTCCCTCGCCACACATCGTCACAAATGTCTGACCACCCCACCCCCCAGGTGCGTGACGTCATTTATGGACGGGCCCCCATAGGATCGGAGAAAAAATTATCGCAATGGAATTTTGTGGTGGGAAGGGAGAGGGAGGGGTGGGGGGGAGAGGGAGGGGTGGGGGGAGGGAGGGGAGGGAGGGGAGGGAGGGGGGGAGAGGGAGGGTTGGGGGGAGGGGGAGGGAGGGTAGGGAGGGGGGAGGGAGGGGGGAGAGAGGGGGAAGGGAGGGGGGAGGGAGGGGGTGGGAGGGGGAGAGGTAGAGGAGGGGAGAGGGAGGGTGGGGGAGGGGGCGGGGGGGGGAAGAGAGAGGGAGGAGGGGGAGAGGGAGGGGAGAGGGGGTGGAAGGGGGAGGGGGGGCGGAAGGGGGAGGGGGGGGCGGAAGGGGGAGGGGGGGGTGGAAGGGGGAGGGGGGGGGTGGAAGGGGGAGGGGGGGGGCGGAAGGGGGAGGGGGGGGTGGAAGGGGGAGGGGGGGGGGTGGAAGGGGAGGGGGGGGGCGGAAGGGGGAGGGGGGGGCGGAACGGGGAGGGGGGGGCGGAAGGGGGAGGGGGGGGTGGAAGGGGGAGGGGGGGGTGGAAGGGGGAGGGGGGGGCGGAAGGGGGAGGGGGGGGTGGAAGGGGGAGGGGGGGCGGAAGGGGGAGGGGGGGCGGAAGGGGGAGGGGGGGCGGAAGGGGGAGGGGGGGCGGAAGGGGGAGGGGGGGCGGAAGGGGGAGGGGGGGCGGAAGGGGGAGGGGGGGGTGGAAGGGGGAGGGGGGGCGGAAGGGGGCGGGGGCGGAAGGGGGAGGGGGGCGGAAGGGGGCGGGGGCGGGGGCGGAGGGGGGAGGGGCCGAGTGGTAAATTCGCCGCGGTCCCTTAGAGAGCTGCTGCCGCTGCGTTGAGCCACACGGAGGAGCGGTGGGGGTGGTGGTGGCGGCGTCTCTCTCCGCGTTCGTTCAAACGTCTCCCGTTCCTCTCGTTTATATCGCTTCGCGCTACTTTCTTCACGTGAATTTTAACAAGACGACGACAACGACAAGCGAGCGAGCGAATCCCGCGTGAGTCCTGTTGTTGTTGTTGTTGTTATTGTTGTTGTTGTTTGACCCCTTCTCTGTTCGCGCGCGCGCGGCCGCCGTCACGGTACAGTGCGACCCATTGCAGCAGCAGCAACAACAACAACGATGATTAGTTTAAGGGCGTTAAAGTCGAAATTAACACGATTCTAGATAACCTGCCGAAGGTAAACGACGATTGTGTTTGTTTAATTTTTTGTTTTTATAACGTAAAACATGGGAATTACATCAATAGGCGGGGTGGTGGTGATTACTGTACGGAAGTGTAACGCAGACGGAGGATTTCTAAAAAAACTAAAATCCCGAACTAAACGGAGCTGGCGATGTTCGATTTAAAGATTTCGTGAGCGCGTGGATTCATATTCGTGGTTATTTCGGTAAAATCGCGTAGAAGCGAAAACATATAAATAATAAAACAATAAAATTATCACGACATTTCGTTTGTCAACGCCAACACTCGTCATCAGGTGCTGTGAAAACCACAGCGAGAGAAAATGTTTGGCAATCGATAAGTCGTGGGAGAATGACATTGTTGATGTTTTTTTATTAAATCCTTTATATTAAGTTCACTTGCTTGCTTGCTTAGGACCGTGCACATCTTTCGGTCGTTTTTAAATCCTTTATATTAAGTTCGCTTGCTTGCTTGCGTGCTTGCTTGCTTGCTTAGGACCGTGCAAATCTTCGTTTTTTAACCCACTTCCCGTGATCCAATCGAGCTGACATTTTGCACACAGACTCGTTGTGCGAGACAATTAATGTTCGTGAAAAAAAATTCCAAAATTTTACACTCTTTAGGGAAAACAAATTAAATATTTAATTACCAATTGCTTAATGCTGGCAGACAATCATCTGACCCATAGGTGGCAGCCATCTCAAGCCAGAGGACGAGAGGACTCTAGCCGCCACGCATATAAAGGATTTAGAGTGAAAAACTTTGTTTTTACGGGTTATACTTATTATTAAATCCTTTATATTACGTTTGCTTGGTTGCTTAGGACCGTGCAAATCTTTCGGTCGTTTTTTAACCCACTTCCCGTGATCCAATCGAGCTGACATTTTCCACACAGACTCGTTGTGCGTGACAATTAATTTTCGTGAAATTTTTTCTCTCCAAAATGTTACACTTTTTAGGACAAAAAATTATATTTAATTACCAATTGCTTAATGCTGCCATGCAATCATCTGACCCATAGGTGGCAGCCATCTCAAAGCCAGAGGACGAGAGGACTCTAGCCGCCACGCATATAAAGGATTTATAGTGAAAAACTTTGTTTTTACGGGTTATACTTGTTTCAAACACGGATCTTTTGGTGGACACGCGGCCCGGGGGGAGGTCACAGAGACGATACCTTCAGACGCAACTCTTTGGATATTGGGGGTGGTTGGGTTGGTGTTGTTCACCCCACAACCACCACCACCATCATCATCATCTCGCAGTTGTTTGACTGCTTTGGTATTCCCATAACTCGATCATCATCACCATTGGAACCTCATTTGCCAGTAAAAAATATAATTGTTTTTTTACCCTTCTATCTGGCAACAAAACTGACACCTTTTTTTACAAGGAGTCATGTTTGCATAGACCACAATACATGCAGTCATAATGCAAACAAAAAACATAACTCTGATGGTGCATTGTCTTTGAGTTGTGCGCCTTTTGGCGTCATCTGGTCCAACACCATGTGAGACTAGGCTCTAAGGAAAGCTGTCTCGGGTTTGGACCAATCAACTTCAAGGACAGTGCATACATTATCAGAGTTATGTTTTTTTTTTGCATTATGACTGCAGGTATTGTGGTCTATGCAAACATGAGTCCTTGTAAAAAAAGGTGTCAGTTTTGTTGCCAGATAGAAGGGTAAAAAAACAATTATCGATCATCATTCTCCAATTCTCTCTCTCTACTTACTCGCAGAGTTCCAGACGGGACTGGCCGTCTGGAACGTTCTCTCTCTACTCCCACGCAGAGTTTTGGCTGCTATGAATGTCCACATGACGACAAGCCACTCAGTTGAGCTTTCATTTGTGATAGCCAGTTCGCTTATGAACAAGAGCTCAATGCTGTTGTGGAGTGACTCATGCAGCCAGCTATGGCTGCAGGGTTTTGGTGGTACATGTTGTTTGTCGTTTATTGTGAAAATTCCGTCACAGTTCCTATGATCACTGTTTCATTGCTTTATTTTGGTGATTTCGAAAAGTTTACTGGTTTGGCCATGTTTGTTTGTTGTAGTACGGAGTAAGACTGATGGCCTTAATCTAAGTTGTCTTGTGGTGGTTGTTGTTGTTTGACTTGAATCCCACTGGGATTTTTGCACACAACGTTGGTGTATGGTGTTTTTTCTGCAATATTTTGCTGTCTTTTCTTGGATTTTCTGTTTGCACTTAGTCACATATTCACTTTAAGATGTTTTCTTGTTCTTTTTGTTTGTTTGTTGCGGTTACACCCGATTCAAGAGCCGAATAGCCCTGTGAGCCATACCTAATAAATGAACTTGAACCTGATAGAAGAAAAAGTTTTAGGGTTTTTTTACAATGTAAATAAATACGGCAAAAGTTCTGTTATCCGGCATCCATCGGGAATGGAGGGATTCAGGTTAATTAAAGATGCCGGTTAGTTTAGAGAGTTATAATTATGGTTCACCAAATTTTCCAAGCAGTACAGTTTTTCAAAGAACAAAAAACTAAGCCTACACTTTTAACTGTGATACAAGAAATAATATTACCCTTTTACAGAGGCACTCACCGTTCAGTTGCAGAGCATTCTTAGTTGATTGTAGCAAATCAGTGGGGGCCCCGTTCAGAGTACAGAATACAGTCGTACGGCGCTGTACGTACGGACTTCTGCTAGCTCCACCGCTCGGCAGCGTCCTGAAGTTTCCCTAAACAACGACAACAACAATGGATCTACGGCAGGCGCACGGCAAGATGCCGGATGGCTTGTCAGAATTTCTTTCGGATCCGTGCAGGAAACATTTGTATTTCCGTCCATGACGAGATGCCCGTTAATAGAGCATTCCGGATGGTCAAGTGCCGGATAACAGACCTGTTGCTGTAACCACTGTTGGTATGGTTTTTGTTCGGGGGGTAAATCTGTTCCATGGCGTTGACTAGTTGGCAAATACTATGAGATCTCCTTTACCAGTGGCAAAATATAGTAATAGGTTTTTACCCTTTTAACTGGTACAAAAACTGACACCTTTATACAAGGCATCATGTTTGCAATAACCTCAACACAAGAAGTCAAAATGCAAACAAAAAGAAACAACTCTGATAATGATATGCACTGTCCTTGAAGTTGATTGGTCCACACCCGAGACAGCTTTTCTTAGAGCCTAGTCTCCATTGGTGTTGGACCAGATGACGCCAAAAGGCGTACAACTCAAAGACAGCGCACTATCAGAGAGTATTTAGAGCTCGGGGTAAGCATTTACACTATGAGACCTCCTTTACCAGTGGCAAAATATAGTAATAGGTTTTTGTTGAAAGGGTAAAAACCTATTACTATATTTTGCCACTGGTAAAGGAGGTCTCATAGTGTAGTTGGCACATCTTGCAAAGTTGATAAAAATGCACGATCAATTGACGTATTGTTCCGTTCCTGTTCACAGTTTTACTCCGCACAACCCTTAATTTCAACCCAAAGTCATCGCCTTTAACGAGACGAGCATCATCAGCATGGCGTGCGCGGTGGCTACCCCATTGCTGGAGCCGATGGACGACTTCCCGGCGTGGCTGGAGGCGCAGGGCGTGAACGAGGAGGTGGCCCGGGCCATGGACTCGGAGCTGGGCATCCGGGACTACGGGGTCCTGCGCGCCTGCGTCGGGGACGGCCTCGTGCGTGCCGAGCTGCTGGCCGCGGCGCGCGACCGCCTGCCCTTCGGCTTCTACGCCGTGCTGCGGCAGGTGGTGAAGGCCCTGCGGGGCGCCGAGACCCACGATGACGATGATGATGCTGCCGCCTGCTCCCCGGGCGACGTGACGCTGGGAGGGCTGGTGGACGCGCTGCTCGCTCTGTTCAGCGGCCTGAGCCGGGAGCTGCTGCTGTGCGTGGGGAGGCTGGGCGAGTGGGATGGACTGACCCATCCCACAGCTTTATCAGCCACAGGCGCTGACAGTCCTGAAGATGTGGGGCTGGGAGCCATGGATGACCAAGAAACCAGTGATGGGGATTTCACTTCAACCGCAAGAGCGGTCGCTCCAATGGATGCAGCAGATGATTTTGTTGCCTGTCCAGCGGAAGGTAACGTGCCACGGTGTTCACGTAGTGCTTTCGATTTTGAATTTCTCCTCTCCGGTGAGATGTTAGGCCTGCGATTGTGTTTGATCCCGTTTATATTTAATCTGTGCGAATCGTTTCCACGAACGCCCATGCTGGGACCAAACTGCCACGAGACAATACCAAACGCAGCGGTTTTTGTTTTCCAGGTGAGGCTGGGGCTGGCCAGTTGTTATCCGGTGAGCGCTTAAACCACAATAAGACGTTGACTGTCATCAAAGTTGAGACCAGCGAAGGTAAGGTTTTGGCCAAGAACACATTCCTGCGAAGTGAGCTGATAGAAACGTTGGGTTGGTTGGTCAATGGCCAGGGTCAACGGCGGAAGTGGTGTATTCCACAAATATGCCCGACTGTGAGGGCGGGCACAAGCTGGCGTGAGTAGGTTAAACGTTGAGTTTTATAAGGGCACCACGGGGTGACCAACCCCTCCCCACCCAGCCCCACCCCTCCCTCCCCCCACCCAGCCCCACCCTCCCCACCCAGCCCCTCCCCACAGAGAGAGAGACACACACACAGAGAGAGAGACACACAGAGACACAGAAAGAGAGACACACAGGAGACAGAGAGAGACACACACAGGAGACACACAGAGAGAGACACACAGAGACACACTCTGTGTGTGTCGATGTGTCTCTCCTATGTGTCTCTCTGTCTCTGTGTGTCTCTCTCTCTGTCTCTGTGTCTCTCTCCGAGCTTGCATTTACATCCAGTTCTCACCTGATGACGGGTGCCTGTGTTGCAATCGAAACGTCGTGTTCTATTTTTTTCTTTCGACGTGACTTTACCGAAAGAACCAAAGAGTTATTGTATTTCGTTTCTAAGAGTAACTGTGAAAAGAGAAGAGCCCAAGGGAACGGGTTCCATTGTTAGGGCACATTAATTCAGAACGGTTGTAGCGGGTTATCATCCTGCACTCCCAAGTGTTGACGGGCACATCTTTAATTTCCTGCAACCGATTAGCATCGAGTCTTCTTGTGCATGTGGTGTGGTGGCAGAATGCTCTATCCTACTGGGGCACAGGTTATAATGAGTGCGTGTTCCGGTCCGAGTTATTTATTTTAATAATTGGTTTTTTACCCTTCTATCTGGCAACAAAAAAAAAAAGGTGTCAGTTTTGTTGCCAGATAGAAGGGTAAAAAACCAATTATATTTTTTTACTGGCAAATGAGGTTCCAATGGTGTAAATGCTTACCCCCAGCTCTCATACTCTGATGGTGCGTTGTCTTTGAGTTGTGCGCCTTTTGGCGTCATCTGGTCCAACCCATGTGAGACTAGGCTCTAAGGAAAGCTGTCTCGGGTGTGGACCAATCAACTTCAAGGACAGTGCATACAGAGTTATGTTTTTTTGTTTGCATTATGACTGCAGGTATTGTGGTCTATGCAAACATGACTCCTTGTAAAAAGGTGTCAGTTTTGTTGCCAGATAGAAGGGTAAAAAACCAATGATCATATTTTTTTACTGGCAAATGAGGTTCCCATAGTGTAAATTATTTAATTTACTTTGTAAATTCTTATTTTTTGGGGGGGGGAGCCTTTCAGCTTAACTCTTTGTAGTTCGGACGTTCCTGCATTCTCACGCACGATCCTGAATCGTTGTCCGTTGCCGTTTGATTTATCCCGCAGAGGAGAAGTGGAACCCAGTTGCAGACTTCGAAGGTTTGGACCCCGGGCAGATGTTGCAGAGAGTGAAAACGGAAACCCGCGGAGGTAACGCAACATATTCATCTGCGGCTCCTGCTGTCAGCGGTGCTCAATTGATCTGCGACGATTCATTTTACCGAAACGTTTTCACGTATCGCATGGCAAGTTCGCCACATTATTACGGATAAAGAGTCGATGTCTTTTGCCTCCTATAAGAGAGACGATGCGTGCGAAACACCTGGCACGGTGCTTCGAGCAGAAGACGGGATTAGGCAGCCATCGCGTGCGGCCAGACGCCGCGACAAATCGCGTCGAGACAAAACCCCCCCGTTGACCCTTTGCTTTCGTCGTCTTTTCCTCTCCCCGGCAGGCACGAAGAGCTCCCACGAGCGCTGGCAGCCCGTCGCCGCGGACGCCAGCTCTCTGCGGGACGCCCAAGCGGCGGACGTGCCCGCCGTGGGCAGTTTACCCGCGCAGCGTCGGCGGCCGACGTTTGGCAGAACGCGCGTCGGCAACGCCACGGCCACCACGAGTGGCGGCGCGTTCGAGACCGATCAGCAGCAGCTCGCGATGGGATACGCCCAGGACGAGAAGGCCGCGGACATAGACGTGCCTCTCCCGCAGGAGGAGCAGCAGCAGCATCAGCACCACGACGACTTTGCCTTCGCCGTCGACGGTCTATCGCCGGCGTTCGAGCCGATTCGACGGCGTTCGCTGAAGGTGGCTGCGGGCAAGAAGCTGTTCGGCTGCCGGGTTTGCGGTCACTTCTTCTCGATGAGGTGCAGCCTGGTCCGCCACCAGCGCTTGCACACGGGCGAGAAGCCCTACTCGTGCAGCGTGTGCAACCACCTGTTCTCCTCGAGCTCGCACCTCAAGTCGCACGAGCGTACGCACACGGGCGAGAGGCCGTACCGCTGCGAGGTTTGCAAGCAGAACTTCTCGCAGCTGAGCACGCTGAGGCGCCACGAGCTGACGCACACGGGGGAGAGGCCTTACCGCTGCGGCGAGTGCGAGCAGACTTTCACGCGCAAGAACGTCCTGAGGAAGCACGAGCGTACGCACGATAGCAAGAGGCCCTTCCACTGCGGCGGGTGCGGGCAGAGCTTCGGCAAAGCGTCGTCTTTGAAGTTTCACCAGCGCACGCAAGTGGCGTGCTCCCAAGTCGGTGATTTAAACTGATTGTTTTTTTTAACCAAGTAAGGCCCTGCTGTGATGATGAAGAAGATGGCTTATTGAACCTCCTGCATAACAAGCGAGGGAAATATCACCAGATTTGAAGCTTTCGTGACTGCAAGGATTCATATTCTTAGGTTTTTTCGGTAAATTTCGATTTAAAGCTTTCGTGACTGCAGGGATTCATCTTCTTGGTTCTTTCGGTAAAGTCACGTAGAAGAGAAGTAATAAAATAATAAAAATAAAACATAATAAAATAATTTTTTTATTATGTTTTATTTTTATTATATTTTTCTTATTTTATTACTTCCCTTCTATGTGACTTTACCGAAAGAACCAAGAAGATTTTTCGGTAAAGTCACGTAGGTAAAAAATTAAAATTAATAAAAGTAAAATAGAAATAAAATAAAAATCACGACGTTTCGGAGGCAACACAAGCTTCCGTCTTCAGGTGGAACCGTCACAGCACGATAGCTGTATCAAGTGAGTATTTTACTTTTATTAATTTACATTTTTTACCTATGTGACTTTACCAAAAAAACCTAAGAATATGAGATCACCACTCTTGCTTGCCACCTATATACGAAAGACGCTTTGCATTATAATTCATCCGTAATATAGGTTTTTATCAATTCTGTTTGTGTAAGTCTTACTAAATTGGCCGTGTCGGTTGGTGGCGGGTTTAACGACACGTTTATATTTACGCGATCTAACCCCAAAAAAATAAACTTTTTTTATGGATATTGGTCGCAAAAGCTTTTACGTGTTAAAAATTATGTTATTACTCATAAATTGTATTACACTGGTCAACACACTTTTTCTGGCATAAGGTATTCCAACGGTTTTAAGGTAATTTTGGGGTGCTGATTCCAAATTTGGCATCAGGTTTTTGATGCAAATATAAAAACTGCAGAAGAAAAATATTAAATAAATGTGGATATCTACATACAATGATATTATAAACACACTATCCTAAAAAGTACAGCACCATATTTTAACACTAAAGCAGTCACTGACTCGCAAGAACTTGCAATCATAAGTGACAGAGTTAATTTCGGGTAAAATCAATGAAAATGGGGTATGCCGATAGCATAAAAATGAGATGTGATAGAGCAAATCTGAGATCAGATTTGGAATCGGCACCCTGAAATTAGTCTAAAACAGCTGCAAAAGTCCAGGCCAGAATTTTTTTTTTTGTTGACCAGTGTTATCAATGTGCTTTGTGAGAATCGTTTAATTGGTGAACCACGTTGCTGGCTTAGTGACTTCGTTGTTGTGCTCCGAGTAATGTAGAGAGACACAAGCACTCGTGAACAGCGTGGCTTCTCAATAATCACGCAAGAGTTACAGGTACAGTGCAAGCAAGCCAGCTTCTCTAAAAGGTGTTCATCGTTTGAGGCCCCATCTGCCTGTGACAAGTTGATTCGTGAACAGAAGAGGACAAACTGTGCAGACATCTCTTGATAAGTTTTTCAAGAGTCGAGGAAACACGAGCACCAAAGGGAATTAGCAGCTGCAGAACGTGAAGAACCAGTGGCATCTACATCTGCAGAACGTGAAGAACCAGTGGCATCTACATCTGCAGAACGTGAAAAATCAGTGGCATCTACATCTACAGAACGTGAAGAACCAGTGGCATCTACATCTGTAGAACGTGAAGAACCAGTGGCATCTACATCTGCAGAATGTGAAAAATCAGTGGCATCTACAGAACGTGAAGAACCAGTAACATCTACATCTGTAGAACATGAAGAACTAGTGGCATCTACATCTGCAGAACGTGAAGAACCAGTGATATCTACATATGCAGAACGTGAAGAAACAGTGGCATCTACATCTGCAGAACGTGAAGAAACAGTGGCATCTACATCTGCAGAACGTGAAGAAACAGTGGCATCTACATCTGCAGAACGTGAAGAACCAGTGGCATCTACATCTGCAGAACGTGAAGAACCAGTGGCATCTACATCTGCAGAACGTGAAGAACCAGTGGCATCTACATCTGCAGAACGTGAAGAACCAGTGGCATCTACATCTGCAGAACGTGAAGAAACAGTGGCATCTACATCTGCAGAACGTGAAGAACCAGTGGCATCTACATCTGAAGAACTTGAAAAATCAGTGGCATCTACATCTGCAGAACGTGAAAAATCAGTGGCATCTGCAGAACGTGAAGAAGCAGTGGAATCTACATCTGCAGAACGTGAAGAAACAGTGGCATCTACATCTACAGAACATGAAGAACCAGTGGCATCTACATCTGCAGAACGTGAAGAACCAGTGGCATCTACATCTGCAGAACATGAAGAACCAGTGGCATCTACATCTGCAGAATGTGAAAAATCAGTGACATCTGCAGAACGTGAACAACCAGTGGCATCTACATCTGCAGAACGTGAAGAACCAGTGGCATCGACATCTGCAGAACATGAAGATACAGTGGCATCTACATCTGCAGAACGTAAGAACCAGTGGCATCTACAGAACATGAAGAACCAGTGGCATCTACATCTGCAGAACGTGAAGAACCAGTGGCATCTACATCTGCAGAACATGAAGAACCAGTGGCATCTACATCTGCAGAATGTGAAAAATCAGTGACATCTACAGAACGTGAAGAACCAGTGGCATCTACATCTGCAGAACGTGAAGAACCAGTGGCATCTACATCTGTAGAACGTGAAGAACCAGTGGCATCTCCATCTGTAGAACGTGAAGAACCAGTGGCATCGACATCTACAGAACGTGAAAAATCAGTGTCATGGACATTTGCAGAACGTGAAGAATCAGTGGCGTCTACATCTGCAGAATGTGAAAAATCAGTGGCATCTGCAGAACGTAAAGAACCAGTGGCATCTACATCTACAGAACATGAAGAACCAGTGGCATCTACATCTGCAGAACGTGAAGAACCAGTGGCATCTACATCTGCAGAACATGAAGAACCAGTGGCATCTACATCTGCAGAATGTGAAAAATCAGTGACATCTGCAGAACGTGAAGAACCAGTGGCATCTACATCTGCAGAACGTGAAGAACCAGTGGCATCTACATCTGCAGAACGTGAAGAACCAGTGGCATCGACATCTGCAGAACATGAAGAACCAGTGGCATCTACATCTGCAGAACGTAAAGAACCAGTGGCATCTACATCTACAGAACGTGAAGAACCAGTGGCATCTACATCTGCAGAACGTGAAGAACCAGTGGCATCTACATCTACAGAACGTGAAGAACCAGTGGCATCTACATATGCAGAACGTGAAGAACCAGTGGCATCTACATCTGCAGAACATGAAGAACCAGTGGCATCTACATCTGCAAAACGTGAAGAACCAGTGGCATCTACATCTGTAGAACGTGAAGAATCAGTGGCATCTACATCTACAGAACGTGAAGAATCAGTGGCATCTACATCTACAGAACGTGAAGAACCAGTGGCATCTACAATCTGCAGAACGTGAAGAATCAGTGGCATCTACATCTGCAGAACATGAAGAACCAGTGGAATCTACATCTGCAGAACGTGAAGAACCAGTGGCATCTACATCTGCAGAACGTGAAGAACCAGTGGCATCTACATCTGCAGAACGTGAAGAATCAGTGGCATCTACATCTGCAGAACGTGAAGAACCAGTGGCATCTACATATGCAGAACGTGAAAAACCAGTGGCATCTACATCTGCAGAACATGAAGAACCAGTGGCATCTACATCTGCAAAACGTGAAGAACCAGTGGCATCTACATCTGTAGAACGTGAAGAATCAGTGGCATCTACATCTACAGAACGTGAAGAACCAGTGGCATCTACAATCTGCAGAACGTGAAGAATCAGTGGCATCTACATCTGCAGAACATGAAGAACCAGTGGAATCTACATCTGCAGAACGTGAAGAACCAGTGGCATCTACATCTGCAGAACGTGAAGAATCAGTGGCATCTACATCTGCAGAACGTGAAGAACCAGTGGCATCTACATCTGCAGAACGTGAAGAATCAGTGGCATCTACATCTGCAGAACGTGAAGAATCAGTGGCATCTACATCTGCAGAACATGAAGAACCAGTGGAATCTACATCTGCAGAACGTGAAGAACCAGTGGCATCTACATCTGCAGAACGTGAAGAACCAGTGGCATCTACATCTGCAGAACGTGAAGAATCAGTGGCATCTACATCTGCAGAACGTGAAGAACCAGTGGCATCTACATCTACAGAACGTGAAGAACCAGTGGCATCTACATCTGAAACTGATATTGGCTTTCGGTCGTCAAGCGAAGATCTATTTTTAGAATATAAGGCTAGTGCTAAGTGTCAGCCGGTCAGTCGGGGGATCTTTGTCTTTAGCCTGGGCCTCCCCTAGGTCGACTCAGCCTCAAACGAGTAAGTGGTGTGGTATGTCAACATCGCCACTGGGGAGACAAAGGCGGCCGGCCGTGGTGCTGGCCACCCACCCCCTCGTGTGCCGTGCCGGCCTTTATAGGTGCTCGCTAACAGCACTTGCCCCCTACAGTCTCGCAGGCTACACGGGGGATCTTTGTCTTTATCCTGTGTGTGTGGGGGGCAGCGACTGTGTAGCGATTCGCGCGCTGCGCTACAAACCCAGCGGCCCGAGTTCGATTCCCGCTCACGGCCGGTGACGATTATTTGAACCGGTCCTGGGCCTCCCCTAGGTCGACTCGGCCTCAAACGAGTAAGTGGTGTGGCGTGTCAACATCGCCACTGGGAGAGACAAAGGCGGCCGGCCGTGGTGAATCCAAGTCCCGGGCGGAGCTGGGTTAGTAAAGCTAGTAGAGTACTGTATTTCATAAATATTTTGTTCGGTAACTTGGGTTATATATCTATCTGTTTCGGTCTCGGTCAAAAGTGTACATAAAGTTTCGGTTTCGGCTGAAAGTGAAGTTAAACTCTCGGTTTCGGCCGAAAGTCAATTTTTAACTTTCCGTTTATTTTTGGTTTCAGCCCAAACCAGAAATTGAGTTTCGGTCGGCCTCTATTTAAGACCGTCCTTTCATGATGAACCGGAGTCCATGGTAATGGGACGTTACCGAATAAACATCTCTGTTGAAGACATCCCGCATGGACAGTCCCTCCCTTCGTGCTACATTACCCCCCCCCCCCAAGCGACCCGCAGTGTTGAGTGAATCACGCAGACTTGTTAATGGTGGCGGTTGACCTGCTAACCCCGTTTGACATTCCCTACGCACAAATATTAACGTTTGCCTGCTGGCGACTCGCACATACAATTGCGCACTCCAGGAGCTTCCGTTGTTATGGGTTGGGCAGGTGCGGGGGGTGCGTTTCAACCGTGGTGGCGGGACAGCCCCGTCGTGACCATGTAATTCTCCACTCGAGTCACGACGCCCTGGTGTGCGTTAGCGTCGGAGGAGACCATCTAATTCCCTGGCCGCAGGAAACCGTGAAGATTATCCCTATACGAGGGCTTCCGGGTTAAAACCTGTCAGCCAGGGGATCTCTTCTCGCGCTCTATGTGTGGGGCACCCGGCGATCGGCTCCGTGGCGGTGGCATCACACAAGCACAGGCCGTGGCCTGCAATTGGTTAGTTGGTATCGTGGCCAAGGGCTTGGTACGTTTGTGGAGGGCTGTAAGAACGGTCCGAACGGGTCCGGTGATTCAACGTTGAGCCTCACGTGCGCGCAGAGCTCTACCAATTTCGGCCAGGCGCATTCTCGGCGGCGCGTTTGAGCCACCCGAGTTCCGATTTGGTCAAGCTCCAGGTGACAACAGCAGCATGGGTGCGCGTGTGGTGTTTGTGGCGTGAGGGTTTGAAATTGCTTGTGGGCTTTGTCTGGTAGGATGGGGGATGGTTTAAATTAAATTTGTGTGTTTGGGTGATTTGTTTACATTTCTTGTATTTTGCACTCAGATGTTTTTGCTGTCTGTTGTAACGTTCTTACCAGCTTTATATAGCTCATCGGATTCCTACCAGTATAAATATTCAGATTCTTTCGATTTAAAGCTTTCGGGACTGCAGGGATTCATATTATTGGATCTTTCGGTAAAGTCACGTAGAAGGGAAATAATAAAATAGAAATAAAACATAATAAAATTCTCACGACGTTTCGGCCACAACACAAGCAGCTGCCAAGCTTGGCGGTGTGCATTAGGACGCTGTCTTTCCGACAGCTCTGTTCTTCACCTGAGGACGGCTGCTTGTGTTGTGGCCGAAACATCGTGGGAATTAAAGTTTATTTTTATTATTTTATTACTTCCCTTCTACGTGACTTTACCAAAAGATCCAAGAATATTCAGATTCTGTCTGGAAATTTTGTGGTCAAGTTGATGACAAGTGTACATCCTTGGGAGGACATTTAAAAAAGTGTAGCCATCACCGAAATCACACCGCATGCTTCTGGCCCCTTTCAAGGCCCCCACATTCTTATGGAACGTGGTGCAGCTCGGATACAAACCACAGTCCCCACACGTACTTCGGTGTTTTTAATCACCCCGCACTCATCTTCTTGGTTCTTTCGGTAAAGTCACGTAGAATGGAAATAATAAAATAAAAATAAAACATAATAAAATAATTCTCAGGACGTTTCGGCCACAACGCAAGCAGCTGTCCTCAGGTGAAGACCAGGTCTGTCGGGGAGACAGTGTGGTTATTGCAAACATGATACCTTGTATAAAGGTGTCAGGTCTGTCGGGGAGACGCTGTCTTCCCGACAGACCCGGTCATCACCTGAGGACGGCTGCTTGCGTTGTGGCCGAAACGTCGTGAAAATTATTTTATTATGTTTTATTTTTATTATTTTATTATCTCCCTTCTACGTGACTTTACCGAAAGAACCAAGAAGATGAATCCCTGCAGTCACGAAAGCTTTAAATCGAAATTTAGCATCCCCCATCTTAAACTTAAAAGGTTGCTAGAGCACCTCCGTCTGAAGTGGTTACTTCCAACCACCTTGGACGGGCGGATTCGACTCGTCGCAATCGGCACGAGTCGGAAGTCGCACGGCACCGAGACGGCCCCACCGAAGATCACCGAAGATCACTGAAGATCACCGACGGCCTTTACAGGATCATGGACAGACGGTGCACCGCAGCGTTGTTTCGGCCTGCATCTCTCCGCTGCCTACGCCGACCACCAGATTCTCACCGGGTGGCTAATGTCGAGGTTTGGCATGACGGCTACAGCACCGAGGTGGATTTAGGTCATAACCTAGATGGTGGATTTTTTTTTTTGTACCAGTTGAAAGGGTAAAAACCTATTACTACAGTATATTTTGTCACTGGTAAAGGAGGTCTCAGTGTAAATGCTTACCCCGAGCTCTCAATACTCTGATAGTGCGCTGTCTTTGAGTTGTACGCCTTTTGGCGTCATCTGGTCCAACACCAATGGAGACTAGGCTCTAAGAAAAGCTGTCTCGAGCGTGGACCAATCAACTTCAAGGACAGTGCATATCATTATCATCAGAGTTTCTTTTTGTTTGCATTTTGACTGCTTGTGTTGTGGTTATTGCAAACATGATGCCTTGTATAAAGGTGTCAGTTTTTGTGCCAGTTGAAAGGGTAAAAACCTATTACTACAGTATATTTTGTCACTGGTAAAGGAGATGTCTCAGTGTAAATGCTTACCCCGAGCTCTCAATACTCTGATAGTGCGCTGTCTTTGAGTTGTACGCCTTTTGGCGTCATCTGGTCCAACACCAATGGAGACTAGGCTCTAAGAAAAGCTGTCTCGGGTGTGGATCAATCAACTTCAAGGACAATGCATATCATTATCATCATCAGAGTTGTTTCTTTTTATTTGCATTTTAACTGCTTGTGTTGTAGTTATTGCAAACATGATGCCTTGTATAAAGGTGTAATATTCCTCCAGGAGACGGCTTCGAAATCAGTCCTTTTATTTCCACTCCACAATACACTTTGCTCACTCACTCTCCGTTGCTGGCAGACAACGGAGAGAGGACAGACTTCGCACTAAGTCCCCACCGCGCACGTGGCAACCCGAGCCCCCGTCCGCGCGTGACCCTGCTCTTGTTAGTTTCAGTCTGCTCGCGATCGTTCCCTCTCACTCGCTCTTAATACCTTCGTCATGTGGTTCCCCCGCCAATCGTCCATGGACAGCTTCGACCATTCTCGATGGTTCCCTGTCACTCCCGGGACCACGCCCCTCATCCGGCTCCCCATTAGCTGGGGCCCCGAATGGCTAGGCCAATCACTCCTGATGACCTGTCGTGATGACGCATGGCCCACGGTCCTATCTCAACCCTTATTGGCTACAAGCAGGACCGGCAAGCCAATCCCCACGTGAACCCTCTATGGCTGTTATTACAAAGGTGTCAGTTTTTATACCAGTTCGAAGGGTAAAAACCCATTACTATGGTGGCTCACAGTTCGTTAAGCTGGGTGAACATCAGTCGTCGCCTGTGCCGAGCCTGGTGGGCCCTCTCCGTTTGTCAATGTCAAATTTTCGCGCGACATCAAGTCCCATCGGTATGTCGGCGACAACGCAGTTGTGTGCGGCAGCGAAGTCAACGTTGGGCCACGAAGAGAGCCTCGGTATCCTCGAAGACTGCACGCGAGCGGACGCTCCTGTGGTTCGCAACAAAATGAGATGCTGCTCGACCCAGAGGAGGTCGCAGACTCCGAAAGATTTTAGTTTTCTACTTGAGATCAATGAGTCTCGACACCACGCGATCAACCGTTGATGTTGTTTGATCACCACGTGCAAAATACGGGTCGGAGATCCTGCAATTCCAATATTTCGGCATTGCAGCAAAGTACTGATGAGGCTGGACTATTGCAACTCACTACTCCCAACAGGACGTCAAAAAAAACATTAGCGAGCTACAGGGCGTGTACAAAATTCGTTGACGCGTGTGGTGTCGCGACGGGAACTTCCCAGATCTGACCGCATCTCCGATTAGCACGGTTGGTCACTTACGGTACGTACGTATCCGTCTAGCGCTTGCCGAGCTGCATCAGTTCCCGGTTGCCAGAGGTCGCAAACGGGTTTTGATTCCTTACCCGTACCCGGCCGCACCAGGGTCGCAAATGGGTACCCGTACCCGGCCGGGTACAGGTAGCCGTATCCTACCCGAAATGAGTGACAAACGGTTACTCACCAGTGACTCACGGCCTACCCGTACCCGTACCCGGCTGCACCAGGGTCGCAAACGGCTACCCGTACCCGGCCGGGTACGGGTAGCCGGGTATCGGGTAGGGTACGGGTATCGGGTACCCAGTTGCGACCTCTGCCGGTTGCTCAACATATCCATTACAAGGTTCTGCTTATTATTTAGACAAAGCGCTCGCTGCCAACGAACCACAGTACCTTGCTGAGAGACTGTCAAAAAACACAGACCATCGTATTCTTAGGTTTTTTCGGTAAAGTCACGTAGGTAAAACATTAAAATTAATAAAAGTAAAATAAAATAAAAATCACGTTTCGGAGGCAACACAAGCTTCCGTCTTCAGGTGGAACCGTCACAGCCACGACAGCTGTATCAAGTAAATGAGAGATTGCAGGAGCTACCACTCCGTTTATATAATGGTTGGAGAAGGGGGGGGGGGGGTAAGGGCCAAAAACAGCACACTTTTTATTAATATGGTAAGGTGAGGCTTAAGAGGGTGAGCCTTTGTTATGGAGAGGTACGGTTTGTGACTCAACCTGTGACAAGGAGACAACCACTAAACATGGTAAGTTAAATCTTTTTTGCATGGTTAATCACATCTTTCCAATGATTACTCAGTTTGTAACCGTCATCACGGTTGAAATTATGTCTGTGTTTGTATATTTGTATGGCTTCGTGTACAAACCTTTGATGGTAGCCAGGAGGTTTGCAGAGAACCTTGGTCTCGGAAAAGACAATTTCATGAGAGCCCACCGAGACTATCGTGCCAAACCCCACAGCTTTTCAGCCACTCACCGAAGACGGCCCACTGCATCGCATGCTTTCAGCAGTGCCTCTGCACCTGGTCTGGAAAACTCTCTTCTGCCATTAGATTCACACTGAAACTGTGAACTTTAAGAATGCAAACTGAAAAAACTCTTTATTTAGGACTGCTTTTAGCATATAGCCCCTTCCCCCACCAGCACCTCCGATGAACACGATGGGCTACGTACGGTGTGAAAGATGTACAAAAACAAAGATCCCCCCCCCCCAGTATAGCCTTAACAGACTATTGGGGCAAGTGCTGTTGGCGAGTAGCACCTATTAAGGCCGGCACGGCACACGAGGGGTGTGGGTGGTCAGCACCACGCCCGACCGCCTTTGTCTCCCCAGCGTCGATGTTAACTACACACCGCACCAGCTACTCGTTTGAGGCCGAGCCTACCTAGGGGGGAGAGGACCGTTTCAGATAATCATCACCGGCGCGAAAGCTCCTGCGTGTTTGCGCTGGTGGAACTTCAGAGAGGACGACTGCGTGAACGCCCGACCGCAGACGTCGCAGCGGAAGGGCTTCTCGCCCGTGTGCGTTCGCTCGTGGTCTTTGAGGACGTTCTTCCAAGCGAAGGTCTGACCGCACGTGTCGCAGCTGTACGGCTTCTCGCCCGTGTGCTTGCGCTGGTGGCGTTTCAGTGTGCCCGGCAGCGGGAAGTCCTGCCCGCACACCTTGCACTGGTACGGCCTCTCGCCAGTGTGCGTGCGCTCGTGCCGCTTCAGCGTGTCCACCCGCGAGAACTCCTGGCCGCACACCTTGCATCGGTGCGGCCTCTCCCCCGTGTGCATGCGCTGGTGGTGCGTCAGGTTGCGCCGCATGGAGAAGGTCTTCCCGCAGATCCCGCAGCTGTGGCACGCCGGGAGCGGATCGTCGTCCGCGGCGGGATACTTCCGGTAGGCCGCGTCCTTGCCCGCGGCCTCCCAGCCGAGCGCACGGCCCATCGCGAGCTGATCGGGCGTGCTCGTGGCGACCGCCGCCGCCGCCGCGGCTTTGTTGCCGCGTCTCACGTCGGCCGCCGGATGATGCGTCCGGGGAAAGCGGAGGTAGTTGTCGACGAGCGGAGAGTTTGCTTGGGCCGCCTGCAGCGATTTCACGTCCGCAATGAGGAGTCGCGGGCGATCGCGAGAGTGGTTGCTGCCTGCGGGAGAGAGGAACGGCAGTTGGCGATGGTGGCGAGCGGAAAAAAATAAACTTTAAAAGGTTTCGATTCGATGCACACGTGGCTGGGTAGTTTTCTAATCCGCCACTTTAGGTCAGCAACTTACGAGCATCCGACTGCACACAATGACTCGATTGTATTTCCACATCTGCAGTTCGATGGGCAGTTTTGCTCAAAATACCAGCACAACAACCAAAAACTACATGTATTTATAGCAGGTAAGGCCCGCCCCAAGCTATAAAGCTCTTTTTCGGAAGCGACCTGGTCACAAATGATAGCTCAACAAAGTGGCTTTTCAAGTTAAAATGTAGAACAGACAAGTACTCTAAACGCACGTGGATTCTAATGCGGAGGGAAAACCCGGGAGAAAAATCCACACGTCCACGGGGAGAATGAACAAATATGAAAGCAGGTGCCGGGGTCGGGATGGAACCCACGGACCACTTGCATACCAGTCGAGGGAGCTAAACATCGACATTGTGGCACCACAATTTCATCACCACGATCTGTGGGCAGATAACCCGTAGATGTCTACTGAACAATGTCATTGGTAATAGTTTTTTTACCCTTCTATCTGGCAACAAAACTGACACCTTTTTTACGAGGAGTCATGTTTGCATAAACCACAATACCTGCAGTCGTAATGCAAACAAAAAACATAACTCTGATAATGTATGCACTGTCCTTGAAGTTGACTTTTTTACTGAAAGCTTTAAATCAAAATACAACTTACTCTGTTTCAAACCTTGCTTGTTTATTAGCATTATAAAAAAAATATTTTTTAACAATTGAGAATCAAAGGGTTGCAAAGGCTTCAGCAAAGGTTAAGAACCACGGCTTCAACGGGGAGCGCAACGCAAGTGGACAGGAGCCCCCCCTTTGGGTGGGCACGGCGCAGTGGGCACGCAGCGAAATGGCGTAAAGAGGAAAGACCGTCTTTGAACAATAATGAGGCTCACCGTCAAAGCTCTCCGCTTTTACGATCCGCTCCTTCCGGCTGGAGCCAGAATCGTCAACGCCCAAAGCCAGGCTCTGTTCAGCTAGGTCTGGATTTAACAAAACAAATGCACACAGCATGGGTTGGCACGGAACAATGCTGAACGTGGCAGGGTTAAGAATGTTCAACATGCAGGCTTTCGCTTACATATGCGTCGCTAATTGGCCGTTTCGGGTGGTGGCGGGTTTATTTATATTTACGCGATATAATCCCAAAAAAAACTAAACCCTCTATGCGGGTTTAAGATCTTGGTTCTTTCGGCCACAACGCAAGCAGCCGTCCTCAGACGGCTGCTTGCGTTGTGGCCGAAACGTCGTGAGAATTATTTTATTATGTTTTATTTTTATTATTTTATTACTTCCCTTCTACGTGACTTTACCGAAAGAACCAAGAAGATGAATCCCTGCAGTCACGAAAGCTTTAAATCGAAATTGGACCTTCATGAGTTTTTACAGAGAATGCTCAAGTCAATTATGGTCAAATACAGGCAGACCTCGCTGAGTGCTCAAGATGGGCGCTAAAAGGGGTCATTATACCATGGCATACATGGGGGATGCGCTCCCGACAGCGTGGTTTCTATCGTAGGAGCAATATACGAGGGCTTCACTTGGGGCTATCGGTAATTAACAATGTGTTTTAAATTTCGATTTAAAGCTTTCGTGACTGCAGGGATTCATCTTCTTGGTTCTTTCGGTAAAGTCACGTAGAATGGAAATAATAAAATAATAAAAATAAAACATTATAAAATAATTCTCACGACGTTTCGGCCACAACGCAAGCAGCCGTCCTCAGGTGGAGAGCAGGTCTGTCGAGCAGACAGACCTGCGTTGTGGCCGAAACATCGTGAGAATTATTTTATTATGTTTTATTTTTATTATTTTATTATTTCCATTCTACGTGACTTTACCGAAAGAACCAAGAAAATGTGTTTTAACATCAGTATTATTACACTGGTCAACACACTTTTTCTGGCATAAGGTATTCCAACGGTTTTAAGGTAATTTTGGGGTGCAGATTCCAAATCTGGCATCAGTTTTTGTCTATCACATCAGGTTTTTGAGATATCAAATATTGCATTTTCAATAAAAACTGCAGAAGAAAAATATTAAATAAATGTGGATATCTACAAAAAATGATATTATAAACACACTATCCTAAAAATACAGCACCATATTTTAACACTAAAGCAGTCACTGACTCGCAACAACTTGCAATCACAAGTGACAGAGTTAATTTCGGGTAAAATCAATGAAAATGGGGTATGCCGATAGCATAAAAATTACATGTGATAGAGCAAATCTGAGATCAGATTTGGAATCGGCACCCTGTGAAATTAGTCTAGAACAGCTGCAAAAGTCCAGGCCAGAAAAAAAAGTTTTTTTTTTGTTGACCAGTGAATTATTCTACTGTACTCCTACAAGGCAGCGGTGGGAGAAGAGGTTGGAGCTGCTGAGCTCCGAATACGGGTGTTTAGCGATGCCCTCGGTCAATGTCTGTGACAAAGTATCTTTTCAGAATCAGAATCTGTAATTTAGGCTGGAGGAATCCGATGAGCTACGAAGCTCTATTTCACAGATGTGCAGAACGGGGTCAGCCTTAAAAAGACCATCGTGGTCTCGTCAGTTCGCCTGAAAAAAAAACACGCACGTTATTTTCTCTCACGATTACGACGTTTCAAAAAACAACTTGAACCCGCTCTCATCTGCCTCCGTTCGCCGATTTTGGTTCGGATCTGCTCCCTGTAGCTGTGCCAGAGGTCGCAATCGGGTACCCGATACTCAGCTACCCGTACCTGGCCGGGTACGGGTACCCGTTTGCGACCCTGGTGCGGCCGGGTACGGGTATGGGTACGGGTAGGCCGTGAGTCACTGGTGAGTAACCGTTTGTCACTCATTTCCCAACGTCTTGTCTCTTCTCACAATTCAAGTTCCTAGAATCAACCCACCCGTGCCTGCAACATGGCTTCATTCCAGAGGTCGCAATCGGGTACCCGATACCCGTACCCTACCCGATACCGACTACCCGTACCCGGCCGGGTACGGGTAAGGAATCAAAACCCGTTTGCGACCTCTGAGCTGTGCGAAGTAAACGCCCTGTATTCCTTGTGACCTCCGGGTGAAAGGCACTTAGAGGTGTAAATAACGATTGTTTTCCACTTTCCCCGCTCCAGACGATAGCTCCAATTGTCTAGCAAACTTGCTGTACATCGCCCAAATTTTGCTCCCTTCATCAAAGTTCTTTTAATATTTCATAGAGTTCATTATAGCTCTTAGGTTTTTTCGGTAAAACCTAAGAGTATGAATCCTTGCAGTCACGAAAGCTTCGAATCTAGAAGTCATTATAGCTCCAGTATAAATAATATATTCTGATTCTGAGCATTGCATGTCGGTCTTATTCCTCACCAACCCCTGATAATAATCTCGTTGGTTTTATAGAAGGTATCTCATTGAAGAGACACCATCAAGTTTTGTTTCACACCACGGTAAAGCTACTGCCGGGGCCCTGTCACCGTGAACAGTTTTAAAGGGGGAAAAAAATCTTACCAGCGCAGGTCTCAACTTTGATGGTCATCAACTGATCGCGTTGGAGAAGTTCATCAGACAACAACTTTGGCTCCTCGGCCTCATCTGTAAAAACAATGAAAACAAGTCAATCTTGCGTTTTAGCAGTTTGGTTCGGCGGGAAGTTTTGAAAACGCAGCACAATCATCATGGGACCTCCCCTTTGCCAGTACCAAAATATACTAATAGGGTTTTTCCCCTTTTTTCTGGCAACTAAAGAAAGCTGTCTCTGGTGTGGACCAATCAGTTTCAAAGACAGTGCATAAATTATCAGAGTATTGTTTTTTTGTTTGCATTTGACTGCAAGTATTGTGGTTAATGTAAGCACGATTCCTTGCAAAAGGTGTCAGGTTTTGTTGCCAGAAAAAAAGGGGACAAACCCTATTAGTATATTTTGGTACTGGCAAAGGAGGTCCCATGATGTAGCTGCTCACCCCGAGCTCTCATTACTCTGGTAGTGCGTTGTCTTTGAACTGTGCGCCTTTTGGCGTCATCTGGTCGAACACCATATGAGACTAGGCTCTAAAGAAAGCTGTCTCTGGTGTGGACCAATCAGTTTCAAGGACAATGCATACATTATCAAAGTATTGTTTTTTGTTTGCATTTGACTGCAAGTATTGTGGTGAATGTAAGCATGACTCCTTGCAAAAGGTGTCAGTTTCGTTGCCATAAAAAATGGGAAAAACGCGGCACAAATGTAAATGTATGCATTTAACACCAAAACGGAGATTGCACGTACGTGGAACTGATTCGCAGCGTACATAGCCAATTGTGCTCAAACAGGAGGTGCATTTCGGTAGTTTCATTAAATCCCAAAACACTCTGTGAATACCAGACACAGGCCACATTACCTTCTGCTACACAAACACCGAAATCTACCGCATCCAAGGGGGCAGCTGCTCTTGCGGCGGTTAAAGCGAAACCCCCGTCACTGGTTTCTTGGTCATCCATGGCTCCCAGCCCCACATCTTCAGGACTGTCAGCGCCCGTGGCTGATAAACCTGTGGGATGCGTCAGTCCATCCCACTCGCCCAGCCTCCGCGCGGACAGCAGCAGCTCCCGGCTCAGGCCGCTGAACAGAGCGAGCAGCACGTCCACCAGCCCTCCCAGCGTCACGTCGCCAGGGTAGGCGGCGGCCGCATCATCGTGGTGCCCGTCGCCCCGCAGGGCCTTCACCACCTGCCGCAGCACGGCGTAGAAGCCGAAGGGCAGGCGGTCGCGCGCCGCGGCCAGCAGCTCGGCACGCACGAGGCCGTCCCCGACGCAGGCGCGCAGGACCCCGTAGTCCCGGATGCCCAGCTCCGAGTCCATGGCCCGAGCCACCTCCTGGTTCACGCCCTGCGCCTCCAGCCACGCCGGGAAGTCGTCCATCGGCTCCGGCAATGGGGTAGCCACCGCGCACGCCATGCTGGTGATGATGGTGATGTTCGTTTCAGGTCACTCGGTGCGGTGGAAGTAAACGACGGTCGTGCGGATCTAACCTGTGGACAGGCGTGCATCAATTCAGCCAGTCTACATAACAACTTTGGCACCCCCCCCCCCCCTCTCAGCCAGTCTACATAACAAAGGATCAGTCCTAGATTTGAAGCTTTCGTGACTGCAAGGATTCATATTCTTGGGTCTTTTCGGTAAAGTCACGTAGGTAAAAAATGAAAATTAATAAAAGTAAAATAAAATAAGTAAAAAATAAAAATCACGATGTTTCGGAGGCTTGTGTTGCCTCCGAAACGTCGTGATTTTTTATTTTTATTTTATTTTACTTTTATTAATTTTAATTTTTTTACCTACGTGACTTTACCGAAAAAACCTAAGAATATAAAGTATCCGTCCTTTGTTATGTAGACTAGCCGTAGTTTCAGCCGCACCAACCTTACCATAATAATAAAAAACTCCTATCGAGGGGTCTGCCCTGGTTCCTCCCCCCTCAACCAGTATATATACAAGGACTGTTTTCTTGGAATTTCTCATTTACTTGATACAGCTATCGTGCTGTGACGGTTCCACCTGAAGACGGAGACTTGTGTTGCCTCCGAAACGTCGTGATTTTTATTTGATTTAAATTTTTTACCTACGTGACTTTACCGAAAAAACCCAAGAATATGAATCCTTGCAGTCACGAAAGCTTCAAATCTAGAAGTGCATCAATTCGTTTATTTGTCCTTCCCCCGCCGCGCACCTCCGATTAGCACGGTTTGCGACGTACGGGTGCGAAAGATGTTCAACGTACATACACGGCATCAATGAATTCACCCTGCGTTAAATTTCGATTTAAAGCTTTCGTGACTGCAGGGATTCATCTTCTTGGTTCTTTCGGTAAAGTCACGTAGAATGGAAATAATGAAATAATAAAAATAAAACATAATAAAATAATTCTCACGACGTTTCGGCCCCAACGCAAGCAGCCGTCCTCAGGTGGAGAACAGGTCTGTCGAGAAGACAGAGTCTGAATGTTGTGGCCGAAACGTCGTGAGAATTATTTAATGTTTTATTTTTATTATTTTATTATTTCCATTCTACGTGACTTTACCGAAAGAACCAAGAAGATCACCCTGCGTTTTTTAAAGGAACGTTAGTGACGTAAACCATGTGCAAATGATCTGAAACATGTTAAATTTAGGCTAATCGAAAGAATTCTGCACAATGCAGGACTGCAAAACAGGGGCTATAAAATGACTACGAAATCGAATTCCGCCCCCAAAGTCTGCCAATTCCCAGAATTTATTTGAAAAAGATGTGTGCCATGACTGCAGGCTTCAAAATCTGTATTCATACTGGAGGAATCTGATGAGTTACACAAAGCTCTTTGTTTCAGATGTCCAGTCAGGGCCACGGGGTGAGAAATGTAGCGTTACGAACATAAACACTAAACACGGTATTCTTGGTTCTTTCGGTAAAGTCACTCCAACACAAGCAATCATCATCAGGTGTGGATTTCGCACCTGATGATGATGGCTTGTGTTTCAGTCGAAACGTCGTGAGAATTTTTATTGGTTGATAATTTTATTATTTTATTATTTCCCTTATACGTGACTTTACCGAAAGAACCAAGAATATGAATCCCTGCAGTCACGAAAGCTTTAAATCAAAAACTAAACACGGTGTTATTAGTTTACATAACACACCATCATAGGCCTGGGGGAGATGCAGGGGGAGATGTATGGACTGTGAAACGGGGAGTTGGAGGGGGGAGATGCAGGGAGAGATGCAGGGGGGAGATCCAGGGGGGAGATGCATGGACTGTGAAACAGGGAGATGCAGAGGGAGATGCATGGGCTGTGAAACGGGGGGAGATGCAGGGCCTGTGAAACAGGGAGATACAGGGGGAGATACAGGGGGAGATGGAGGGGGAGATGCAGGGCCTGTGAAACAGGGAGATTCAGGGGGAGATGCAAGAGGGAGATTCAGGGGGAGATGCATGGGACTGTGACACGGGGTGAGATGCATGGGACTGTGACACGGGGGGCGATCAACTTCCGTGCGCTACGAAGACGTCGCCATAAGGAGTTGGGGAAGTGAATCCGCTTCCAAGTTGCCTCCTTCTCTTCAAACACAAAAAACAAACCTCACAAAGTCAAAAACGGCGACAGCATAAAATAATAAAACATAATAAAACAATTCGCACGACGTTTCGGCCACAACGCAAGCAGCCGTCCTCAGGTGTAGACGCTGTCTTCTCGACAGACCTGGTCTTCACCTGAGGACGGCTGCTTGCGTTGTGGCCGAAACGTCGTGAGAATTGTATTTTATGTTTAATTTTTATTATTTTATTATTTCCCTTCTACGTGCCTTTACCGAAAGAACCAAGAAGATGAATCCCTGCAGTCACGAAAGCTTTAAATCGAAATTTCATTATGTTTCATTTTTATTCTATTATTTTCATTCACATTTTATTAAAATAAAATATTTTATTATGTTTTATTTTATTATTTTATTATTTCCATTCTACACGACTTTACCGAAAGAACCAAGAAGATAAATCCCTGCAGTCACGAAAGAAGCTTTAAATCGAAATTAAACCGCAACAGCATTTTGCCAAAGCGGAGCAGTTTGCACGCGAGACCACGTGGCTTATGGTTAAACATTCTTTAACAAAATGTAGTTGTGATGCTGCTGCTGTTGTTGTTGTTGTGTTTGGTTATATTTTAACAACAGTAGGCCCTGTAGAGAACGAAAGAACGACAAGTCTAACACGCCACTGGTCACGGAAACGCAACTCCCACAAAAATCTTCGTCTGTGCACTCGAGTTTAAAGAAGGATGGGGGGGGGAGAGAGTGTTTGTTTGTTAAACGTTATGTTAGTCTCACGTAAACAACAACAACAACAGCATTACCTGACGAACGAGAAAGGCCTGAGTCTTTACCTCTGCCGGGCCTGGCTGCTGCTGCTGATGATGTCTGGTCAACGTTGATGGGGGAGGGGGTGATGGTGGTGGTGGTGGAGGCGGAGGGACCGCGGCGATTTGCACCACGCTACCAAAGTACAATTTCAGTGGAACAAAACAAATATTTTTTGTTCTTGGGTTAGTAAGTGATATTTTCTAATTGGTAAAGTCACGTAGGTAGAAATAAATTATTAAAATAAAATAATAGAAATAAAAGAATAATTTTATTTCTATTATTATTTTCTAATTGGTAAGGTCACGTAGGTAGAAGTAAATAATAAAAATAAAATAATAGAAATAAAAGAATATTTTTATTTCTATTATTATTTTCTAATTGGTAAAGTCACGTAGGTAGAAGTAAATAATAAAAATAAAATAATAGAAATAAAATAATTTTTTTATTTCTATTATAATTTTCTAATTGGTAAAGTCACGTAGGTAAAAATAAATAATAAAAAGTAAATAATAGAAATAAAATATTAATTTTATTTCTATTATTTTTTCCATAAGTTTATTTCTATTATTTCTATTATTTTATTTAAATTATTTATTTTTTACCTACGTGAATTTACCGAAAAAACCTAAGAGTATGAATCCTTGCAGTCACGAAAGCTTCAAATCTAGAATTTTCTAATTGCTTATGCCTTAAAAGTACAGATGCTGGACAAAAGTGGTTAGAAACGAAATATTTCTGTGATGGAAAAATTACATGTGCCTACACTACCATATCTACCTCCACCACCATTCAAGCCTTTGCAAGCCCTGGGAGAGAATCCCCAAATCACCTTTGGAGCCATGTCAGGCCCTTGTGAGAGACTCCCCTACAACAATAATTGTAGCTACTGCAGATCCTGAGTCTCTACACCACCATCCAAGGCTTTTATGGCTTTATTTTGGTGATTTCGAAAAGTTTTTTGGTTTGGCCATGTTTGTTGTAGTACGGAGTTAGACTGATGGCCTTAATCTAAGTTGTCTTGTGGTTGTTGTTGTTTGACTTGCATCCCACTGGGATGTTTGCACACAGCGTTGGTGTACGGTGCTTTTCTGCAATATTTTGCCGTCTTTTCTTGGATTTTCTGTTTGCACTCAGTCACACAGTCACTTTAAGATGTTTTCTTGTTCATGTTTTTAGTTTGTTGCGGTTGCACCCGATTCAACACAGGGCTATTACCAAATAAAATGAATAAAAAACTGAAGTCTTCGCAAGCCCTGGGAGAGAGTCCCACAAATAACGTTTAGAGCCATCTCAGCCCCTGGTGGAGAGTAGTCCCCTACAACAGCCATTGTTGGAGTTCTCGCAGTTCAAACGGTACGTCATGTACATGCGACATGACGTCATAACGCATTGTACAGGCAAGGTTATTTAAAACATGACGTCACGCGTACAGGCGCGAGGGTATTTAAATCATGACGTCATCACGCACAGACCCCGTGGCGTTTAAAGCGGCATTAGAGACGGCTATTTCGGTAAAGGGGCCGTCCATAAATGACGTCACGCACCTAGGGGAGGGGGAGTTGAACAATGTGACGTCACTTCAAAATGCGCAAATTTAAATAAATATAGACAATACGTTCTACTTAATTAAATAGACTTTTTAGTAAATGTTTTCTCCTACAACATCAGAGTGCAGCGCCACATTAAATACGCGCTACAATGACAATAGTTTAAAAGCGATTTGAAGCATGTTTTATTTTTTTTGGGGGGGGGGGGGGCAGAGCTTTGTGACGTCATATTTGAGGGGGGGGGGGTCTGACTTTTTGTGACGCCGTGTGACTAATGGGGGGGGGCGGGGGGGGCGTCAAAAATCGTCCAAAGTCGCGTGACGTCATTTATGGACGGCCCCCAAAGTGACGTCAATAGGTTCAAAGAAAATAACAAAAAACAAATCTACGACGTTTCGATCGCAAAACACACGAGCGGTCGTTTTAAATCGGGAAGACGACCGCTTGTGTACATTGTTTTTGTTGTTTTCTTTTAACCTAAGAATATGGGTATTTAAAACGTGACGTCATCGCGCATGATACACTGACACGTGGTTATTTAAAACATGACGTCATCCCGCATTATTTACAGGCGCAAGAGTATTTAACACGTGACGTCATCCCGCATTATTTACAGGCGCAAGAGTATTTAAAACATGACGTCATCGCGCGTTACCCATGGCCCCCCGGGGGGGAAGGGGTGGGGGTTAAATGATCTCTACGTCATCACGCATCGGGTCCACTCCCCCCCGTTCGCTGTGGACGCGTCAAGCCGCAACGCGGGCGGTGTGCGCGATGACGTCACCGCGCCGTGACTTTGTGTTTTTGTGCCGCGCGCGGTGACGTCACCCGTGAATGATGAGTGAGTGGTGAGTGATGAGTGAGTGATGAGTGAGTGCGCGTGCGTGCGCGTGCGTTATTGCGTCACTGCGTGCGCGTGCGTTATTGCGTCACTGCGTGCGCGTGCGTGCGTGCGCGTGCGTTATTGCGTCACTGCGTGCGTGCGCGTGCGTTATTGCGTCACTGCGTGCGCGTGCGTGCGCGTGCGTTATTACGTCACTGCGTGCGTGCGCGTGCGTTATTGCGTCACTGCGTGCGCGTGCACCGCGGTGCGTGGTGGGAGATTCTAAATCCACCGAGTCACTTGTTCGCCGACGATATTAGAAGCGGAGTGGCCGATTTCTTATTTTATATATTTTTGTTTTAATAAAAGCAACGATCGGCGTCTGTCTCCAAGCATGGCCACGGGCGGAGAGTAAGTAACTAACGAATGTGTGTTTTTTTTTGTTTGTTTCTTACATGTCAGAGTTTATATATCTTAAACAACACAAAAATGTGTAATTGAGTAGAGACTAGGCCGCAAGTCCCAGCCTTGTCGTAACGCCGTGAAACTCTTGCTGCGATAAAATAAAAAAAAACGCTGGGAGAGTTTCGATATTGTTGGTTGCTTTGTAAAACGTCGTCGTTATTTTACGATCGTTTTACCCATCGTTTTATACGCCGGGGAGGTGGTTTATTTTTTTTTTTAAACAAATAAACAAAACGTAAAAAAAAATCGTGATTAGAAGCTTTCGTGACTGCGTGAATCACAACTATTTGGGTTCTTTCGGTAAAGTGACGTAGGTATAAAAATAAAATAAAAAATATATAAAATGTAAAAAAATATATAAAATAAAACATAACAAATAAAATAAAAAAAAATATAAAAAAAAAATACAGTATAAAATAAAATATACCTACGTGACTTTACCGAAATAATCACAGAGTATAAACATTAACATAGAACCAACTACCTTGCGTGAGGCCGATAAAGTGTCGAGTCACGCCTTGAACCGTTACTCGGCGTCGTCCTTGACAATGTGACAGCAGCTCACGTTTGCGACGCCTCTTGTTGTGTTTAGGTCCGCTGCGAAACGTCGTACACCAGATTGTCAACGTCGTGGGAGTTTTACTCTTTTACCCCCTTACCAACACCACAATCCACAACCAATGTGCCTTTGATCACTGTTTCATTGCTTTCATGGCTTTATTTTGGTGATTTCGAAAAGTGTATTGGTTTGGCCATGTTTGTGTTGTTGTAGTACAGAGTTAGACTGATGGCCTTAATCTAAGTTGTCTTGTGGTTGTTGTTGTTGTTTGTGTTGTTGTAGTACAGAGTTAGACCGATGGCCTTAATCTAAGTTGTCTTGTGGTTGTTGTTGTTTGTGTTGTTGTAGTACGGAGTTAGACTGATGGCCTTAATCTAAGTTGTCTTGTGGTTGTTGTTGTTGTTTGACTTGCATCCCACTGGGATTTTTTTCTGCAATGTTTTGCTGCCTTTTCTTAGATTTTCTGTTTGCACTCAGTCGCATATTCACTTTAAGATGTTTTTTGTTCATGTTTTTGTTTTTTGTTTGTTGCGGTTGCACCCGATTCAAGAGCCGAATGGCTCACAGGGCTACACCTAATACTTGAACTTGCAACTAATACTCTGATATTCGTGGTTCTTTCGCTAAAGTCACAAGGGAAGTAATAAAGTAATAAAATAATAAAAATTAAATTAAATTCTCACGACGTTTCGCCCACAACGCAAGCAGCCGTCCTACGTTGTGGCTGAAACTTCGTGAAAATTTTATTGTTTTGTTTTTATTATTTCCCTTCTACGTGACTTTAGCGAAAGAACAAAAGAGTATGGTTTCGAATTAAAATAGTAACTAATAGGCAACGTTTTGTTTTAAGTAACAAAAACGTTACTTCGACACAAAGGCCGTAATTTTAATATATATTGCGGGGACAAAGACAAAGATCCCCCGTATAGCCTTAACAGACTGTAGGGGCAAGTGCTGTTAGCGAGCATCTATGAAGCCCGGCACTGTGGCACACGAGGGGGTGGGTGGCCAACACCACGCCCGACCGCCTTTGTCTCCCTAGCGGCGATGTTTACACATCGCACTAGGTACTCATTTTAGGCTGAGTCGACCTAGGGGAGGCCCGGGACCGGTTCAGATAATCGTCACTGGTGTTGGTCGTGAGTGGGAATTGAACTCGGGTCGCCGGGTTCATAGCGCAGCGTAGCGCTAACCACTACACACCCCCAATATACAAATATGCTCAAAATGTACCCCCACAAAATATCGCTATAAAATAGATTTCTGTTCATATGATTGTGGTTATGGTTGTACTTTATTAATCCCGAATCTCTGCCATTACATATAATGAAACAAGAAAAGGTAAAACAAGAAAAAAACAGCAATGTAATACAATACACTATTAGACATTATTGTACAAAATAAATAAAAAGTCAATCCTATGTGTTAGTGAATTTTTAAATATTTTAGGCAGGAAATGAGTTTTCAAATTTTGATTTTTTTTTGGGAGGGGGGGGGGGACCCCAGGCCCCCCTGAAAGATTTGGTCCCCCCCAATGTTGACTCCATGGCTACTGCCTCGCTCCGATACAGCTGTCAAAACCCATGCGGTTTATAACCACGTATTCTTGTACAGGGAAATTGACTTTTCAGGTCCATACGGTGTTGACAGTCATGCTATACACTGTACTACTATACACTACACTATACACTACACTATACACTACACTACATTACACACTACACTACTATACACTACACTACTATACACTACACCACTAAACACTACACTACTATACACTGCACTATACACTACACCACTAAACACTACACTACTATACACTACACTATACACTACACTACTATACACTACACTACTATAAACTACACTATACACTACTATACCATACCTGTCAACCCATACGGTTTACCCCGTATTCTTGTACAGGGAAATTTACTTTTCAGGTCCATACGGTGTACAGCCGTTTCAATACGGGCAAAACATTGTGTCTGTGTTTTTCCCTTGTGATGGGACGTTGTCGGATGAACTTTGAGATGTATAAGGGGCACGGGGTGACCAATATGGTCTGAATTGGTCTGTAATAAGGTAGGGGCACTGATAAGGGATTGACAGTCATGCTATACACTACTATACACTACATTATACACTACACTACTATACACTACATTATACACTACACTGTACAATACACTACTATACACTACACTACTATAAACTACATTATACACTACACTATAAACTGCGCCTTTTGGCGTCATCTGATCCAACACCATGTGAGACTAGGCTCTAAGGAAAGCTGTCTCGGGTGTGGACCAATCAACTTCAAGGACAGTGCATACATTATCAGAGTTGTGTTTTTTGTTTGCATTGACAGGACCCTGCGGGGTGGGCTGGTAGGAATAATACTAATACCGGTACAGGGATATCGACCGGGTATAGAGGAGTTAAAAAGAAAATGATTTGTGCATGGGGGGTGAGCGATGACGTCCACACCCCCCTCCCCACTGACTCGTGAGCCCACAGAGCAATGACGTCAACACCCCCCTCCCCACTGACTCGCGCGCCCACAGAGCGATGACGTCCAAACCCCCCTCCCCACTAACTCGCGCGCCCACAGAGCAAGGATTGCAACAGGCGATGTCATTGGCTGCGCCGGATGCGACGGCCATCTTGTTTAGTTCATTTAGTTCACGGATCGCAGGGGGAGCGGGCGGCCATCTTGTCAGACAGACGGACGGCCTCGCGAAGCCTGTCGCAGTAGGCCTCGCGAAGCCTCCTGCACTAGGCCTCGCGAAGCCTCCTGCAGTAGGCCTCGCGAAGCCTCCTGCAGTAGGCCTCGCGAAGCCTTCTGCACTAGGCCTCGCAAAGCCTTCCCTCCAGTAGGCCTCGCGAAGCCTTCTCTGCAGTAGGCCTCGCGAAGCCTCCTGCACTAGGCCTCCCGATGCCTTCTGCAGTAGGCCTCGCGAAGCCTTCTGCAGTAGGCCTCGCGATGCCTTCTCTGCAGTAGGCCTCGCGATGCCTTCTCTGCAGTAGGCCTCGCAAAGCCTGGCGCACTAGGCCTCGCGAAGCCTGCCGCACTAGGCCTCGCGCCGTGCTTTTCGTGCACAAATAAAGCGATTAAATGTATCTTGTCTCTGTGTTAATAAATGTATCTTGTCTCTGTGTTAAAAAAACGTGCTGCGTTTCAGTAAAGTAAATTTGAAGCGAAGTTTATTATTACACTTGTTTAGCCAGGAAAGCCCCACTGAGTCAAAAGGTTTTTGTAGGGTCCTGCCAAGTGTTTGCAGTAGGGGGCGATGTTGCTACACCAAATCGGACGATACGAAGGGAGAGATTGAGGCCTAGCTCTAGGCTTTAGGCCTAGCTGTAGGCTTTAGGGCGCTGTGAGTTAATTTTTAATTTAAATGTTTTAATGATTTATGTAAAAGCTTTAAATTTAAATGTTTCTATTTAAAAACATGAGGGAATGTAACATTGTTAAATATAACTCCCTTTCACACACGCGGGGGTACGATACGAAGGGAGAGTTTCAGGCCTAGTTCTAGGCTTTAGGCCTAGCTGTAGGCTTTAGGGCGCTGTGAGTTTTTTTAATTTAATTTCAAAGTTTTAATTAAACGCTATCTCAGGGAATAAGGGAATGTTACACGTGTCATGCCAAGTGTTTGCAGTAGGGGGCGATGTTGCTACCAGGATAGCGTCACTGAGTCTAAAGGTTTTTGTAGGGTCATGCCAAGTGTTTGCAGTAGGGGGCGATGTTGATACACGGACGGACGGACGGACAGTCGGACGGACGGACACATTAATCTATTGGTGGTCTGGTCCACTTCGTTCCTACCAGTATGACCGCAGGTATTGTGGTCTATGCAAACATGACTCCTTGTAAAAAAAGGTGTCAGTTTTGTTGCCAGATAAAAAAAACAATTATCAATCATTCACCAGTCTCAACCCTGAGTTGTGATGAGATAGGGCGCATTCCATGTGATTCAGTCATAGGCTTATTTTGTTAGGATGTTGAAATTTTCTCCGAATTTTGGTCCATTTGCGCGAACTGCCCTCCTGTCTTTTTTTACCAACAAAACGATCGCGGCCGCGCCCTCACGTTTCCCGTGCGTCTTCTTCCCCCGTGTGCGTCTCTGCGCCACCCAGTGATGTGTCGACGGCAATCTTGAAGCAGAAGCACAGGCCCAACCGCCTGGTGGTGGACGAGGCCATCAATGAGGACAACAGCGTGGTGTCGCTGTCTCAGGTGACGATCCCTCGCCCCGCACTTCCTTGTTCCGGCACGTGGCCGGATTTCGCGCGAGAAGCGTCGAGCTCTGTGAGCCACTTCACGGCTTCGGGTGGCGGGCTTTTGTTGATACGCTCGGGAAGTTTTCTACGAATTGTCGCACCCCCTACTCGGCTGCAGGTGACTACCGCAGAACGCGGTGTGGAGCAGCCGGAAGATGGAACGCCGTTGACGACGCGTCGCAATATCGCACTTGGTGATGAAATCATGCCGGCCTTGTCGGATGGATGCCTGTTGATGTCTCCCTGGCGTTCCGTTGGCTGGTGTAGCGGGAGTGATGGTGTAATCCCTCGCAACAGTTTTCGCGAGAGTAAGAGTTTCGATCTCGTCATGACTCCCATATTTACGTTGACATATGATCCCTTATGGTGTTGAGAATCAAAATACAACTGTAGCTTGCTGGACTTAAAACTAATCTGAATATTCTGTAGTCTGGCTTCAGGTGAGTGGCAGTGGTTTGGTTGAAATTAAGAGAAACCATGACCCAGAGCTTGATCCCAAGGCCTCGGATGTGCTGGCACAAGCGTCAGTCCCCTAGGATACTGATCTCCTTGACTAGAACACATACCCTCAGAGATGTTGACTCCTTGTCTCCAATGCTGCCACCAGCCCCCGGTAGGTTTAAATTTGGTTGCATGTTGCTTGAGCACTTAATGTTGAAACCCACACCCTCAGAGGCGCTCATTCCTTCCCCTAAAGCACCCCGGCTCCTGGACTGAGCTAGCCCCCCCCCCCCCACCAGCAGAGTTAAAAGTTGGTCGCAGGTCAGAGGTCGCAACCGGGTACCCGCTACCCGTACCCTACCCGATACCCGGCTACCCGTACCCGGCCGGTTACGGGTACGGGTAGCCGTTTTCGACCCTGGTGCGGCCGGGTACAGGTAAGGAATCAAAACCCGTTTGCGACCTCTGTCGCAGGTCCCTTAAACACTCGATGGTGTTCATCTTCTTGGTTCTTTCGGTAAAGTCACGTAGAAGGAAAAAAATAAAATAAAAATAAAACATAATAAAATAATTCTCACGACGTTTCGGCCACAACGCAAGCAGCCGTCTTCAGGTGGAGAACAGGTCTGTCGAGAAGGCAGAGCTTGGAGAGTTGATGGTGACGCCGGCTCACTAACTGATCGACATCTCAGCTCGTGTGGGGCTCCTCGGCCTTCTCGACAGACCTGTTCTCCACCTGAGGACGGCTGCTTGCGTTGTGGCCGAAACGTCGTGAGAATTAGTTTATTATGTTTTATTTTTATCAGTTTATTTTTTCCCTTCTACGCGACATTACCGAAAGAACCAAGAAGAAGAATTTTTATTGTTTTATATTAATATTATTTTATTGTTTCCCTTCTACGTGACTTTACCGAAAGAACCAAGAAGATGAAATCCCTGCAAGTCACGAAAGCTTTAAATCGAAATTTAAACACTCGATGGTGTGTCTCCGCACAGCCCAAGATGGACGAGCTGCAGCTGTTCCGTGGGGACACCGTGATGCTGAAGGGCAAGAAGCGGCGCGAGACGGTCTGCATCGTCCTCTCCGACGACACGTGCTCTGATGAGAAGATCCGCATGAACCGGGTCGTGCGCAACAACCTGCGCGTGCGTCTGGGCGACGTGGTCAGGTGGGTTGTGCGCGCGCGCGCGTGAGGCTGTGCGCCTGTGTGTGTGTGTGTCTGTGGTGGGGAGCGGTGGTGTAGCGGTTAGCGCTTCAAGTTCATTTATTAGTTCTTTGGTTCTTTCGGTAAAGTCACGTATAAAGATAAGATAATAAATTAAATAATAGCATACTACGACGTTTCGATTGCAACACAAGCAATCATCATCGGGCATAAAAGAAATAGCAACAAAAATCTAACCAGAAAACTATAGACAGACATATAAGCAGACAGACATCATAAAGATACACAGAGAGAGAACACGTATCGGCACACAGAGAGAGGTCGTCTCTGTGACGGGGCCTTAAATATAGAGAGGTGGCGGGGGCGGAGAGAGGGAGGGGGAATAATTCCTGCAGTCACGAAAGCTCCAAAATTAAGATTAATTTATTTGGTGTAGCCCTGTGAGCCATTCGGCTCTTGAATCGGGGGCAACCGCGACAAACAAAAAACTAAAACGTGAACAAGAAAACATCTTAAAGTGAATATGTGACTGAGTGCAAACAGAAAATCCAAGAAAAGACAGTAAAATATTGCAGAAAAAACACCGTACACCAACGCTGTGTGCAAAAATCCCAGTGGGATGCAAGTCAAACAACCAACAACAACCACAAGACTACTTAGATTAAGGCCATCAGTCTAACTCTGTACTACAAGAAACAAACATGGCCAAACCAATAAACTTTTCGAAATCACCAAAATAAAGCCATGAAAGCAATGAAACAGTGATCATAGGAACTGTGACGGAATTTTCACAATAAACGGCATAAACAACATGTACTACCAAAACCCTGCAGCCATAGCTGGCTGCATGAGTCACTCCACAACAGCAGGAGCATCAATCGGAGTATTATAATTTTTCAATGCACCTTTAAGATCAGCACACTAAATCAAAACACAGGTCATACTTTGTAGCGATCATCCAGAGCGAAACATTTTATTTTAGGCTGCGCTATGAACCTAGCGACCCGGGTTCGATTCCCGCTCACGGCCAACACCGGTGACGATTATCTGAACTGGTCCTCGGCCTCCCCTAGGTCGACTCAGCCTGAAATGAGTACCTGGTGTGGTGTGTAAGGATCGCCACTGGGGAGACAAAGGCGGTCGGACGTGGTGCTGGCCACCCACCCCCTCGTGTACCGTTCCGGCCTTCATAGGTGCTCGCTAACAGCACTTGTCCCTACAGTCTGTTAAGGCTATACGGGGGATCTTTGCATCGGCCAGTCAGCTCAGTCAGTTACCCCATGGCACTTTGGTCTGTCCCGTGACCTCCTGCAAACGGGTGTTCGACACTTCACGTGGCCTCAACGTGCACATAGTCTGGCACAAGCGCCGTGGTGACGTTGCGGCCACTTAGTGGCGAATGGCGGTTGTTGTTGTTGTGGGGAGCAATAGCTTTGCGCGTGACACACTGCGCTACGAACCCGGCGACCCGAGTTCGGTTCCCGCTCGCGGCCAACACCAGTGACGATTATCTGAACCGGTCCTGGGCCTCCTCTCCTAGGTCGACTCAGCCTCAAACGAGTACCTGGCATGATGTGTAAACATCGCGACTGAGGAGACAAATAGTGGTTTGGCGTGGTGCTGGCCACCCACCCCCTCGTGTGCCGTGCCAGCCTTCATAGGTGCTCGCTAACAGCACTTGCCTCAACAGTTTGTTCAGGCTATACGGGGGGTTCTTTGTGCGTGGAGCGATGCTCATAACAATGAGCAGAATGCCGGGTGACTAAAACGCAGAAAGTTGAGTGTGGAGCAGAGTTGGTAGCATCTGTCATCTCCATCAACCCATAATACCTGGGTCCCGTAACATCCTGCCAGCGAACCTTTGACAACTCCACGTGGCCTCAAGGTGCATCTCGCCTGGCACAAGCGCTGTTGGTGACTTTACCGCCATTTAGCGACGAACGGTAGTTTGTGTGTGGCACAGTGGAGCGGGAGCACAGCAGCGCAATGCACTACAAACCCAGCTGCCCTGTGCTCATGTGTCCTTGTGTTCTGGTATCTATTCAAATCTTAAATCGAATTGTTTGTTCAACGCCGTCGTGAATGTGGTGGCCACCGTTTGCTTTCGGGGTCATGTCAACCCCTTTTTACAAATATGAAGAGAAAAACATCCAATTGTTACGCATTATTTAATGGCTGCTGTGTTGTGTCCACATCGCGTGCGCGCATGCAGCATCCAGGCCTGCCCGGACGTCAAGTACGGCAAGCGAGTGCACGTGTTGCCCATTGACGACACGGTGGAGGGCATCACGGGAAACCTGTTTGAGGTCTACCTCAAGCCGTACTTCCTGGAGGCTTACCGGCCTGTACGCAAAGGTAGGCCATCTCTTGACTTTTCTCCGTGACAACCCTGGGAAACGGGTTTTTTGCCAGCCCCCAGAACGACCCAGTTCTGGTGGCCTAGCGGTAGCTTCTGGGTTCTCATTAATCCCCATCGCTGCTTAATCTCTGAGCTTTCACCATTCGGCATTCCGCTTTCTCTGCCACTTACAACTCCCTAGCCACGAACACCCGTGTGACCAACTTGCCGTCAATAAACCACCACATCTTTCGATTTAAAGTTTTCGTGACTGCAGGGATTCATCTTCTTGGTTCTTTCGGTAAAGTCTCCACGTAGAAGGGAAATAATAAAATAATAAAAATTAAACATAATAAAATCATTCTCACGACGACATTTCGGCCACAACGCAAGCAGCCGTCCTCAGGCGAAGAACAGGTCTGTCGGAAAGACAGCGTCTGAATGAAACACCAGGTAGGTAAAAGTAAAAAGAATAGAAATAAAATAAAAAATCACGACGTTTCGGAGGTAACACAAGTCTCTGTCATCAGGTGGGACTGTCACAGCTAAATTTACTGTATCAAGTGTTAGCTGTGACGGTCCCACCTGATGACGGAGACTTGTGTTGCCTCCGAAACGTCGTGATTTTTTATTTTATTTTTATTATTTTTATTTTAACTTTTACCTACGTGACTTTACCGAAAATACCCAAGAGTATGAATCCTTGCAGTCACGAAAGCTTCAAATCTAGAATTATTTATTTTTCTCTTATATCTGGCGCTCTGACTGTGTGACGGTCAAAAGCATTCGCCAAATAAAAGAACAATTCTCAGAAGGTCTGCACAGATGGGTTCCAGAACTCAATTAACAGTGTTGGCTGTGACGGTCCCACCTGATGACGGAGACTTGTGTTGCCTCCGAAACGTGATTTTTAATTTTATTTCTATTATTTTTCTTTTAACTTTTACCTACGTGACTTTACCGAAAAAACCTAAGAGTATGAATCCTTGCAGTCACGAAAGTTTCAAATCTAGAATTACTTACTTATTTTTCTCTGAAATCTGGCGCTCTGACTGTGTGACGGTCAAAAGCATTCGCCAAATAAAAGAACAATTCTTAGAAGGTCCGCACAGATGGGTTCCGGAACCCACTAGACTTACTGCCTTCTCTCCGGTCGACCCTCAGCGTTCAGGAGCTTCACTAATTTGTCCAACTCGCCAAACCTTCACCTTCGAAGCGCTGGTTCGCAGGGTGTGCGTGCAACCGCGTCCGACGCGAGGGTGGTGAAAAAAAATTAACCCGTAAACACAAAGTTTTTCACTATAAATCCTTTATATGCGTGGCATCGGTTTTATTTTAATATTCATTTCTGTTTTTCTTGAGTAAGAGTTTCATTTTTATCACATTGGTATTTTAAATTAAATATAAAAAAAAAATTCCTAAAAAGTGAAACATTTTGGAAATTTTTTTTCACGAAAATAAATTCTCAAGCAAAACGAGTCTGTGTGCAAAATGTCAGCTCGATTGGATCACGGGAAGTGGGTTAAAAAAACGACCGAAAGATTTGCACGGTCGTAAGCGCGCAAGCAAGCAAGCAAGCGAACTTAATATAAAGGATTTAAACACCTCCGCGTCAAACGCGTCTTGTCACCTGTTGCGGATTTCTTCGGTTCAGGCGCCCCTCCGGCCGTCCCGGTTTTATTATCATCATCACGACTCATCGGCAGATAGCCCGTAGCTGTCCACTGCCGTTGGCCTTGGTTGCAAACTTCCTGTTTGTGCTCTTGACTAGTTTGTGCACCTCCCCCTGGTCTTGTATTTCTCCGGCGTAGTATTCAATGTCGCGACATTGCTTTTCCAGACATTCATGCTAAACCTTTCTTGCCCCGACGTCTCATTGCATATCCTATTCTGTTATCTTTAGCCTCATTTTCCTCTTCTCTCGTGCTCGTTCAAAGGGATTCTCGGCTGTCCATTTTCACTTGGGTTTCACGCAGTGGACTTTAAAGATTCCGTGACGCGAGTTGAAAGAAAGAGCGAGCCACGTGTGTGTGTGTGTGCCGGTGTCATGGTCCAATCTTGCCAAAACTTCTAGATTTGAAGCTTTCGTGACTGCAAGGATTCATACTCTTAGGTTTTTTCGGTGAAGTCACGTAGGTAAAAAATTTTAATTAATAAAAGTAAAATAAAACAAATTAAAAAATTCACGACGTTTCGGAAGCAACACAATCCTCCGTCTTCAGGTGGAACCATCACAGCCACGACAGCTGTATCAAGTAAAAAAAAAAACAGTTGTCGTGGCTGTGACGGTTCCACCTGAAGACTGAGGCTTGTGTTGCTTCCAAAACGTCGTGAATTTTTTAATTTGTTTTATTTGACTTTTATTAATTAAAAAATTTTACCTACGTGACTTTACCGAAAAAACCTAAGAGTATACTTGCCAAAACTACTTAATTGGAAAACCAAAACCAAAGCAACATTGCCTCCCACTGGCGCGCTCATGCCCAATTTGCTGGCCAGTGCTGCGTTCGCCTTTCTGCCACACAGGGACAGCTGTCATCATGGTGGGGGGGGGGGTCCCCCTAGGCTAAAAAAAACTGCGAGATATTTGTTACGATACGACCCAGCAATATTGTTCTTGTTGAGATGACCGATGCTCAGAGAACCCATACGGATAGCCTGTGCGATGGTGCTCCTACTTGCTGTACTGCCGCGGCGCCTTTGCAGGAGACATTTTCCTCGTTCGAGGTGGGATGCGTGCGGTGGAGTTCAAGGTGGTGGAAACAGACCCGAGCCCTTTCTGCATCGTAGCGCCGGACACTGTGATCCACTGTGAGGGCGAGCCCATCAATAGGGAGGTAAGTGGCCAAGGACGGTATTTGATGCAACATCACCGGCTATAACAAATACAAAGATCCCCCGTATAGCCTTAACGGACTGTTGGGGCAAGTGCTGTTTTGCTTGCACCGATTAAGGCCGGCACGGTACGGATGGGGGTGGGTGGCCAGCACCACGCCCAGCCGCCTTTGTCTCCCCAGTGGCGATGTTTACACACCGCACCAGGTACTCGTTTGAGGCTGAGACTCAGGACCGGTTCAGATAATCATCACTGGTGTTTGGCCGTGAGCCGGAATTGAACGCAGGTCGCCGGGTTCGTAGCTAAGCGCTACACTACCGCTCCCCACCAACAACACCAACATTACCACCAACTACATCGCCAACATCGATAACAACAACAACACTAAATTTCGATTTAAAGCTTTCGTGACTGCAGGGATTCATCTTCTTGGTTCTTTCGGTAAAGTCACGTAGAAGGGAAACAATACAATAATAAAAATCAAACATAAAATACAATTCTCACGACGACGTTTCGGCCACAACGCAAGCAGCCGTCCTCGGGTGAAGAACAGGTCTGTCGGAAAGACAGCGTCTGAATGAAACAACACTACCAACAACACCACCACCACAACCACAACACCAACAGTAACAACACGATTTTGAAATACCGTACAGCACTCTACATCGCCGACCAATAATTATAACAGCAACGCCAAAAATACCATAAACAGGCGAAGTGTGGGGTGGTTTGAGGATGGCACGGGCCTGCAATGCCACCAACAATAACACCACCAACAGCACTGCCATCGACAACAACAGCACTGCTGCTGCATTGCCACTTGGGTCAGGGTTTATAGACTCACAAGCCAGAGCCTTGGAGCAGCTGACTGAGCGCTTTGCATCGGTGCCGAGGTGTCCGATTGCTGGCTGTGTCGCTCTCTCTCACACATGGGGGTTGGTGCCATTTATAGAAAATTTTACTGAGCCACACCGTTCAAGTTCAAGTCCTGAGGCCAGGCGTTTATCTTAAGTGATTTAGGTTTATCTTCTTGGTTCTTTCGGTAAAGTCACGTAGAAGGGAAGTAATACAATAATAAAAATAAAATAATAATAAAATAATTATCACGACGTTTCGGCCACAACGCAAGCAGCCGTCCTCAGGTGAAAACCAGGTCTGTCGAGGCGACAGCGTCTGAATGAAGTGAGCATTATTGTATTATGTTTTATTTTTATTATTTTATTCCCTTGTACGTGACTTTACCGAAAGAACCAAGAAGATGAATCCCTGCAGTCACGAAAGCTTTAAATCGTGATTTAGGTTTGATTCTTGAGACAAAGCTAAGTGACTCTGAGTTACTGGCTCCGTGCCTTGACATGGCCACCATGCCCCCTGGTGAGAGACACTGAGTCTCGGAGCTTGAACCTGCGCTGGTTCGGCATCTGTGACACCGAGACCTCGGCCTCCTAATAGATGCACCCAGCCCCAGGGCTCAGACCCAGGAACTGAAAGACGCTGATTCGTTGACACGACTCTCGCGTCACCACACTGCTACGCTGGTAAACATCCACAAGTTAAGGGGGTCAATTCTAGATTTGAAGCTTTCGTGACTGCAGGGATTCATCTTCTTGGTTCTTTCGGTAAAGTCACGTAGAAGGGAAATAATAAAATAATAAAAAGAAAACATAATAAAATAAATAAAAAATATTTTATTATTTCCCTTCTACGTGACTTTACCGAAAGAACCAACAAGATGAATCCCTGCAGTCACGAAAGCTCTAAATCGAAATCTCACAACGTGTTAAAACATATTTTTGTTTGACTTTTTAAACTTTATTTTCATTAGGCTGTTACCATCTTTAATTTATGCGTGGTAGCATCTCACTTGATACAGCTATCGTGCTGTGACTGTTCCACCTGAAGACGGAAGCTTGTGTTGCCTCCGAAACGTCGTGATTTTTATTTTATTTTAATTTTACTTTTATTAATTTTTATTTTTTACCTACGTGACTTTACCGAAAAAACCTAAGAATATAATAGTATTGTAAATAATACGTGAATGTAACCGGTGAACTATCTAGACAGAAGAATTGTGTTTGATCGCGCGCTCTCTCTAACCCCCAACCATTTCCTTTGATTTATCTTCTTGGTTTTAGTCGGTAAAGTCACGTAGAAGGGAAGTAATAAAATAATAAAAATAAAACCTAATAAAATAATTCTCACGACGTTTCGGCTACAACGCAAGCGGCCGTCTTCAGGTGAAGAATGAGACACTTTAAATCGAAAAATTCCTTTGATTTCTTTAGGGAAAATTACGTTTAATGTACGGGATGTTTTCAAGAGGCACAATCCCTGCCCCCGCGTAAAATGAGAGGTGTAGCAGCTGTACTCAGAATCGGCCAGCAAGCAGCACTTGACCCCCGGAACCGTGAATGCTCCTGCAGGAGGAGGAGGAGGCATTGAACGAGATCGGCTACGACGACATCGGAGGTTGCCGGAGGCAGATGGCGCAGATCAAGGAGATGGTGGAGCTCCCCCTGAGGCACCCGGCACTCTTCAAGGCCATTGGCGTCAAGGTATATTGAGTATATTGATGATATTGATGTGCAGTGATCCCTCGTTTATCGCGGTTAATGGGGACCGGAACCCCGTCGCGATAGGTGAAAATCCGCGAAGTAGGATTGGCCCCCTAGGAATTTCCGTATATGTGTGTGTGGGTACCAGAATGTTTAAAATATGTATATTTATACTTTATATATATATTTTACTTAAATCTATTTAATTATTAAACCTTAATATTATACATTCTCTCTCTCTCTCTCATACGATACGTATTATTGTGTTCTACACTCACCAATGACAGTAGTATCTTGAGACTTGACTCCAGTAATGATGACGATGACGATGACAATGTTGACGATAACAGACCTGTGCAGTTCGATGAATGTGATGATGATGATGGTGTTACTGCACAGGTATAATGAGGCCTTTAAATCAGTTCGAAAAATCCGCGATGCACTGAGGCCGCGAAACTTGAACCGCGAAGTGGCGAGGGATTACTGTAGTTTATATTTTCGTTTTTTACGTGGTGGTTTAGCTGCTGCAGCTCCTTACTATTAAACTTCCTTCCCTTTATTACTGCTAACCCTAATTCCTCCCTTTGTTGCTGTTAATCTTACATAATGCACGGGCATAATATGACTTTGAGACCCCCCCCCCCACCTCCTACGCATTCCACAAGTCGTGACTAATCCCATATCTGCATTTTCCATAAATATGCTAAATTCCTCTTGATATGCAAATTCCTTTGTCAAGGCACCCTTCCCCCTCTAACCCAGCTTAAATATATGCTGCCAAGCTTGGTGGTGGTCATTCAGACGCTGTCTTTCCGACAGCCCTGTTCTTCACCTGAGGACGGCTGCTTGCGTTGTGGCCGAAACGTCGTGAGAATTGTATTTTATTATGTTTTTATTTTATTTTTTATTTTCCTTCTACGTGACTTTACCGAAAGAACCAAGAAGATAATATTGTTCCATCGCTTTTATTTTTCTTCTTTTTCTTTGCCGTTAACATCCTGTGCTGGGCAAAGGCCTCTCCCTGTGTCTTCCACCACTCTTCACGATATTCTTGCCGCCCTCATCCAATATGCTCTTCCAGATTTTCTGCTATTGTCACGCAATCTTATTTTACGTCTACCGCTGTCTCTCCCCTTCCATTGGCTTGCTATATTACCTACCCAAATGCCAATTTATCGTATTTACTTCCGTAAATATATCCGCTGTACGTATTTTAAATCTCGAATCCTAATTTTGATTACGGTCTCATCTGTCTGACCCAGCCGCGGCTAACGTCGGTGGCATTTAACCGAACTGGTCCCGGGCCCTCCCCGCTAGAGTTCCTTAAATGAGAACGTGGCGAGGTGTGTTAGTCATCAGCAATGGGGAGACAAAGTGTGGCCAGCCACAGGCAGAGGTCGCAAATGGGTTTTGATTCCTTACCCGTACCTGTACCCGGCCGCACCAGGGTCGCAAACGGGTAGTTGGGTATCGGGTAGGGTACGGGTATCGGGTATCCGGTTGCGACCTCTGGCCACAGGTGACTCTGGCTACACCGTCCCCCCCTCGTGCGTTCTCAGTAGGTGATCGTTTGCAGAATTTTCCTCGGCCAGTCTGTGAGGCCGTACACCCGTGATCTTTGCCGTTTTTTTCACAGCCGCCCCGTGGCATTCTGCTGTACGGTCCTCCTGGCACCGGCAAAACCCTCATCGCCCGCGCCGTCGCCAACGAAACGGGGGCCTTTTTCTTCCTGATTAACGGTGAGTTACCGTGACAATATTCTTCGTTTTTTTCGGTAAAGTCACGTAGGTAAAAAAAAAAAAATTAATAAAAGTAAAATAGAAATACTGCTATCGTGCTGTGACGGTTCCACCTGAAGACGGAAGCTTGTGTTGCCTCCGAAACGTCGTGATTTTTATTTTATTTTTATTTTACTTTTATTAATTTCAATTTTTTACCTACGTGACTTTACCGCAAAAACCTAAGAATACGAATCCTTGCAGTCACGAAAGCTTCAAATCTAGAATTAATTCCCGTGACAAGCCCAGGCGGGTAACAAATCGGTGCTGGGCTCTACGATTATTTGAACCCTTTCCTGTTTCCGACGTTTCCGTCGTCCTGCAAGTTGTAGGGTGCCTGTCCCGTATACCGCTGGATCTCGGAACCTGCAAGCGGTTCAGTGTTCATTTTAGTTCGACATTGTACTCACCGCAGAGAACTGTAGCGACATGACCGCGAGCTCGGTGATAACTGGCGCCAAACTGTGCCACACGGCCTCCCGCGTGGCATTGTGGGAGCCACGCTACGTATCCAGACCTGGGATAGCGATGACGTTAGTATTCAATGAGCTGTGATCACGCTGGGCCTGGTTCGGATGGGGGTTTCCTGTCTTTGAGAGGCAGAATTTTGGGGTGGCCACCATCAATAAAGGAGCCTGAGTAATTCACCAGAGAAAAATAATTGATTTTAATCTCCGGTCGATTCATGGACTTGATTGACTTATCGTGCTAATCTGGCTGTGACGGTCCCACCTGATGACGGAGACTTGTGTTGCTTCCGAAACGTCGTGATTTTATTGCTTTATTTTTATTAATTTTAATTTCATTTTTTACCTACATGGTGACTTTACCGAAAGAACTAATCCTTGCAGTCACGAAAGCTTCAAATCTAGAATTAAGTTTGGTTAGTGTGGCGGGTGGCCGCATGGTTCATAGGGCTGGCATTGACCAACAACGATGAGATCCAACCCCCCCCCAAAAAAAAAGCTTTAACCGTGAATAATATTGGTCACAAAAGCCTACGTGTTAAGATGAGATCCTATGTTCGAATCTAACCCTTAGCCACCCAAGTTATCAAGTGTAGCAAGCTGTTGCTCTCAGCTTGGTGGCCAATGACTGCACGGAAAAGGTCATCTTCTTGGTTCTTTCGGTAAAGTCACGTAGAATTGAAATAATAAAATAATGAAAATAAAACACAAAATAATTCTCACGACGTTTCGGCCACAACGCAAGCAGCCGTCCTCAGGTGGAGAACAGGTCTGTCGAGAAGACAGATCTGTTCTCCACCTTGCGTTGTGGCCGAAACGTCGTGAGAATTGTATTTTATTATGTTTTATTTTCATTATTTCAATTCTACGTGACTTTACCGAAAGAACCAAGAAGATGAATCCTTGCAGTCACGAAAGCTTTAAATCGGAAAAGGTCATGTTCAAATTAGCTTTGACGCTTAACTTGACTTTTTTCCGGGTCTCAGAATTCAACCTTTTTAATTTTTTTTATGCATTCAATGAACACTCTTCACAAGGTATATCAACAGTGCGTCCGTCGTGATTTTGCGGTCATCCAACTCAGGTCCCGAAATCATGAGCAAGCTGGCGGGTGAGTCGGAGAGTAACCTGCGCAAGGCCTTCGAGGAGGCCGAGAAGAACGCTCCGGCCATCATCTTCATCGACGAGCTGGACGCCATCGCGCCCAAGCGAGAAAAGGTTTGGCCGCTGCGCTCGAAATGTACCGCTTCGTTACAATGCTAATGCTGCCGCCAATCGCAATGGGGCGCGGTGGCTAGGAGGTTGTTAACTACTTCGCCTGGTATGCAGGAGGTCGTGGGTTCGATCCAGACCCTGACGCCTGCGGCTGTATATTTGGAGTCTGCAGTGTCTCTCTCTCATCATCATCACGGTGGCTGGGAGATGTGAACTACCTCGCCTGGTATACAGGAGGTCGTGGGTTCGATCCAGACTCTGACGCCTGCTCTATATTTGGAGTCTGGCTGTCTCTCTCTCTCATCATCATCATCATCACGGTGGCTGGGAGATGTTAACTACCTCGCCTGGTATGCAGGAGGTCGTGGGTTCGATCCAGACCCTGATGCCTGCTGCTGTATATTTGGAGTCTGCGTGTCTCTTTCTCATCATCATCATCATCACGGTGGCTAGGAGATGTTAACTACCTTGCCTGGTATGCAGGAGGTCGTGGGTTCGATGCCGACCCTGACGATGCCTGTATTGTTGGAGGTGTACATGTTTTTCCCTCCTCGTGGTTGCGTGGATTTTTCTCCCCGCGCCTTTCGTTTTTTCCCTCCACGTTTTTTCCCATGTGTTTGGAGTATTTGGTTGCTGGAGATTTCCACCTGATGAGCGACTCCATTGGGCTATCATTTGTGGCCTGGTCGCTTCTGTAAAATAGCTATATAGCTCAACGGGCGTTCCTTGGTAACATAAAAAATTGTTTAGTTTGGGGCACGGTAATGGTTAAGTGCCTATGATCGAATCACCCGTGATCGTCATGGTCTCATCCTTATCCCCAAACCTACGCACGGTTGAACTTTGACCGTGCTCAGATGTGCAATCACCAGCATGCATGGAACAGGTTTTATCGGCCGTGGTAATCCGAGTGCACGTGCAGCAAAACCGATGGTTGTACTGTATTTACATGATTCTCCCACGACGTCCGCCGCCTTCACCGACCTGCACTGACCAGCGTGGTGAAGCATAGTCAAACACATTCCTGCTGCGGAGGGAGCTGGTAGGAACACGTTGGGTTGCTCGGTCAATGGCCTGCAGGGTCAACGGCGGCGTGGTGTATTCCGCAAATACGGCCGACTGTGAGGGCGGGCACAAGCCGGCGTGAGTAGGTTAAACGTTGAGTTTTATAAGGGCACCACGGGGTGACCAGCCCCTCCCCACCCAGCCCCTCCCCACCCTCCCCTCCCCACCCAGCCCCTCCCCACCCGCCCCTCTCCACCCAGCCCCACCCCTCACATTTTTGGATGCACGACGGACGGACACAATAATCCCCTGTGGGCTGGTGTAACCAGGAGGTTCCTACCAGTAACATCCCCTTGACCTGTACGATACATCGAGGCCCTCATTCGGCAGTGGATTGACAAATAGGACCGTACAGCTGCGTGCATTTTCACCGCAAAATCGCCGAACTTGTAAAACCTCCCTTGTGTCCCCGCTGCGTTGCCTTGTAACCTCGTGCGCCCACCCCCCCACCCCCACTGTGTTCCATCTTCGTGTCTCCGTGCTTCCTCCCACCCCCCACTCCACCCCCCACATGGCCCCCTACTCCACCCCCCCCCCCCATGCCCCCCCCACTCCACCCCACCCCCCATGCCCCCCTACTCCACCCCCCCATACCCCCCCTACTCCACCCCCCCCCATGCCCCCCCTACTCCACCCCACCCCCCATACCCCCCTACTCCACTCCCCCCATGCCCCCCTACTCCACCCCACCCCCCATGCCTCCCCTACTCCCCCCCCACCCCCCCCCATGCCCCCCTACTCCCCCCACCCATGCCCCCCCTACTCCACCCCACCCTCCTTACTCCACCCCCCCCCCACCCGTCCACCCGCGTGCGTTGCCACAGACTCACGGAGAGGTTGAGCGTCGCATCGTGTCTCAGCTGCTCACGCTCATGGACGGCCTCAAGCAGCGCACGCACGTGGTCGTCATGGCGGCGACGAACCGGCCCAACAGCATCGACCCCGCGCTGCGTCGCTTCGGTAGGAACGGCCCCCCCCCCCTCCCCGCCCCCCGCTCGTGCCTTCCGGGTGCTGTCGCTTGCCCCCCCCCCACACCTCCCCCCCCCCCCCCACTCTTCAAGGCCTCACCGGCAGTCCTACGGCGATCGCGCAGACGCGCTCGGACGTCGACGCCCCGCTTGTCGATCGTCGACGTCCACGCGTCCGTCACGTGTCCTGCGCTGCGCCTCGTGTCTCCACGCGTTTGTGTCACCCGCAGCAACCCGCGTCCTCTCACCTGCCCCCCCCCACCACCCCGTGTGCCACCGCTGTGACCAGGCCGCTTTGACCGGGAGGTCGACATCGGAATCCCGGACTCGACGGGAAGGCTGGAGATCTTGCAGATCCACACCAAGAACATGAAGCTGTCGGGGGACGTGGACCTTGAGCAGGTGAGCGATGGGGCGGTCACTCGACCGGCGATTCTGTTTCACTCGTCACAGTTCGGGGTCACGGTTCGATTCCGGAATCGATGTGAGACTAGACTCTAAGGAAAGCTGTCTCGGGTGTGGACCAATCAACTTCAAGGACAGTGCATACATTATCAGAGTTATGTTTTTTTTTGCATTACAACTGCAGGTATTGTGGTATATGCAAACATGACTCCTCGTACAAAAGGTGTCAGTTTTGTTGCCAGATTAAAGGGTAAAAAAACCAATTATATTTTTTTACTGACAAATGAGTTACCAATGGTGTAAACCTGACTAAATTGGCTGTGCCGGGTGGCGGCGGGTTTATTTAACGGCACATTTTACATTCACGCAAACTGACCCAACGGAAAAAAACTCCTCTCGTTTTACGGTCAACCTCTGGTTTCCCCCGCCCCCCCTTGACGTGGACGACGGGCAGGTCGCGAACGAGACACATGGCCATGTGGGCGCCGACCTGGCGGCTCTGTGCTCGGAGGCCGCGCTGCAGGCGATCCGCAAGAAGATGGACGTCATCGATCTGGACGACGAAACCATCGACGCCGAAATCATGAACTCCCTCGCCGTCACCATGGACGACTTCCGGGTGAGTGTGTGCGTGTGCGTGCGTGGTGGTGGCTAGGAGATGTTAACTGCCTCGCCTGGCGTACAGGAGGTCGTGGGTTCGATCCCGGCCCTGACGATGCCTGCTGCTGTATATTTGGAGTTTGCGTGTCTCTCATCATCATCATGGTGGCTAGGAGATGTTAACTGCCTCGCCTGGCGTACAGGAGGTCGTGGGTTCGATCCCGGCCCTGACGATGCCTGCTGCTGTATATTTGGAGTTTGCGTGTCTCTCGTCATCATCACGGTGGCTAGGAGATGTTAACTGCCTCGCCTGGCATACAGGAGGTCGTGGGTTCGATCACGGCCCTGACGATGCCTGTTGCTGTGTATATTTGGAGTTTGCGTGTCTCTCGTCATCATCACGGTGGCCAGGAGATGTTAACTGCCTCGCCTGGTACACAGGAGGTCGTGGGTACGATCCCGGCCCTGACGATGCCTGAGTTTGCGTGTTCTCCCCGTGGTCGCGTGGATTTTTCCCCGGGTCCTCTGGTTTTTCCCTCCACATTGAGAAAAATGCGCTTTAGAGTATTTGGCTGCTGTACATTTCCCACGTGATAAGCCACTTGATCCCAGCTATCATTTTTGACCTGGTCGTTTATGAAAAAGAGCTACATAGCTCAGTGGGCCTAAACTGGTAAAATAATTATTACTCTTTGTTTTTTTCGGTAAAGTCACGTAGAAAGATAAAAGAATTAATTAAATAATGACATCCAACGTTTGGATTGCAACACAAGCAATCATCATCATCAGGTACAAATGAAAGAAAAAACAAACCTAGTAAACTTAGAATATAATGCAATGCAACACAGAGAGTCGGCTAACATCACACATAGGCACATGTGTGTGTCTCTCTCTGTGTGTCTCTGTGTGTCTCTGTGTTGTCTCTCTCTGCTTGTGTGTCTGTCTGTGTGTCTCTGTATCTGTGTTGTGTCTCTCTCTGTGTGTCTGTGTGTGTCTATGTCGTGTGTCTCTCTCTGTGTGTCTCTCTCTGCTTGCGTGTCTGTCTGTGTGTCTCTGTATCTGTGTTGTGTGTCTCTCTCTCTCTGTGTGTCTGTGTGTGTCTATGTTGTGTGTCTCTCTCTGTGTTGTCTCTCTCTGCGTGTCTGTCTGTGTGTCTCCGTGTCTATGTTGTGTCTCTGTGTTGTCTCTCTCTGCTTGCGTGTCTGTCTGTGTGTCTCCGTGTCTGTGTTGTGTGTGTCTCTCTCTGTGTGTCTCTGTGTGTCTCTCTCTGTGTGTCTCTCTCTGTGTGTCTCTGTGTTGTCTCTCTCTGCTTGCGTGTCTGTCTGTGTCTCCGTGTCTGTGTTGTGTGTCTCTCTCTCTCTCTGTGTGTCTGTGTGTGTCTATGTTGTGTGTCTCTCTCTGTGTCTCTGTGTTGTCTCTCTCTGCTTGCGTGTCTGTCTGTGTGTCTCTGTATCTGTGTTGTGTGTCTCTCTCTGTGTGTCTGTGTGTGTCTATGTTGTGTGTCTCTCTCTGTGTGTCTCTGTGTTGTCTCTCTCTGCTTGCGTGTCTGTCTGTGTGTCTCCGTGTCTGTGTTGTGTGTCTCTCTCTCTGTGTGTGTCTGTGTTGTCTCTCTCTCTGCTTGTGTGTCTGTCTGTGTGTCTATGTTGTGTCTCTCTCTGTCTCTGTGTGTCTATCTCTGTGTGTCTCTGTCTGTGTGTCTGTGGTGTGCCTCTCTCTGTGTGTCTCTGTGTTGTCTCTCTCTGCTTGTGTGTCTGTCTGTGTGTCTTCGTGTCTGTGTTTTGTCTCTCTGTGTTGTATTGCATTATATTTCTAAGCTTACTAGGTTTTGTTTTCGCTTTCATTTGTACCTGATGATGATCGCTTGTGTTGCAATCGAAACGTCGTATGCTATTATTTAATTTATTATTTTCTCTTTCTACGTGACTTTACCCAAATAACCAAAGAGTAATTCCCGTGGTCACGAAAGCTCCAAATCAAGAGAAAATAATTATCGTTCATAATTTATAGTTTGTGTGTGGGTGGGTGGGGAGTGATAGACTGGCAGTTAATGTGCTGCATTACACACCTGGTGACCCCGAGTTTGATTCCCGCTCACGGCCAACACCAGTGACAATTATCTGAACTGGTCCTGGGCCTCCCCTAGGTCGACTCAGCCTCAAATGAGTACCTCGTGCGATGTGTAAACATCGCCGCTAGGGGGACAAAGGCGGTCGGGCGTGGTGCTGGCCACCCACCCACCCACCCCCCTTCGTGTACCGTGCCAGCTTTCATAGGTGCTACTCGCTTAGCAGCACTTGCCCCAACAGTCTAATGAGGCTACACGTGGCGCCTCTGTCTTTTGTACGTGTCAGTGGGCCCTGGCTCAGAGCAACCCGTCGGCGCTGCGCGAGATGGTGGTGGAGGTGCCCAACGTCACGTGGGAAGACATCGGTGGCTTGGAGAGCGTCAAGAGGGAGCTGCAGGAGCTGGTGCAGGTGCGTGTGTGTGGTGGGTTGAACAACTAGAAGGGGGGATTTCTCAAAGGCAACGCAGTTTTATTGAACAGTTCAACTTAACACAGAGGGGGGTAACGGCCCCTCACACCCGATACATAACACTGGTCAACAACAACAAAAATTCTGGCCTGGACTTTTGCAGCTGTTCTAGACTAATTTCACAGGGTGCTGATTCCAAATCTGATCTCAGATTTGCTCGATCACATCTCATTTTAAAATCCTTTATATTAAGTTCACTTGCTTGCTTGCTTGCGCGCTTACGACCGTGCAAATATTTCGGTCGTTTTTTAACCCACTTCCCGTGATCTAATCGAGCTCACATTTTGCACACAGACTCGTTGTGCGTGACAATTTATTTTCGTGAAAATGTTTAAATTATTTTTACACTTTTTAGGATTTTTTATTTTATATTTAATTACCAATTGCTTAATGGTGGCAGGCAATCATCTGACCCATAGGTGGCAGCCATCTCAAGCCAGAGGACGAGAGGACTCTAGCCGCCACGCATATAAAGGATTTATAGTGAAAAACTTTGTTTTTACGGGTTAATTTTTTATGCTATCGGCTTACCCCATTTTCATTGATTTTACCCGAAATTAACTCTGTCACTTACGATTGCAAGTTGTTGCGAGTCAGTGACTGCTTTAGTGTTAAAATATGGGGCTGTATTTTTAGGAGAGTGTGTTTATAATATAATTTTATGTAGATATCCACATTTATGTAATATTTTTCTTCTGCAGTTTTTATTGAAAATGCAATATTTTATATCTCAAAAACCTGATGTGATAGTCAAAAACTGATGCCGGATTTGGAATCAGCACCCGAAAATTACCTTACAACCGTTGGAATACCTTATGCCAGAAAAAGTGTGTTGACCAGTGTTATGGAGGTTACTCTCCAATCTAATACGCCTCTCACTGGTTAATCTTAGGTTTTTTCCGGTAAAGTCACGTAGATAATTTTTTTTAAAACACCAATAGAGCCTAGTCTCTATTGGTGTTGAGTTGTGCGCCTTTTGGCGTCATCTCTAAGAAAAGCTGTCTCGGGTGTGGACCAATCAACTTCAAGGACAGTGCATACATTATCAGATTTGTGTTTTTTGTTTGCATTATGGCTGCAGGTATTGTGGTCAATACAAACATGACTCCTTGTAAAAATGGTGCCAGTTTTGTTTCCAGATATAAGGGTAAAAAACCAATTAACCGGTCCTGGGCCCCCTCTCCTTGGGTGACTAGGCCTTAGATGAGTACCTGGTGCGGCGCGGAATCAAATCGGCATTGGTGAGACGAAGGTCGGCAGGCGGTGGTATTGGTGGCCACCCACCCCTCCTGGCGTGCCATGTTGACCTTCAAAGGCGCTCTCTTAACAGCACTTGCCCCAGTAGACGGCTGAAGGCTTTATGGGGCATATTTCCCTGGTCTTTGTAATTGTACGCACGGGGAGTGGCAGTGCGGTGGGTGAGCGAGCTTCACTCCGAACTGGGTGGCCCGAATTCGAATCCCGCTCTTTGTCATCATCAATAACAAATATCTGAAGCACCCCCCCCCGAGGTCGACTTTACGGGGGATCTTTATTTTGTAAGTGCGTGCGACCGCGTACACGCGCATTTCAGTTCACGTTCGATTCTCGCCTCGAACGGTGACAGTTTATTCGGATCGTCGGACGGGGCGAATTGTTACAGCTCCTTCGGTAAAGTCACGTAGGTAAAAATTTAAATTAAAAGTAATAAAAATAATATAATAAAATAATAAAAATCTTTTTTTAATTATTTGATAAAAGTAAAATAATAAAATATTTAAAAAATCGCTGCTTTTATTATTTTATTCTTTTATATTTATTCATTTTAATTTAATTTTTTACCTACGTGACTTTACCGACAAAACCAACGGTACGAATCCTTACAGTCACGAAAGCTTTAAATCTAGAACTATCACAGCTCCGCTTACCCTCCCGCGGGTCAGGACCACTCCTCCGCCTGCTGTCATCCACGCCCTCGGCCGTCATTCGCAGCAGCCACCGCCCCCCTTCTTGACATCGTCACCACGTGTCTCTCTCTCCCACCAGTACCCCGTCGAGCACCCGGAGAAGTTCCTCAAGTTCGGCATGACGCCCTCCAAGGGCGTGCTGTTCTACGGACCGCCAGGCTGCGGCAAGACGCTGCTGGCCAAGGCGATCGCCAACGAGTGCCAGGCCAACTTCATCTCCATCAAGGGACCCGAGCTGCTCACCATGTGGTTCGGCGAGTCGGAGGCCAACGTGCGTGACGTCTTCGACAAGGTGAGGCACCATACCCCCCCCCCTCCTCCGCCCTCCCCTCTAAGCCCAGGGGTGGTCGGCAACCACAATAACACGAAGAGGTGATAATTGTTTTTTTACCCTTTTATCTGGCAACAAAACTGACACCTTTTTTTTACAAGGAGTCATGTTTGCATAGACCGCAATACCTGCGGTTGTAATTCAAACAAAAAACACAACTCTGATAATGTTGTATAGTAGTAGGTTTTTACCCTTTTAAACTTGTACAAAACTGACACCTTTATACAAGGCATCATGTTTGCAATAACCACAACACAAGCAGTCAAAAAAGCAAACAAGAACAAGCAACTCTGATAATGATAATAATATGCACTGTCCTTGAAGTTGATTGGTCCACACCCAAGGACAGTGCATATTATTATCATTATCAGAGTTGCTTCTTTTTGTTTGCTTTTTTGACTGCTTGTGTTGTGGTTATTGAAAACATGATGCCTTGAATAAAGGTGTCAGTTTTGTACCAGTTTAAAAGGGTAAAAACCTACTACTATATTTTGCCACTGGTAAAAGAGATCTCATAGTGTAAATCTGATAATGTTATGCACTGTCCTTGAAGTTGATTGGTCCACACCCGAGACAGCTTTCCTTAGAGCGTCATCTGGTCCAACACCATGTGAGACTAAGCTCTAAGGAAAGCTGTCTCGGGTGTGGACCAATCAACTTCAAGGACAGTGCATAACATTATCAGAGTTGTGTTTTTTGTTTGAATTATGACTGCCGATTGCGACCTCTGCCGACCCCTGTCCTTGGGTCATCGTGTAACTACGGTACAACCTCGCGTCTTCCGACTCGCTGGGGACTGGCGCTTATGTGAATTAGGTCGGATACGTGAACCTCTGTCGGGTACTGGACACATGTAATGTGCATGATAAAGGTTTTTGGGGTTAGATCGCGCGAGTATAAATGTGTCGCGATCTAATCGAAAAACCTTTATTATCAATAATATTGGTCGCGAAAGCCTACGTGTTAAAATGTAAATGTGCAAACTGTTTTCAAACGCGTGACGGCGCTTTATTCGTGCTTAGACTATGCACATGGGATTGAGAAAACATTAATGCCTGTGAAAAGGACGGGTGTGTGAACATCTACAGAACATGACCGTTACACCATGCCGCACAATTGCTGTACTGGGCATTGGCGGTTGATTGGTCAGGGCGGACGCGTCATGGATAGATAGTGGCCTGTTGTATCACAATGAATAACTATGAGCGCTTTGACAATCCATTGCGTGATGAAGGCCTGCCTCTCCCATGCCTTGCGATGGGAGCCGTTTGCATCCTACGTCACCACGCTCAATAGCAGCGCTTGCCCCAGCAGCGCTACGCGGGTAGATCTTTGTGGGCGAGCGCACTGCACCGCGGCGGCAGACCCGTCGACCCGAGTTTGATATCCCGTGCGTGCACGTGCGTGCGTACGCGTGAGTAGGCGCGTCAAGCGTCTCCCACGGTCCTCTTCCTCGACGAGCTGGACTCGATCGCGAAGGCGCGCGGAGGCGGCGGCGGGGACGGGGGTGGAGCGGCCGACCGCGTCATCAACCAGATCCTCACCGAGATGGACGGCATGGGCGTCAACAAGAACGTCTTCATCATCGGGGCCACCAACCGGTGAGAAGCGCCAATCGGGTCTGTCGGTCGCTCGTGCCGTGGTGGTTTGGGGGTCTGTCCCCTCCCTCTCAAGAGACCGAGCAGTCTGGCTCTATTGCCGAGAGACACGGAGGTCGATCCGTCGGCCTGTCATTGTCAAGAGACCGTGTCTCTTTCTCACACCTCCGATTAGCACGGTTGGCTACCTGCAGTGCGAAATAAGTTTGTACATACAGTGAGGGAAAAAAAAGTATTTGATCCCCTGCTGATTTTGTACGTTTGCCCACTGACAAAGAAATAATCAGTCTATAATTTTAATGGTAGGTTTATTTGAACAGTGAGAGACAGAATAACAACAAAAACATCCAGAAAAACGCATGTTAGAAATGTTATAAATTGATTTGCATTTTAATGAGGGAAATAAGTATTTGACCCCCTCTCAATCAGAAAGAGAGGCTTTGGCATACAATATGTTTTTTTCCCTGTGATATCTTCTTTTATTATTTTAGAGGGGTATCTATAAATAGATCACCTTGTAGGTGCTTGCTTTGTACCGGGAAGGGTCTTCTAGACCTCTGCAACAGCCTAGAGCAGTGGTACCCAGGTCAATCTTGCAAATGAGACCCATTCTGGTCTGCTGAGTTCTCACCTGCTTTAAACAGAATACATTTGAACTTACAACCTTCTTGGACCTTGCTGCCCACCATCAGCCCTCGACAAAATGTCACAGACCACCATGCAGCAACAATGTAATCCTCTAGTTACGTTAAATTATAAATTCTATAAATCGTAGCATTCGCACAAATTTCTGTGTTCCTTGTAAATCTTGCGTGGTATCTTTGAAATATGTTTTATTTTGCCAGGTAAGGCCCACTGAGCTATGGAGTTCTTTTTCAGACGCGACCTGGCTATCAATAATGATAGCTAAACGAATTGACTCATGTGGAAATTTATAGCAGCCAAATACCCCAAACGCACGTTCCTAAATGTGGAGCGAAAAACCGAAGAGCCCGGATAAAAATCCACGCGACCACGGGGGAGATCATGCAAAGTCCAAATATTCAGGGTCAGGATGGAACCCACGACTTCCTGCATACCAGGCGAGGCAGTTAACATCTCGCCACGTTCCGTGCAACGCTTTTTACGATCCTTGCGGGATAGGAAGTGGTACATGGCACATAGGTTTGGGGGGACCGGTGGCCTGAAGGGTTAATATTGACCGGGCAGCAGATTTCGCAACCGGGTACCCGATACCCGTACCCTACCCGATACTCGGCTACCCGTACCCGGCCGGGTACGGGTAGCCGTTTGCGACCCTGGTGCGGCCGGGTACGGGTAGGCCGTGAGTCACTGGTGAGTAACCGTTTGTCACTCATTTCGGGTAGGGTACGGGTAGGGAACGGGTACCCGTACCCGGCCGGGTACGGGTACCCATTTGCGACCCTGGTGCGGCCGGGTACGGGTACGGGTAAGGAATCAAAAACCCGTTTGCGACCTCTGCCGAGCAGCGCTGTGGCTCTGTGTTCACGTTCGCAGGCCCGACATCATTGACCCCGCCATCCTGCGCCCGGGACGCTTGGATCAGCTGATCTACATCCCATTGCCAGACGAAAAGTCTCGCACGGCCATCCTCAAGGCCAACCTGCGCAAGTCGCCCATCGCAAAGGTAACCCGTCAGGAATGCAGTCGATCATCCACGTCGTCAAGGAACATAAACCATCATCACGTGAACTCCGGTCATCCTCGCGGCAGCGGCGGCTTTTGGTTAGCCATCGAACAAAGACGGTCACATTTCGATTTAAAGCTTTCGTGACTGCAGGGATTCATCTTCTTGGTTCTTTCGGTAAAGTCGCGTAGAAGGGAAGTAATAAAATAATAAAAAGAAAACATAATAAAAGAATTAAATTTCGATTTAAAGCTTTCGTGACTGCAGGGATTCATCTTCTTGGTTCTTTCGGTAAAGTCACGTAGAAGGGAAGAATTATTTTATTATGTTTTATTTTTATTATTTTATCACTTCCCTTCTACGTGACTTTACCGAAAGAACCAAGAAGAAAGACGGTCACCTCATTGCGCACATTCGAATGCGTTTCTGTGGCCATCTGGAACGCTCTTCCTTCCGATATTAGGAATCCACTAGAGTGCTTTTAACTTTTTAACCTCGATTGAAAGTTCTTTTACTTTAAAACTGCTTTTTGGGTTTAGTTTGTCAGTCCCCCCCCCGCACCTGCGATTAACGCGGTTGCGCTACGTACGGTGTGAGAGAAGTTCAACATACATACATGTCCCCTGCACCCCCGCCCATTGATTCCCCCTTCCTATGTGGTGGATTTTCATGATCTGGTAGTCGCCATACAGTTTTGGAGTAAATTGTTTCGTCTCGTGCGCTTCTACCTCGTTTGTATTGTTTACGTGCCTTTGCGAATAATTCGAGTAAGCCGTAAATACACGCTTTGAGGCATGACACCCAAATGTGTTCGTGCCAGCGTGTGTGTTTGTACCTGTGTGTTCGAAAGGAGCGGTGGTGTAGCGGTTAGCGCTACGCTGCGCTACGAACCTGGCGACCCGGGTTCAATTCCCGTTCACGGTCAACACCAGTGACGATTATCTGAACCGGTCCTGGGCCTCCCCTAGGTCGAGTCGGCCTCAAATGAGTACCTGTTGCGGTGTGTAAACATCGCCACTGGGGAGACAAAGGCGGCCGGGCGTGGTGTTGGCCACCCACCCCCTCGTGTACCGTTCCGGCCTTCATAGGTGCTCGCTAACAGCACTTGCCCCTACAGTCTGTTAAGGCTATACGGGTAATCTTTGTCTTTGTATCCCCATGTTGCAACAGTAGGAGGGGGGCACAGTTAGTGCATCTGCCGGTCAGTAAATCTATGGCATCTGGGTCTGTCCCGTGACCTCCTGTCAGTGGCTTCAAAATGCATCTGACCTGGCAGAGGTGCTGGAATACGATGAAAGCTGATTGGAATAAAAGCGGAAACTCGGCAATCAAAGAAAGGGGGAAAAAGAAGGGGGCATGCCACTTGACCTTGACATGACCTTCTCGATCCACAAATTAATCGTTGCCATTGATTAAATGTTAGCGAATCCGCTCAATGATTTTCCCGTAGGAATTTAACTGACTAAACAAGTTAATGACAATCTTATGCTTAGGTTTTTTTCGGTAAAGTCACGTAGGTAAAAAAAATAAAAATTAATAAAAGTAAAATAAAAATAAAATAAAAATCACGACGTTTCGGAGGCAACACAAGCTTCCGTCTTCAGGTGGAACCGTCACAGCACGATTGCTGTATCAAGTAAGGTGCGGCTGCTGTACATCAGCCGCACCTTAACAACTCTTGGAACCTCCCAGTTCAACCAGTCTACACAACAAAGGCTCATTCCTAGTAGCGGCTTTAGCCGCACCAACTTCACAATAATTTCTCTTTACTTGATACAGCCGTCGTGCTGTGACGGTTCCATCTGAAGACGGAAGCTTGTGTTGCCTCCGAAACGTCGTGATTTTATTTTTATTTTACTTTTATTAATTTTAATTTTTTACCTACGTGACTTTACCGAAAAAACCTAAGAATATGAATCCTTGCAGTCACGAAAGCTTCAAATCTAGAATTAATGACAATCTCCCACAATGCCACCTCGCGTCGCTACACCGCCCTTGCTGTTCAGCAACTTTTTAGGTTGATGTTCATTTTATTCTCGTGTATGTTTAAGAGGTGAACTTCATGGGCAGTAACCGCATTATTGTGGCCGTTTATATTTTCCACCATTGGAACTTCCTTTGCCAGTAGCAAAATATGATAATTGGTTCTTTACCCTTTTATCTGGCAACAAAACTGACACCTTTTTTTTGACAAGGAGTCATGTTTGCATAGACCACAATACCTGCAGCCGTAATGCAAACAAAAAAACACAACTCTGATAATGTATATGCACTGTCCTTGAAATTGATTGGTCCACACCCGAGAGAGCTTTTCCTAGAGCCTAATCTCACATGGTGTTGGGCCTTACCTGGTAAAATCAAAATAGATCCAAGTAGTTTATAGTATTTCCACGAGCTCATGTGTAACCACCCCTCCCCCGCCCCCAACTTTCTCTCGTACGCGCTCACGCGCGCATCTCCGTGTTGTTCGTGCCGTGCCCGACGCAGGACGTGGACATCGGCTACCTCTCCAAGACGACCAACGGCTTCTCGGGCGCAGACCTCATGGAGATCTGCCAGCGCGCGTGCAAGCTCGCCATTCGCGAGAGCATCGAGGCCGAGATGAGGCGCGAGCGCGAGCGACAGGCAAACCCGGACGCCGCCATGGTGAGAGGGGTGGGAGGGGACGTTCGCACATGGGGTCGCACGCACGCATCGACGCACGCATGGACGTTCGTGCGTGGGGTCGCACGCACGCATCGACGCACGCATGGACGTTCGTGCGTGGGGTCGAACGCACGCATCGACGCACCCACACCACCGCTCGTTTCAGCAGTGCGGTGCAATCCGCTTATCCGCGTTGCGTCGCTCAATAATTTAATGACGCGTGTAACGATTCGGACAAATGAACCGCCGATAACCTTTCGGGTCTCGTCAGGGAGCATAAACCGTCATCACATGAACTCCGGTCAAAGTTCAACGTTCATTATTAGGTATAGCCCTGTGAGCCATTCGGCTCTTGAATCGGGTGCAACCGCAACAAACAAAAAAACATGAACAAGAAAACATCTTAAAGTGACTATGTGCAAACAGAAAATCCAAGAAAAGACAGCAAAATATTGCAGAAAAATCCACCGTACACCAACGCTGTGTGCAAATATCCCAGTGGGATGCAAGTCAAACAACAACAGCAACCACAAGACAACTTAGATTAAGGCCATCAGTCTAACTCTGTACTACAACAAACAAACATGGCCGAACCAGAAAACTTTTCGAAAATCACCAAAATAAAGCCATGAAAGCAATGAAACAGTGGTCATAGGAACCTCGCAGAAGCGGCATTTGGCTCGGTCATCGAACAAAGACAACCACCGCATCGCGCGCTTTCGGATGCGCTTTTGCGGCCGTCTGGAACGCTCTTGCCATACTGGCCACTAGCGCTATGCACTTTTAAGTTTCGATTGAAAAATAATTTCCGTACACGACCATGCTTTTGCTACCCGTCGCGTCTGCACCGCTAACGAAAGGCGTTCCGTAAACAAACGCAAGCTGGAAAATGTCACGTACATTTTTCCCTCGCTGTCCACGATGGATGCGTTCCGGAGATGCTCGTGAATAGGAAACATCGCGGAGAATGATATTGGCTTACGAAAAGCTACCTTTTTAATGAATTGCCTTAAATATATCCGTAAATAATAAATTTCACTTTTATACATCTCATCACTTTATCTCTCATCACTTTCCTCCTTAATCTAAGTTGTCTTATGGTTGTTGTGGTTGTTGTTGTTTGACTTGCATCCCACTGGGATTTTTGCACACAGCGTTGGTGTACGGTGTTTTTTCTGCAATATTTTGCTGTCTTTTCTTGGATTTTCTGTTTGCACTCAGTCACATATTCACTTTAAGATGTTTTTTGTTCATGTTTTTTTGTTTGTTGCGGTTGCACCCAATTCAAGAGCCGAATGGCTCACAGGGCTATACCTAATAAATGAACTTGAACATGAACTTTCTCGATGCATCCATGTAGGATTCCAGATGCGATATTCGCGCAAAGCCAAAATCGCGGATGAAAAGTTCCGCGAATAGTTCAGGAACACTGCGGTCCACGCTTTTTTTTCTCCCCAACCCGTTTCCGTGAACATTCGATTGCTTGAATGCGATTTTTTTTTTTATAATCGCCAGGACGTGGAAGATGAGGACCCGGTGCCCGAGATCCGGCGCGACCATTTCGAGGAGGCGATGCGCTTTGCCCGCCGCTCCGTCTCCGACAACGACATCCGCAAGTACGAGATGTTCGCGCAGACGCTGCAGCAGAGCCGCGGATTCGGCAGCTTCCGATTCCCGGGCGGAGTCCAGGGCGGTCCCGGCGGAGGCCAGGGCGGTGCCGGAGGCGCCGGTGGTGCCGGAGGCGCCGGCGGTAGCGGCGGCGGCAGCGGCGGCATGTACCAGGACGATGGCGACGACGACCTCTACAGCTAGAGACGGCGCAGCAGCAGCGGCGGCGGTAGTACGGCGCACGACGGGACAGTTTGCTCGACGGTGTTGACCTCCGTAGTAGCCAGACGTGACGGGGTAGTGTACGGCCTAACACGAGGACGACGATTACGATGCATTCTCGCTATCGATCGGGGAACCTACGGTCGGCGGCCAGTACCCGGACCCCCCCCCCACACCCACCCCCATAGCTTTATGTTGATGTCGCAATGGCCGCAGCGCACGCGAAACGGCCTGCAAACAACGTCAATCCTGCACTGCAGGCGTGTTGGCCGCTCTGATCGGGTACTGGAGGGGGGGAATAATTTTCATCCCGGCAACACTTTCTGATTTTTACTGGGCCATGTCAATTCTTTCACTGGACGGGCTTCTTGCATCGACAGAAGGTGGATCCGGAGCCTTGTGTGTGTGTGTTGACGTGTGGCTACCAGTGGTATCTGAAATTCTTAAGGGCAAGGTTCCTCCACCCCTGCTATAGATTGTGTCCAATGGCGTGCGCGGTGTAACATACGACAGGCGCACGCTTGGACGACGATGATGACGACGGCGATTAAGATGTCCCTTAATTCTAGATTTGAAGCTTTCGTGACTGCAAGGATTCGTATTCTTAGTTCTTTCGGTAAAGTCACGTAGGTAAAAAATGTAATCAAAATTAATAAAAAAAAAATCACGACGTTTCGGAGGCAACACAAGTCTCCGTCATCAGGTGGGACCGTCACAGCCAGATTTGCTGCATCAAGTGCAGCAAATTTGGCTGTGACGGTCCCTCCTGATGACAAATCTGGCTGTGACGGTCCCACCTGATGACGGAGACTTGCGTTGCCTCCGAAACGTCGTGATTTTTATTTAATTAATTTTGATTTCATTTTTTACCTACGTGACTTTACCGAAAGAACTAAAAAGATGTCCCTTACCCGCGATATGGAATGAAGTCCACCAACCGCGCGTTTCATCGCGTGCGAAGTCACCCCCAACTCCCACCCGGCCTCCCATCGATTTGTTCGGTTTACGAGAATCGATCAGTTTCGTCAGCGCGGCGTTTTACCGTCTCTCCCTCTCGTGTGTTTCCCATCTTTATTTCCCGTCTCGTTTGTATAGTTTTATTTCCGCCGTTAGCCTAAATACTGCATCGGCGTAGCACGTGCACGGCTTCTAATTTGTACAAATCGGAACGAATCGATCGTCGCTCTCACGCCTCGATGCCCTTATCTCGACCTGGGCGTAAGAATCTCATTCGGCCGACGAATCGATACGTCGTTAAATTGATGACAGATACGCTTCCTCCCAGGGGACGATCGCAGTGATGCTCGCGAAGACGGCAAATTTCTTTAGAGGGCACGCTACGGCGTGCGGTTGTCGTACGCGACGACTATTAAGGTGAGCCTCCGCCAGGAAAGTAGTGACCCCACCCCCCGCCCGCCCGCCCGCCCGCCCTCCGGCTATCGACGGGATGTTGAGCTTTACAACGGCATGCGTCAGCGTATTAGAGATGCAACGAAATTGACCCTCCGTCAGTAATTCTGACAGGCGATGTGTTTTATTTCGATGATTGAACCGACGCCTTTTGGTCGTCATCGATCTTATTACCGACCCCCGGGTTGATGAGATGTGATGAGAAATTGGGTGGCGGGGAAAGGGTTTTTTTTGGTGTCGGAACGTGCTGATACACGCGCACAAATAAACATCTGGAGTCGCCAATGACGCTGATGTTCATCTTCTTGGTTCTTTCGGTAAAGTCACGTAGAAGGGAAGTAATCAAATAATAAAAATAAAACATAATAAAATAATTCTCACGACGTTTCGGCCACAACGCAAGCAGCCGTCCTCAGGTGAAGAACAGGTCTGTCGGAAAGACAGTGTCAGACAGACCTGTTCTTCACCAGAGGACGGCTGCTTGCGTTGTGGCCGAAACGTTGTGAGAATTATTTTATTATGTTTTATTTTTATTATTTTATTACTTCCCTTCTACGTGACTTTACCGAAAGAACCAAGAAGATGAATCCCTGCAGTCACGAAAGCTTTAAATCGAAGCTGATGTTCCCTGCAAAAGGGAAAATGCAAAAACTGTGGCCCCTCAGGTCGTTGGGACGTGAATTATTTTTTGTGTGCGAGTAACGTCGTTCCAAAAGCTTATTCAGTTATTATTCAACCCCTTACGATCATATTTTGGTTTCCTTCAACGTCCCGTTAATGTTGTGCATCGCGCTATTTGAGTTTTTCGGCATGGGCGACCGATGCCGCTTACGATTTTTGCCGGGGCTACGCCTGGATGTAGCGAACATTGAAACCTTTTTTGTTGTTAAGTGAAATGGTAAGTTAATTCTGCATAGCGGAGTACGTTAAGTTTTTTTAGTGTTGCGTGTTTGAGTTTATTTTCTGCGGAAACACGTTGCTACTATGGGGCTCTTAATATATATAAAGCATATATGAAATTTACGCACAAGCGATGAAAACTTTTTGGTTTGCAAATCTATCCATTTCATAAAACAGCCCTCAAAATACCTGATTGCAATGCCTCTAAAACGGCAATTTAAGATACTTACGCAATCTTCGAACACTCTGAATATTCACTATGAGACCTCCTTTACCAGTGGCAAAATATAGTGATAGGTTTTTACCCTTTCAACTGGTATAAAACACTGACACCTTTATACAAGGCATCATGTTTGTAATAACCACAACACAAGCAGTCAAAATGCAAACAAGAAACAACTCAACTCATCAGAGTTGTTTCTTTTTGTTTGCATTTTGACTGCTTGTGTTGTGGTTATTGCAAACATGATGCCTTGTATAAAGGTGTCAGTTTTTTGTACCAGTTGAAAGGGTAAAAACCTATTACTGCTACTCTGAATATTGTAAAAGCAATGGCTCTCCGCACATAGCAGGCACATGTTGAGAGTAAAGTAAGATGGCCATTGTGAGCCCAATCGTTTGTGCTCGAAGTTGTTGCTACCGTATAAACGATGCAATGTTTTTTTTAACCCATCTTGATCACAATTGAAAGAGAACAAAAACACGTCTGCTCTTCGGTTGATCAGAACTCAGAGTGGCGTAGATATTTACACAAACACAAACACACGGATCACCGTGCATTTTCAGTATTTCTGCACGAGATGCTCTTTCTCTGCCCTCCCGCTTCTCTTCTGCACGCGCAAATCTTTCGACCCAATGGCAAATCCGTGGATCCCGTCCGTTCATGTGGCCCGTGTTTTACGTGCCGTGCGGCGCTTTTATTTGTGGTGGCGGTAACGCCTTGCAGCACCCTTTCCACTGTGAGCGTGTCGCAAGGCGAAGAAGCCGTTTGATCTCGTCTCTCCGTAGAGCTGATGTAATCGATAATATAATTTATTGTTCAGTTTTAGCGTTCAGTTTTAGCGCGTTTTCTTTTTTGGTCCTAATGTATCGCATCAGTTTGTAACTTTTGACATCCTCCGTTTTCACGTCGGATAAGCAAGCGGAGGTTTTTATTTCGGTATCCGCAATAACTCTTTTATTCGTGACCCGTTTGTGACATTCCTGATAACAGGATTGCTTTTTTACATAAGTCTGCTTTTTCTATGAAAGTGCGCATTCGCTGGATAAGTTGCGAATGTTCCGACCTCGCATGCAACAGGCGGCACGGATAAGAGAGTTGCGGATATGGGGAGTCCTCTCCGCATCGTTTTTCACCAGCATATGCGATCGATACCTGTCAATCCCTTGTCATTGCCTACCTTATTACAGATCAATTCAGACCTTATTGGTCATCCTTATACATCTCAACGTTCATCCTACAAAGTCCCATCACAATGGAGCCATGTGGACCTGCAAACCCAATTTCCCTGTTCAAGAATACCGGGGTTTCGATTTAAAGCTTTCGTGACTGCAGGGATTCATCTTCTTGGTTCTTTCGGTAAAGTCACGTAGAAGGTAAGTAATAAAATAATAAAATAAAACATAATCAAATAATTATCACGACGTTTCGGCCACAACGCAAGCAGCCGTCTTCAGGTGAAGACCAGGTCTGTCGGGGAGACAGCGTCTGCCCGAAACGTCGTGAGAATTGTATTTTATTATGTTTTATTTTTATTATTTTATTACTTCCCTTCTACGTGACTTTACCGAAAAAACCAAGAAGATGAATACCGAGGTTATAAACCGGATGGGTTTGACAGGTATGGCGATCGGACTCTATCAACAACTGCATTTGTATTTTTCACGTTTGGGTGAAGCTGAAGCCCCTTCTTATTCCCTAACCTTACGACCCCCCCTCCCCAAGCCGTAAAGAATTCCCGCACCGAATTCGATGCGATTCCCACATTCGTTTTAAACGCGAATTACGAAATCATCTCGCGCCAGAATCGCATCCAAATCTAAATTGCATGCGAGCGCCTCCGATTGCCACGCTCGCGTTATACTGTTTGGTTTTTTCGGTAAAGTCACGTAGGTCAAAAATTCAAATAAATAAAATCACGACGTTTCGGAGGCAACACAAGCTTCCGTCTTCAGGTGGAACCGTCACAGCAAAATTGCTGTATCAAGTGAAGAGAGCTCTAAGAGACACGAGAATATATACAGGTTAAGGGGGGGGGGGAGGAGCCAGGATGGGTCATGGGGGGGGGCTAAGTTAAGCCTCCTTTTGTTCTGCTGCAGGGGGTTAGGGGATGGAGAGAGCGCCGTGGACAGGCGTTCTCCCATTCACATGTTTCATTGCTTCTACATATTATTAACATGCCCTCCCTTTGTTAATGCTACCCCCTGCCCCCTCCCTTTGGTGCTGCTGATCCTGCATAATGCATGGGCATAATATGACTTTGAAACCCCCCCGCCCACCTCCTACGCATTTTCCCATGAATATGCTAAATTCCTCTTGATATGCACATTCTTTTGTTAAGGCTCTCTTCTTCTTCCACCTCCAACGCAGCGTATATATAAGCTCCTAGCTTGGTAGTGTCTCGTTCTTCACCTGAAGACGGCTGCTTGCGTTGTAGCCGAAGAGAATTATTTTATTTTATTATGTTTTATTTTTATTATTTTATTACTTCCCTTCTACGTGACTTTACCGAAAGAACCAAGAAGAGGAGGCAGTATTTAAGCTGACAAACTGGTTGCCTACATTAGCAGTATACTCCCCCCACTTGATACAGCAATTTTGCTGTGACGGTTCCACCTGAAGACGGAAGCTTGTGTTGCCTCCGAAACGTCGTGATTTCATTTATTAGAGTTTTTCACCTACGTGGCTTTACCGAAAAGAAAACAGAGTATGAATCCCTGCAGTCAAGAAAACTTCAAATCTCGACACTCGCGTTAGTACGTACACGTTGAGCCAACCGTGCGAGTGGGAGGTGCGGCGGGGGCGGTGGGGGAGTGCGACAAGTATGAATACAGAATAGAAAGCACGGTTGATATGGTGGTTTGGAAAGTCAATGTCTGCCGATTATCGCTGGAACAATTTGTGTGCTCTGCTTTAGCAACCCCAAGGTCTTGTCGAACTCGGCCTGATATATATAATAATAGGTGCATCGTTCTCTACCGCCGCTCACGATGTCTCCCATTTCCCTTGCACTGGCTGTGGAGCACTGCCAATTTGCACGTTACATTATGCACCTGGACTGCATGTTTTCAACGCTTTAAAAAAAAATGTTTTATTACAATTTTAAGTTGACAGGAGTTGCTAGCTCTCCACCATGCCGATCTTGACTGTGTTCAATTCGTTTCACTGTGGTGTATACCAGAGGTCGCAAACGGGTCTTGATTCCTTACCCGGCCGCACCAGGGTCGCAAACGGGTACCCGTACCCGTACGGGTATCGGGTACCCGATTGCGACCTCTGGGATGAAGCCATGTTACAGGCACGGGTGGGTTGATTCTAGGAACTTGAATTGTGAGAAGAGACAAGACGTTGGGTAATGAGTGACAAACAGTTACTCACCGGTGACTCACGGCCTACCCGTACCCGTACCCGGCCACACCAGGGTCGCAAACGGGCCGGGTATCGGGTAGGGTACGGGTATCGGGTACCCGGTTGCGACCTCTGGTGTATACCCAGTGCAGCATTTTGAGGTTCGGGTTGGTTCTTTGACCACGTGTCCACCACGCAATGCTGGTCAGGTGTGTGGGGGGTGACGGTGTGGAGCACTGCCCTCTGCTGACAACATAGCCTCCCCCTCGTCGTAGCTCAAGGAACGTGGGAAAAACAAAGTTAACACCGGTCAACACACTTTTTCTGGCACAAGGTATTCCAACGGGTTTAAGGTAATTTTGGGGGTGCTGATTCCAAATCTGGCATCAGTTTTTGTCTATCACATCAGGTTTTCGAGTTATCAAAAATATTGCATTTTCAATAAAAACTGCAGAAGAAAAGTATTAAATAAATGTGGATATCTACATAAAATGATATTATAAACACACTATCCTAAAAATACAGCACCACATTTTTACACTAAAGCAGTCACTGACTCGCAACAACTTGCAATCATAAGTGACAGAGTTAATTTCGGCTAAAATCAATGAAAATGGGGTATGCCGATAGCATGAAAATGAGACGTGAGAGCAAATCTGAGATCAGATTTGGAATCGGCACCCTGAAATGAGTCTAAAACAGCTGCAAAAGTCGAGGCCAGAAAAAAATGTTTTTTTTGTTGTTGACCAGTGTCATGCTGTCACAAGGGTGACACGGTGTAGGCTAAGTTATTGTGATGATTTGTAACCCGTTTTTGCTTAGCGAACGGACTGCTGCGAGGTCAAGGTAAGCCGAACTTTATTGAGAGGCCTTTCGCAGCGCGTAGCTTAAGACAACTTAATTTTACGGAGTGTTTTTGCACCGGCCCCTTTGAGCCAGTTAGTTACATCCTCGTTTAGATGTCCGTTAGTTTTCGCTTTCTTGAAGTTGTGTAGTTATATACGATTCGTCGTGTGTTGCGCTCTTCTGCCAAAATAAAAATAAAAATCTTATTGACCCTTCTCTGTGACCAGCTATTTTTTTTGAGTGTTTTTTTGTCGCATGTTTTGGAACCAAAGGCCTGGGTGACACAGCTGGGAGCAAGTTCTAATTTAGCGGTTGTTGTTTTTCACGCTTTTAGTATCCGGCATCGGCAAAAAGGCATGGTTAAGACATGTTCTAAACTAGATTTGAAGCTTTCGTGACTGCAATGATTCATATTCTTAGGTTTTTTCGGTACAGTCACGTAGGTAAAAAATTAAAATTAATAAAAGTAAAATAAAAATAAAATAAAAATCACGACGGAAGCTTGTGTTGCCTCCGAAACGTCGTGATTTTTATTTTACTTTTATAAATTTTTTTTTTTTACCTACGTGACTTTACCGAAAAAACCTAAGAATATGTTCTAAACTATAAACTAAACTTTTTCTTTTACCAGGTAAGGCCCACTAAACTATATAGCTCTTTCTCAGAAGCGAACTGGTTATCACAAATGATAGCTCAACGAATTGACTCATCATCATGTGGAAATGTAAAGCAGCCAAATGCTCTAAACGCATGTGGTCGATTCTGAATGTGGAGGGAAAAACCGGAGGACCCGGAGAAAAATTCACACGACCACGGGGAGAGGCATGCAAACTTCAAATGTACATGCGTCAGGGTTGGGATCGAACGCACGACCTCCTGTATACCTGGCGAGGTAGTTAACATCTCGCCACCGTGATGATGAGAGAGAGACACGTAGACTCCAAATATACAGCAGGCATCCGGGTCGGGATAGATCCACGGCCTGCTGCATACCAGGCGAGGTGGTTAACATCTCCTAGTCACTGTGATGATTATGAGAGAGAGACACGCAAACTACAAATATACAGGGTCTGGATAGATCCCACGGCCTCCTGTATACCAGGCGAGGTAATTAACATCTCTCCACCGTGATAATTATGAGAGAGAGACACGTAGACTCCAAATATACAACAGGTGTCAAGGTCAGGATCGAACTCACGACCTCCTGTAGACCTGGCGAGGTAGTTAACATCTCCTAGCCACCGTGGCGTCCTTCAGATGGACGGTAACTGGCCTTCCAATTTATAATCCTACAAGGGGCACCATTTGGCAAACGCTGCAGAGGAAATTCCCAAATGAGGGTAGGTCGACAATGATCTTGAAGACAATTGGCAATCTTGACCGAGGAGTTAATTTGTGAAGGAGTGGAAAGGAAAGAACGATATCATACAATGTGTCTGGGGAATGCAGACTGATTGTTGCATGGGGCATGTTAACAGGTCCCTGCGAGGTGGGCTGGTAGGAACGAATAACCAAATAATATAAACATAATGTTTTATTACACTTGTTTAGCCAGGAAAGCCTCACTGAGTGTAAATGTTTTTGTAGGGTCCTGCCAAGTGTTTGCAGTAGGGAGCGATGTTGCTACACCTAATCGGACGGACGGACGGACGTTATAATCTATTGTAGGCTGGTTCACTTCGTTCCTACCAGTATAAGAATGAAATCTAACAGACTTCCAGTAGAAGCAATGACATTGTAACCGGCCCAATTCCGCACCCGCGACTCCGGCCGCGAAACACGGACACGATGATTGAGCATCATTATACTGGTAGGAACCTCCTGGTTACACCAGCCCACAGGGGATTATTGTGTCCGTCGTGCAGGGAGGGGCTGGGTGGGGAGGGAGGGGCTGGGTGGGGAGGGGAGGGGCTGGGTGGCATTATACTGGTAGGAACCTGGTTACACCAGCCCACAGGGGATTATTGTGTCCGTCATGCAGGGAGGGGCTGGGTGGGGAGGGAGGGGCTGGGTGAGGAGGGGCTGGGAGGGGAGGGGCTGGGTGTGGAGGAGAGGGGCTGGGTGGGGAGGGTGAGGAGGGGCTGGGTGGCATCATAATACTGGTAGGAACCTGGTTACACCAGCCCACAGGGGATTATTGTGTCCGTCGTGCAGGGAGGGGCTGGGTGGGGAGGGAGGGGCTGGGTGGGGTGGGGAGGGTGGGGCTGGGTGGGGAGGGTGGGGAGGGTGGGGCTGGGTGGGGAGGGTGGGGAGGGGCTGGGTGGGGAGGGTGGGGAGGGGCTGGGTGGCATTATACTGGTAGGAACCTCCTGGTTACACCAGCCCACAGGGGATTATTGTGTTCGTCGTGCAGGGAGGGGCTGGGTGGGGAGGGGCTGGGTGGGGTGGGGCTGGGTGGGGAGGTGAGGGTGGGGAGGGGCTGGGTGGGGAGGGGAGGGTGGGGAGGGGCTGGGTGGGGAGGAGAGGGGCTGGGTGGGGAGGAGAGGGGCTGGGTGGGGGGTGGGAGGGGTGGGGCTGGGTGGGGAGGGGCTGCTCACCCCGTGGTGCCCTTATAAAACTCAACGTTTAACCTACTCACGCCGGCTTGTGCCCGCCCTCACAGTCGGCCATATTTGCGGAATACACCACGCCGCCGTTGACCCTGGCCATTGACCGAGCAACTCAACGTTCCTACCAGCTCCCTCCGCAGGAATGTCTTATCATCACCGTGGTGGTGAGATGTTAACACCCTTACCTTTTGTCTGTAGGAGGTCGTGGTATTGATACCAACCCTGACGCCTGTTTATGGAGTTTGCTTGTTCTGTGGTCGCGTGGATTTTTCTCTCCGCGTTTAGAATCAAGTGCGTTTGGAGAGTATTTGGCTGCTATGAATGTCCACAAGCCGCTTCGTTGAGCTGTCGTTTGTGATCGCAAGGTCGCTTTTGAAAAAAATTAACCCGTAAAAACAAAGTTTTTCACTATAAATCCTTTATATGCATGGCATCGGTTTTATTTTATTATTCATTTCTGTTTTTCTTGAGTAAGAGTTTCATTTTCATCACATTGGTATTTTAAATTAAATATGAATTTTTGTTTCCCTAAAAAGTGGAAAGTTTTGGAAAAAATTTTTCACGAAAATAAATTGTCACGCACAACGAGTCTGTGTGCAAAATGTCAGCTCGATTGGATCACGGGAAGTGGGTTTAAAAACGACCGAAAGATTTGCACGGTCGTAAGCGCGCAAGCAAGCAAGCAAGTGAACTTAATATAAAGGATGTAATAAGTATAACCAGTAAAAACAAAGTTTTTCACTATAAATCCTTTACTAGCTGTACTACCCGGCTTCGCCCGGGTCTTGGATCCACGACGCTAGGCCGCCTTTGTCTCCCCAGTGGCGATGTTCATACGCCACAGCAGTTACTCGTTTTGAGGCTGAGTCGACCTAGGGGAGGCCCAGGACCGGTTCAAATAATCTTCACCGGTGGTGGCCGTGAGCGGGAATGGAACTCGGGTCGCCGGGTTCGTAGCGTGGCGCGCTACCCGCTACACCACAATGCGTTACGCGTCCGTTGTAGGATTTGTGTGAGGCGCGCCGATCCGCTGTAGGGTTTTAGTGAGGCGCGCCGATCCGTTGTAGGGTTTTAGTGAGGTGTGCCGATCCGTTGTAGGGTTTTAGTGAGGCGCGCCGATCCGTTGTAGGGTTTTAGTGAGGCGCGCCGACCCCCGCGATACAATAATACTGTGTAATCGCTATAATTTTATGATTTACCGAGCCTATAATAGTAATTGCACACATTGGGGTGGCGGGGAGTGAAGAGGACGTGTAACTTTGATGAATTTACCTCAGAGTCGCGTGGTGGGTGTCGAGGCCTAGCACCGTGCAGAGCCTCCGGCCTCGCCTGATTTTCCCACCCGTTTGAGGCTGGGTACGGGTGCGGTCTCCCCCCCCCGCGCTACAATAATACTGTCTAATCGCTATAATTTAATAATCGACCGACCCTATAATAGTAATAGTAATTGCACACATTGTGGTGGGGGGGGAGTGAAGAGGACGTGAAACTTTGATGAATTTACCTCAGAGTCGCGTGTTAATGCGTGCGCCTATTTTTAACGGGAATAAAAAATGGCGTCCACCCCGCCGCGAAGGCGTCGCTACCCGTTTCCAGGGGCAACCGCCGTCCAATGAAAGCGGCGAAGGCGTCGCTACCCGTTTCCAGGGGCAACCGCCGTCCAATGAAAGTGCGTATGGTCCGGCGACACACAGACACACAGACAGACAGACAGATTCACGATTTTATATATATAGATATGAAATTTTTTTTTTCCTAAAAAGTGGAAAATTTTGGGAAAAAATTTTCACGAAAATAAATTGTCACGCACAACGAGTCTGTGTGCAAAAAGTCAACTCGATTGGATCACGGGAAGTGGGTTAAAAAACGACCGAAAGATTTGCACAGTCGTAAGCGCGCAAGCAAGCAAGCAAGTGAACTTAATATAAAGGATTTAATAAGTATAACCAGTAAAAACAAAGTTTTTCACTATAAATCCTTTATATGCGTGGCGGCTAGAGTCCTCTCGTCCTCTGGCTTGAGATGGCTGCCACCTATGGGTCAGATGATTGTCTGCAGTATTAAAAATTGGTAATTAAATATTTAATTTGTTTTCCCTAAACAGTGTAAAATTTTGGAAATTCTTTTTTCACGAACATTAATTGTCTCGCACAACGAGTCTGTGTGCAAAATGTCAGCTCGATTGGATCACGGGAAGTGGGTTAAAAAACGACCGAAAGATTTGCACGGTCGTAAGCGCGCAAGCAAGCAAGCGAGTGAACTTAATATAAAGGATTTAAAAAGAGCTCGATAGAGCTCACTGGACCTTACAACTGGTAAAATAAAATATTTTTTAAAAATAGTTTAATAGTAAATGAATCCCTCCTTTCTCCCTGCGGATGGTGGGGCCCACAGACCAGGTTACGTGGGTCACCCGGCCCCTACTCAACATGCCGCTGCCACGACCCTGTCACCAGGACAAGTGGACTGAGAACGGAAAGAACGAATAGTGAATGGCAATATGGTGCGCTGTGTAAATGGCACCTCCAGTTTGTCCCAAGTGTTCGGCCGCTGTGCATTTTCACGTGATAAGCCACCTTTGAGGCCGTCCATAAATGACGTCACGCGATTTTGGATGATTTTTGACGCCTCCCCCCCCCCTCGTCACACCTCAAATATGATGTCAC